TTATCTGCCGGGGTTGCATCTTTGCACAAGCTGGGAAAGAATACCCTTTGTAAGTCTGCCCGTTGTCGATCCGCCCATGGACCATAATTTACCAAAGCCCCTTTGATGATGACGTCTATGCCCCATTCAGGTGGTAGGTCTCCATTGATATCATTAGTTTGCCATGGCTGTGGCTTGGAAGAGCCCATTTCCACAGGGACTTTTCCAGGTATATCCCAATAATAGCTTACGCTGGCTTCAGGGCTGTCGAGAATGGTCGTTACAGTGGCGTATTCGAAAGACGACCATTTCGCTTTACCGTCTTCTTCATCATTGAGGTAGCGCGAAAGACCTTGCCATTGATGTATATTCCCCTGTGCGTTTGAATCCGAGACCACAGGCTCGGTAGTTAAACTTGAGAATGTTTCCACAGAGCTACTAAAGTATGGTACAATGCTCTGGATTTTGTGCCATGCATTTCGCCGGTACCGGTGAAAGAAGCGAGACGGGTGGAGGACGCCATCACCAGTATCAGTGCGCTCCTTAATATCGTCTTTAGCTCGATTTGCCGTTGCAGTTTGGTCCTCGTTATAGTCCTCATTGGGCTTTAACTGAATCATAGGATGGCCAAGCTGTAGGTCGAAAACTTGCTTGTATAAATCTGGTCCGCGGCAAGCAGTAGCATTGATGTCAGCAGAAAATTTATCTGCTCTCGTGATAAACACACTCTTTGTGTTGTCATTCCCCATAACTATAGCCGCTTTGACGCAATCGATGTGCAGGGGGAGAAGATTTAGTATAAAACTCTTTTCGATCTCCTGATTGTCCTGGCCATGGTATTCATTGCTATCATCAGAGTGTAGGCTGTCCGGGTTTCTGGAAGACTCTCTATTCGTATCTTTCTCCGTTAAGGGCGGGAGGCCCGAACTGTCGTCAGTCTCCAACGAATGTTTACTCAATATGTTTGCGAGGGCGCTAGGTTTGGGAAATCCACGTTTCTTCAACCCCTCATCCTGCTCCTTCTCTGTCGGATCATCCACCAAGGTGCTCTCGTGCTTGGTCTCGTCTGACTTTGCGAGTCCAGCAACTATGGAGTCATATGCCGCACTCCGATTATAGATAAACCATTCCAATCCCTTGATTTCAACATTAAGGCGGCAAGGCAACGCCGACGTGCTGGCCTGCCTGCCGCTCTCTGTCGCAGATTGGTTGTCCTCATGGTTTTCATCATTTTTGGCAGAAGATCCGCTCGGTACGTTGTGAAGGCCCCTTCCGTGACAGAGATCCAGCTCCCTCACATTGCGGCGCCAATATTCCCAAGTAATAAATCCACTGTGTATGAGAATAGTCTCGTTGTTTCCATGGTACCTAAGTCCCTTGAAGAAAATGCGGCCACCCAGCAACGAAATCTGCAGTGCCTGTATGTCCACATACACTCGATATTTGTGCCATGACCACGCCCGGATTCCATACGATACAAGTGTAGCGAAAAGTCTGTTGAAATAGAAGAGGAAGAATAATGTGCTAGCGACAACGGTTAGCAATATCTCGAGGAGGAGGGATAATGTCCTTACAGTAATCCACAAACGATTAGCTCAACCAAGAACACCCTTGAAGCTGTCAGCCCATGAAATATCACGCTGCCATTGCATCTGCGCCTACCAGTTAAATGCTAGAATTGGGGTCAACGACACAGCTGTCAAGCCTGCCATCTTTATCGTCTCCCGCAAGGCCTCCGTCGGCTCTTCTCATGACCATGGGCCGGATACTGTTGTCCGCTATAACATCTCTTAGACAAGGCGAAAGCTACCGTCACCTCAAAAGACGCGTATTGTCCAGAAGCATAACGGTGGGTTGTTTTATTTGGAATTCATGAATTGGGAAGCTATGCTAGCTCATTGGGGTGTTATCCACTCAGGTCAACATTTAGCATGTGGATTCTGCCACCGCCTTCAGATACCAAGAAGCTGATTGTGACAGGGGGGTTGCCAGGCGTACGACATCTTCCACGCAATCTCTTGAGGATGTTCGACATGAAATATAACGACAGAATTTGAGCGACGACTGAATAATCGCGTGTATCTACAAAATAACATGCCTCCGAACTGAATTGCTTGCGTTGGATGTCCTTAGGCTACTCAAGGGCATCAGAAAGCGTCATTATCCCAAGTCCCCGCAGCAATGGCCGACAATATGTCCCATGGCACGCATAATAGCAAACACTCTGGCGGGACGGGACAAAAGCTGGCAAATGGCCTTGTCATTGTCGCGGGCGTCGCCTCTCTTGTCGCGACGTTGATTTCTATCGTGTAAGCTTTCAAACAATTGCTTTCAGAGCTCAAGTTACTGACTAGGCTCCCACAGGTCCATATGGCTCCAAACGTATGAGCACGCGCCTTACCACGTGAAGAGGCACACATATTGACGAACTGCCTCACAGAAAGAACTATCGAAAGCCCCTTCTTCAGAGATATGTGGTTAGGATTTTGCTTATGTAGGTTTTATGAGCTTCCATTGGATTTCGCAGCCTAACAACATCAGGGTGCCCATATACTCCATATCGTCTTGGTTAAGCTTAGTATCCCTGAAGGCAGCCTTCTGGGTAGATCCCATTCGAGATGTTTACGAGGTAAGATCAAGCTTCCGATCCGAATGTTGAGAGAAAGCTTCTAATTCTGGGTAGGCGTTCACTATATATACATTCCTCCAGCTTCTTATCAACTTCATCGGAGGCGAACGAGCTCTAATCATCATGATGCATGGTCGCGAACCTGTGCATCACTTGTGGCCCATGAACCACTTCCTATCGAAAGTCGACATCTCCGATCCCCATAGCTTCCTCGCCATAAAACGCGGCATCCTGCAGTACGCGTGGTTAAAGCCTGTTCTGGGCCTGGCATCCATTATAATGAAAGCGACAGGGGTATACCAGGAAGGGTATCTGGGATTGACATCTGGATATATGTGGAGTGGGATTGCATATAATATCAGTGTTACAGTCAGCTTATACTCCCTTGGGATGTTCTGGGTCATTATGGCAAAGGACTTGCAGCCATTCAGGCCAATGCCGAAGTTTTTAAACATAAAACTTATTATCTTTGCCTCGTATTGGCAAGGGTTTGGACTGTCGATATTGGTGTGGCTTGGCGTCATACCAGACGATGTGCAAGGCTACACTCCAGACAATATTGCCGCAGCTATTCAAGATGCACTCATTTGTTTGGAAATGCCCGCATTCGCCATTGGCCACTGGTATGCCTTCTCGTGGCATGACTACGCCGATGCTAGTATATCAGCAGCGCGTTTGCCAGTCAAGTATGCCCTCAGGGACGCTTTCGGTATCCGAGATCTTATTGAGGATACCAAGGAGACTTTCAGCGGGAAGAAGTACGAGTATCGTTTATTCGACTCCGGCGACAACATAATAGCTCACGAAGAGTCCAGCTCTCGAGTTGCAAGAATGATGGAGGGCATGCGATACGAGCGCGGTGGTAAGGGTAAATATTGGATTCCCAGGCCGGGAGAAGCCAACGCCCGAACTCCATTGCTTGCCGCGAATGGAGGGCCAAGTACTGGACGCACATCAAGCACTGGTCTCCCAGAAGAAGCGACATCTTACATAGGGAACCCCAACGATGGAACTGTCAACTCTGATGGCCTAGATGCTGACGAGGAGGAGCTTTATGCAAAAGCGAGGAAGCTAGAGTTTGGTGACTGGAATTATCCAGTAATCACAGCACATACAGCCAAAAAACGCAGCTGGATGACGGAAGAACCAGACCTGCTGACAACATCTGCGAATCGGCACTTGATCCAACCAACAAGGAGTCATGAAGTTAAACGCAAGAAGAACGTCAAGAAAACCGTGCAAAAGGTCCAGTCCCAGACCCAAAGGTCTGAGAGCGAAGGATCCCATGGCAAAGGGAAGGGTAAGGATAGTACTGGAGAAGAAGGCCGCGCTCCTTTGCTGAAGGGCATGCTTCGGCACCATTCGTCAGAATCAAGTTCGGCCAAGTTAGACAGGAGCCAACTCGTGGATCTTGTCGTTGAGGACACCAACGCAGAGGAGATTGAGAGAGTGCGCGCAAGAAAAGAAGGTAGCGCAGGCTGGAACGCCGTCGAGCCAAAGCGCTTCGTGTAAGTGCCAAATCCCATTCCAAATATACACTTACTAACGCCCTCACAGTCGCACGTACGGAAACGAAGGCGAAGAAGTTCGCGAAGGCTTCGAGCCCGAGGACGGTTCTCCGGTCATTGATCCCAAGAAGGGTGACGATGAGAACACGAGCCGAAATGATAGATTCGCTATTGGTGAGGATAACTCAGAGAGTCCTGGCGCACACGAGTCGCGCGAGTGGCAAGAGAACAACGAGTGGCAGGAGAACAGGGAGGAGGTTACGCCGATACTGAGCCCGAAATATGGACTTCCGGGTGAGGATTTGGAGAATGTTTGGAGTGGTGAAAGCCCAAGTGGCCCGGCGAAGGAGAATCCTTGATTTGCATAGATATGTGTAAGATACCAGTGCTTGGCATAGCGCCGGCGTTATGATGAAGGCTACGAGAGGCCAGTATGAATGTATTAGCGTCATCCTACCAACAGTACACGTGCTCCAAATGGTGAAGTGGTGCAATGTATCAGATATTGAAAGCCATGACCTTTCAAGGTCGAAGGAAATTTCCAAGTTCTTGTGTTAGCAAAGGAGAGCTACTCCTTGTCGTCCGAAATCTGAAGACGGGTTGTGAATAACAACAACTATCACAGCACCTGTAAATAAGATAACGGCATTCAGTCACCCATGGCTGCAATCAACAAGCCAGTCACCCATATGCAGATATGAAGGGATGAGTTCTATCAGATTAAATAGTTGGTATGAATCCTCAACGACTATCACCAGCACATTAGACAAATATAGTCACACATTCACGTAGCGAAACAAATGAATCAACCAAATTACTTCACGCTGAATGCTCATTCATACAATCACAATATTTGCTACATAACGCCTTGCTTGACGTCAATTGCTTGTTTTGCTTCTCATCCACTACATCAAGCTCCATCACTCACTGAAAACAAACATTCTTCTCAAACCACCCTCTACAAACTGAAAATCACAAATACGTCTAAAGCCATGAATGCAGGCCCATCATGGGATTTCCCACCCGATCGCCGGCCTCCATCTCCTCCACATACGCCTTCTTTGTCCCCAGGAGCTCACGCAGCGGAGGCGGCGTTGGAAAGGGAGAGGGAGTGGCAGAAAGAGGAGCGCAAAAGAAGAAGAGAGGAGAAACAGAGGATGAAAGACGAGGCGCCGAGTCTCATGGAGAGGATGTGGAAATCAATGTTTGGAAACACCACGCGCAAGTCTAAAAGGAAAGGGAAGCAGCCAGAGAAAGGCACGAGGAAACCGAAGAAAACGCCACAAAAATGCAAGAGGGACGGTGGTGCAAACGAGAAAGAAAGCAAAAAGGCGAAAACAGCAAGTCCAAAGACCAAACCTGCAAGTCTAAAGAGCGCAGCAGCAAGTCTCAAAAGCAGAGCCGCCAGCCTCAAAAGCCGAGTTGAAAGCATCAAAAGCCGAGTCGCGAGCATCAAAAGCACCATCCGCCAAAAACTCGACGATGTCAAAGCCAAAATCAGAAAGAAACCAGACGTCACTAGTGATAACGACTCCCAAGACGACGCCGATGTCGATGAGCATGAGATGAGCGGCGGCCTCGACAGTGAAACCGAACGCGGTAGGGGAGAATATGAAAGCGAGGATGATATGGTGAGGGACATCGACCCAGATAAGAGAAAAGAGCAGAGGAGACGGAGAAGAAGACAAGCCAGGCGAATAAGGAGGCGCAAGCGACAGAACAGAAGGGCGAAGAGGAGAGGGACGAGCGAGAGCGAGTCAAGTGAGAATTCGGAGTATTATGTAAGTTATGGACCAGTTGGTCGGTGGGGATGTCTTGTTATGTGATATATATTCGCATCTGGCAGCCCTAGAAATTAGACGTGACCGGCGCTGGTTATCGCTGGTTATCAAAAGTTCATTGTGCTGCAGGGAAGTCTGAAAATAGTCAGGGGGCGGGGTTGGATATCGATACTGCAATTTGATTTATGAACAACCAGCTTATTATCCTCCAGCATTCTCCGCAATTGCTATTAGTATGTCCAGTATCGTATGTCGAATCCGGTGCTCTGCTTCCAACGCAGCCCAGCATGATAGTACTACTGCCTCCTCAAAGATGTCGCCCGTGTGCGTCCCGGTTATGTTGCTGCCCGTTGTGTGATTGGGAGCCAATCTGACCCCTGGGGTACTCTCGCCATCGAGGTCCTCCACAGTGCCGGTCTGTGGACGCTCGTACGCAGCGGGATATATCCGCAGTGTCCCAATGGGCCTCTTTTTGCCCTTCCTATCCATTCCAGGGTCCGCGCTACGACCAAAGTGTTTCTTCTCATATGTAGCAATGAGAGCGTGATCGGAAGTCCTCACAAGCTTCAACAGTACCATGATCAGCGATCTGTCCCGTCATGCGGCATAATCACCCCTCTCAATAACCAAAAACAAACATCCACAACCCCCCAAACAAATATTAAAAAAATCCACTAACCTTCATATCATGACTATACCCCCTAACCCCCCTAAACCACGACCTAGCCATCTCCCTCGTCCCCGACCACCCATACCCCACCCCATCAAACACCCACCCCACCCTCCTCCCCACCCTCGGCCTCCTCTCCATGCACACCCCCAACACGAGTCCCAGCACCTCCACCTCCTCCATCTCCCTCACCGGGCGTTCCTTCATCCCAAACCAGCGTCTCCATTTCCTCTTCCTCGCTTCAGTCTTGCGTAAATGCTTAGCGGAGCGGTTATGCTCGACCTGCGCTACGCCGTCGCCGAGGGAGAGCGCCAGTTTGCTCCAGAAGGAGGTGAAGCGGAGGGAGCCGATGATGGGGGTTGTGGATAGGGTGGAGGTGGTGCTGGGGCTTTCGGCTTGGGGGGGGAGGGGGATGGGCCCGCGGTGGAGGAGGGGACGGGATTTGGATGCTGCGATGGCATATTCGGCGGGTGAGGTGGGGGAGCATTCAAAGGTAAAGATGCGTTTTTTGGAGTGCCGCAAGATCGTGAATGTTTTCTCAGGTGATGGAGCAGTGGTGGTTTCCGTCGCTATCGACGCGAGGTTGAGGTACTCTGACATCGCTGCGGATGGGGCAGTCTTTGTTTGGTCTTCTACCCTTACCATTTAAGGCATTTCTCGATTGTTGTCTTACATATTGCGATTTAGAGAAGAAAGGAGGGAGATTATGAGGTTTTTAATAAGTCTCAATCACGGCCAGCTCAAGGTGCTGCCAAGTTGCACTGCCCGCCTGTCGCAGGTGGAGCTATCCCTGTCATTGCCGCGAGGGGGGGGATTCCCATGTATAAATCCCCATGCTGGCAGGGTTCGTGACGTCTCGGTAGCGCATCGTACCCCTGGAAAAGGTTAGCTTCCAGAAGGAGGCGCTCGCGGGTTCGTGCCTAAATTGGAACAAATGAAATTTGACGGGTTGAGGAGGAGCGAATTATCATTGTTTGTTTGCCATCGTGGTAATGCTGGGGAATGAAAGGTATCTTCGTATGTAGCTAATAGTAGATGTCTCTTTTAACTTTATTTCTGGGTAACTGGGATACGGGTTGTGGCTTCGAGTGATTGGCTCGCGGATTATAGCTTTAAGTGATTGAGCAGCATGGTCTAGTACAGGACTTGTGAAACCATATATTCAAACTGGCATCGAGACCCAAGCTTCATATTTTATACAAACCAAGACAACTGCTCTAAGTGCAACATTATATACCCCCTTCCTCTACAACCCCCCCAACAACTCCTCAAGCGTAATCGGCTTCCTCACCGCATTTGAAAACCCCTCATGATACGTAACCCAAACCTTATTCTCCCCCTCCTTCGGCACCCTCTGCGCATTCCCATCCGTCTCCCCCAGTGGCCCAGCCCTAACACTCAGCACCCTGCCAAAGAAATCCTTCTTCACCTTCAGCGGATTCTCATCCGTATCCACCGGCATCGGTTTCTCGCCATACCCAGTTTTAAAAGTATACGTCGTATCCTCGCCGAGCAGATTGCCCTCCTTGAACCGCATCTGTCGCGCGGCGGTGGCCATGAGTTTCATGGCTTTTTGGTATTCCTGGTCGAGAACTTGGCGGACGGCGTAGCGGATCGGGGCGGCGGACAGGGACGATTCGGCGCCGGCGGTGGGGTAGTCGACGAGTGTATCCAAGGGCCTGGAAATAATTAGTCAAAATACCGCTAGAAATGGATCGAGGGAAAACTTACGGCTCCATCCTGTACACCCACTGCGTGACTCTACTCCCAAAATCTCCCTCTAGCTTGCCGCGCTGGTAGGTGACGCCGATGGAAGCCATGACTTCCGCAGCGCGCTTTACCATCTCGCGTTCGCCTTCTTTTCTGACACTCGCGATGCCCTTGGAATCGCCACTGCCGCCGACGACGACTGGTTTTACATCTGGGCTGAGAATTCGAATTAAGTAGGGCAGTAAGTCTGTTGCCATATCCTCCGGGCTCCTAAATGATCGGAGTAGAGTTGCATTCTGCTCTCTGAAGAGATGATGCTCATCGCGCAAACTGTCTTGCAGTTCGACCAACATTGCACGATTCAGCTTCTTCGCCTCAGTCGCCTCATAGTCTGCTCTGGGGCCAGTAAATGGGATTTCCACCTCCGCCGCACCATCGTCATCCGTTCTCTTCTTCTCATATTCTTGAACAGGCCGTCTCGTCGAGCTTGCGAATAGGTTATGACATGCCAGAATAGGCTGGCTGAGGTAAGGCATCAACTCCCAGCTCTGCTCCTGATACACCCCCTTACTGCACGCGTTGTAGAAGTGGAACCACTCATGCGCTGCGTCTGGTTTCGAAAGTATCGAGTCGTCGTTGAATGGTTGCGTTGGGTATGTGCTGAAGATATCGCTCATGATGCGATCAGACTCATCACTCGTATCAATCATCTCGCGAATCCGTTCCATGCCGGCCTTCTTCGCAACTTCAGCAGTGTGAAGTCTCTCACGAGGCATATTCGCATCCTTAGGCCCCACGGAAACGTTCGCAGACATGGTAGGTTTGGGGAACCCTGCACCCATAAGGAAGACGCGAGAAACAATTTCTTTCGCCCCGCCGCATACAACACCGCGAGTTCCCCCGCCGCCATACCCTAGCATGCTAGCCATATTGGCCTCAACCCATTTCTTGGTCAGTTTTGGCCTGCTGCTGGTGTCGGTTTTCAGTTTCCTGGCTACCCATTCTCCAACGACGAGGACGCTGCGAAGATCACCTTCTGTGCCTGAGGATTCGAACTTGGCTTCGGGTCCGGATGACAGGCCCCATGTTGCTTCGCAGAGCCTGCGAACGCCATCAGCTTCACAAGCAACACCTTCCTTCTCAAAAACGTGTTTCATGCGTGCAGTAACCGCGTCAATGGGCGGTTTCCGGATGTGGATCACTTCCGCGAAGGAGGACTGGCGAAGTTGTCTGAGTGAAGGATGATAGACGTCGTTGCAGATAAGGATCATTGGCCGCAAAAGGCGGAAGAAATCGTCTTCCTTCTTCTTCCTGCCTGGTTTGGCCATTGTAGCCCCAGGTACAGCATTCTTTGCGTCTAACTGAACCAAATCGATCAACGCCCTGATGAAGCCGCCCTCCCCTGAGCCGCCTGACCCACCTACAACCCCATCGACCTCATCAACTACCACACAAACAGGCCGAACTGGTTTGGGTTTGTGGCCATCCTTTGGTTTTGCGCCAACGTTCTTGACACTTTCTGTGCCAACGCTCGTACGTATTCTACCCTTGACCACATTTGCGCTTCGGTCATCACTGGCGTTGATCTCCATAATCTCGTAGCCGGCTTGCATGGCGCAGACATGGGCCAGCGTAGTCTTACCGAGACCCGGTGGCCCGGTAAGGAGAAGAATCTTTCGGTGTGGCTTCTCTTCCTGCTCGCCGTCCATTCCAGGTTTCTTAGACAAAACTGACTTTGGCTTTCCCGATCGAGGGAACACAATGGGATCCCACCCTTTAAGCCAACGTAGAACGTCCCGATGTGTTCTGTCATCGCCGACAAGGTCGAAAAATCGGCGTGCGCGGTACTTCTCTGTCCACATTGGCGTCCGCCGTGTCCTAGTATGGTACACGGGTTCGACGGATGGCAGTGGGACTTCTGGCGCAACAGGCTTTTCCTTTTTCTTCTGTTTAATTTCCTTTGTGGCATCTTCAACCAACTGGTGTATGTCTATTCCGTAGTAGCTCTTCTTTGCCCTTCCAGCTTTTGTCGTTGACCTTGCTGCAACCATTTCTTCATAAGGCACAGCAACAGTCTTCTGTCTCTGCTTTATGTTGAGCATTTTGCCAGAGCAGGTGTAACCCTCTTTCAGGCCAGCGGACTTGCGTAAGAAGGACGGCATAATTGGTGAATACGATTGTTCATGGTCCTTATTTAAGACTGGTGCATTGAAAATATCCATATGCGCCTGATAACCCGTAGATGCTCCAACTGGTTCTCTATTGTCGCCCTCTGTTATCTCAGCGAGAGAATTCGGTAGTAGCTTGTCTGCATCAAGCATACGTCGCTTTGCCGCGGGCTCATCAATCCGAAAGTCATCCTCCTCGTCATCCGAATCGCCATCAACAAAGGCTCCGAGGTTCTTAGGCCGGCTTGTAGGTGCTGGGGCAGGTAGAGGCCGTTTGGCGGCAGGAGGTGAAGATGTCTGGGGACACGCCGCCGGCGAAGACAGTAAAGAGGGCATCTTGGCCAATTTCAGGGGTGACGACGATTGTATGATCTCGGCAGTGTTCTTTATGATTCGGGATTGCACTGGTGTTACTGTTTGGTATAAGCATTTACTTCAACCCTTGAACTGCGGAATTGCTACCAAGCGGATAGTCCTGGTCGCTGAGGAAGACCTCTTCAAGCTTCCATGAACGGTGTTGAATAACCTGTCGTCGCTGTGTTTTAAATGCCGTGGTTTCCTCCTGTAGCAATTGTAGGGCCTCGAGCTCGTCGGAGTGAGTACTGGGCGGGAGGACGGCTGTATTATAATTGTCGAGCTCCCAATCGTCGTAGGCTGGAGGATCAGAAGTAGTCGGCAAGAAAGGAGAAGACGGATAGCAGTCCATTAAACGGTATTCGTAGCTATCATCATTATTATTGTCGTCGTTGCTCGTTGATCACTGCCTGTTCCCAGAGACAGAGTTTGGTTTGGTTAAAATGGACTGGACCCTTGGCTTTCCCACACACACATATCATATCTCTAGAACGCGTCTCGACGCGACTTGTGTAGAGTGACTTTCGCGTCTTGGAGTAATTGAGCGGCGGAGCGGGGTGTAGTGGGGTGGGGTGGAGAGGAGCGGAGCGGAGCGGGGCGGAAAAGAAAGAGGGAAACCTCACAGCACAGCAAATAAAAGCCCCACCCAATAGAGTTAGGGGCCAAAGAAAAGAGTGGACAAGACTTTCCGCCCCGCCTTCTCCTCACTTCAACTTTCCTGGGCATTTTTGTGTTTTGTGTGTGTGATCCATATGTGCATGTGCGGCCTACGTACTCCATACTTCTGCATACCTCCGCACACCTTTCACAGTATTCCCGATCAATGTCCGAATGCAAGTCCTTATTCCCATCAACCATTTCCTCTAAAAGCCTATAGCCAAGCTTCAGCTAAGGAGATCCCCTTAATTATCCTTATTTATGGAACATTTTGTACCAATACCGTATCCTACCCCGGAAAGTGGCAACAGTGTTCCCGACAGGCCCGATTATCAGCAAGGGGCCGCGCAAGTCGATGATTCTCAGTCGGAGCATGCCAAAAAGAGACAGAAGAGGAATAAGCCGACTTTATCATGTGAGGAGTGTGTTGGGAGGAAGACCAAGGTTTGTAGTATTTATTTTTATTTCATGCGAGTCCTCATCTGTTGCCTCGGAGTCAGGTGGCGCAAGCCGGGTTCTTTTTCAGCGGTCGGAGCTTGTCGGAATCTATCGTCGCTGTATCAGTATCATTCAATTTCTATAAGAGCGCTTCATATATGAGAACCCTTTCATGCTCGTATCCATGGATTGGTAATACAGACCCATAGTCTGGTTCCATTGGATGAGTGCGTTCGATGTATAGGTCGATGTCGATGTCTCGTTTCGTTTTGTGGCGACAGCGTGCCAATGGCATATTCGACAATTAGCTAACTTCTCCGTTCACAGTGCGATAGGGGGCGCCCTCATTGCTTAGCATGTAAGATTCTCTTCCCCAGGTTCTCACGTGCCAGATTCTAATACCATGTTTCAGGTCTTAAGCGGCAGACAGAATGTCAATATGACCGCATGGCAAATGTTCTCGAGTAAGTTGCTCGTCAGCTTCGTAATGATATACGAGGCATAAATGCTTTGGACGTGGCTAAATCAACTGCAGAGAGACGAATCGTTCGGCGACTGATTCCCGCCGCATGACAATCCCCCCGAAACGGAGGCTTCCACAACAGATCCACAATGGTGCCAACCAGCCTTCACCCAAACTTGCCATTCATCCCATAGAACAGAACATCTCGCGGACGTCGATGAACTCCCCAACCGGTGCCCTTCCAGATGTGCCAAACACCAACCAACCGGCATCAGCATCCAATGTTTTCGGCATAGGCTCTGAACACCCCTTCGCAAATTACTGGACCTGTCAAGGAGGTCTAGCAGAAGTGATCTCAGTACTCCCCGAGAAGATCCAGGCAGACATGCTATTGGAGCGCTACTTCGACATCGTTGATTGCGTCTACCCATACATCCACCGCCAGACCTTCTACGCCGACTACTCCCATTTCTGGTCTCTCTCCACCACCGACAAAGCCAACTCCGACGCCGCCCTAATAGCCCTCATCTTCTCCATGCTAGCAATGGGCACTCAATTCGTCTCCGCGCACTCCTCAACCACCAAACAAACCGCCGAATTCTACGTCTCCGCCGCCCACCAAGCTTTACGAATGTCTTCCTACCTCAACAAAACCTCTATCCGCTCCATCCAATCCATGGTCCTAATCGTCTACTTCCTCATCAACGACAACCACGCCTCCGACGGCTGGGCCTTCGCCGGCATCCTAATCCGACAAGCCTACGCCATGGGTCTCCACCGGGACCCCAACATCGTCTGCCCGCACGCCACAACCTTCGAAAAGCAACAGCGCCGCAAACTCTGGCAAGCCGTCCTCTTCCAAGACACCTTCCTCACCGTCCTCCTCTCCCTCCCCCCAAGCGCAACACACACCGACGTCTCAGTCGCCGACCTCGTCGACGACGCATCCTCCATCGCCTCCTCCTCCCCCACAGACGTAGCCTACATCCGCGGCTGCTGGACCCTCGCCAACCTCGTCCAAGAATCCATCTGTTCCCCCCGCTCCCTCAGCCTCCCCATCGCCTCCACCCCGCGCCACAAATCCACACTCCTCGCCTCCTTCCGCGCCGTCTACCGGAGTTTTCCCGACCAATTCCGCTGCTGGGATTCATCTTCCATCGCGCACCTTGCCCTGACGAATAAGCGGTTAGTGCGGCAGACGCTGTTTTTAACAAGCAATTATTGGCATAATGTCATGTTACTGCATAGTTCGGAGAGTAAGGAGGTCCCGATGAATGTTAAGGGCACGCTGGAGGCGGCGCATGAGGCGATTAGTGCGTTTTTCCTGCTGGTGGAGGTGTTTGGAGAGGAGGCGAGGGTGTGGTGGGTGTTTTGCCATAGGGCGTTTTTGGAGAGTGTGTGTATGGGGAATATATTGAGGGAGCAGAAGATTCATGTTGATAGTGGGGATAGTGGGATGTTTGCGAGGGCTAGGGGGGATATAAGTAAGTTACATACTCCATGCACATTGTACAGATACTAACAGACCTCCTTTTTAGCAAAAATGATCGACATAATGACTAATATGTCCGAAGGCGAGAATGGCTGCGAGGTAGCTAGAACACGCGTTTCTGCGTTAAGCAACTACGTATAGTGGGGTTGGGTCACATTGGTGGTTTTTGATTGTTGTTATTTAGCGTAGTTTGATACCTATCCCATCTTGTTTACTACTCTCAGCTATCGTACCTAGTAGAATCCTCCGCGTCTTCTCTGTGCTTTTGCAACCATATCCCCCCATCCATATTCTCTGATCTTGAGTCATTACGCATCTATAGGTCCGGCATAGTCATGGCACCTCTCCCCCCCTTTCAGTCAGCCACAATACCACCCCCCCCCCCCCCCCCCACCACCACCCCCACCCACCCCCCCACAATACCCCCCCCCCCCCCCCCTACTATCCTAGACCTCACTCCCAACCACCTCACCACATAAACTCTGTCTCTCTCCACACCCCCTCACTCCCCAAATCACTCATTCCTCCTCCCACTCCCACCCCCCGAAAACCTCCTAAACCAGCTCCCAAACGTCCCCGCAATGCTATTCGAGCTATTATTGCTATGATCCGATCCCGGCCTCCCTCTCTCACCACTCCTATCCAGTTGCGGCGCGCTCCTCTCGTGAATTCTACTCCTCTCCCTCTCAAGCTCACGCTCCTGGTCTCTCCTACCCGTGCTCCCCGCATCCGTATCCGATTCCTCGCGGCGGAAACTCGTATTTCGATTGCTTGAGCTTGAGAATGCCCCGGGAACATGTGATGGTGGCGAAGCAGAGCGTTCACGTCGCAAGCTGGGGTTCATTCTGAGACCGGCATAATCTACGCCTCGGTTTTGTTCAGGTTCGCGACCGGCAGCTTGGCGGATCGAGGCAAGGCGGGTTTCGTTGATGCTCGGTCTGCGCCTGAGAAAGGTGGAGCGGCGAGCATATGGCGATTGACCTTCCACACCTTCAAATGGGTCTGGGCTATTCTGTCCGCCTGGGTTTGGAGGGCTTGTTGGGGGGGTGGTTCCTGCTGGTACGGCAGTTCCGTCTCTAGCCACACCAGTTCGGCAGATGGGGCAGGTGTTGTGCTCGCTCAGCCAGGCTTTGACACAGGTTTCGTGGAACCAGTGACTACATGGTAGTGACACCACCTCCTCGTCGAGAACCACGTCGTCCATACATACGCTGCACTCAGCCTTGCCTTCCGGTCCCAGCATCTCCTTATCGATCTTCTTCTTCGGCAGTGCGGCGATCGCCTCTGCTGGTGCTGGGCCAGGTGCGTTGCTTGTAGGGTGTTGTTCCATCAATGTCGAGATGATTCGATCAAGTGCTTCTTGGCTATATACAGCGTCCCCAGAAACTGCATTGGCGGGGTTGAGAAGGCCGGCGAAGAGACCATGAAGGCCGCCTAGCGGATTCTGCGCATTGGCATCGCCACCGTTTGCGCCCGGAGGCTGCAAGACGAGCATTAGATCACGCAGGATCCTGGGTGCTTCGTTAGGACGACCTTGCAAAACGAGGATAAGGACGGCGGGTGGACGCTGGGAGGGAGGAGCGTACGTGGTTAAGTCTTGCTCTTGCGGCCCCTGCTGGCCCTGTTCTTCGCCACCACCATTGAAGGTGCGAGGTTGCCCGCCAAACTGAAATGTCATTCGTGTGCCCCAGACTCGGGGTTGAGGGCCAGGGCGATAGTCTCCCCAGCTGGGTGGCGCGGAAGGGGGTGGCCCGGCTGGTTCACCATCCTCTTCACCAGGGCGCGGCCCAGGAGGTCCGAATGGGGATCCGGGGTATTCGCCTTGTGGGCCAGTTACACGTGTGTTTGGTCCGAGTATACCACTTATTATTCCTTCAAAGTCTCGTAGGGTTTGTGATGCGGGGTCATCGGGGTTGGGTGGTTGGCGAGAGCTTCCAGATGCAAAGACTTCGTGGGGAGAACCTCTGAATGTCCTCGATATGAAGGTTGTTCTACCTCCCTGTGGGTTGTCTCTGATAAACTCGCGAATATCGCCCTCTTCTGGGTCAGAGTCATTGTGGTGTTCCCAAGGATCGTGCTCTCTAAGGCCTCGAAGCTCGTCCGCAGATAATGGAGTTGGTAACTCTGGTCGCCGTGGGTCGTTCTGCGCTGAGATCTAAGTAAGGTTAGTGTAAATTCCCGTGCCTCGCCGTGTGGAAAGATGCCATACGATTTCCGTGATCTCACTATCGCATCTTGGGCAGACAAGCCCACTTTCGTCGCGATACCAGTCGTTCTCGCAATTGTGGCAATATACTACCTCTCTGGGTCCGCCGGCATCCAGGCGTCGCCTCTGCTCTTGAGGTTGGTCCGCCATGGCGTCTCGGACGCCTTGGTATGCTGCCAGGGCTGTAAGTCCGAGACTCAAAGCCAGGCCGGTCCTTCGGAGAGCTTGGAAGGCCACTTTTAGTTAGTTGCCTGCTGAGGCTGATAGATCGGTGTTGTTATGTGATCTTGGCAAAGGAGATCGATACCAGATGAGTAAAGGCTCAGAAAACCGTCATCTGTTGATGTGGCGTAGCCCACGATATTCAGGGTACTGCAGGGTAGCCTAAGGTAGCGATGGGGTTTCGTTTGCACAACGTGGTTCTAATTTTGGCCAAGTAGATCAAGGGTGAGTGCATAAAGTCTCGGTTTTAAAACATGCTGACGCTGTGTATCAGCCAGCTTGTAAGAGAATCAATATGAAAGACAGTACAAAGTGTAGTGGGACAATCATAGGTTTTAGCTACTACCAGGGCCTGGACGGAAGCGCGGCTCATGACGACAGTTCCAGCCATCTACCGCTCGGCAAAATTGTAACCGCCACTAGGCGGGTGGATTGCTCGGCAATTCCAGCGATCAATGTTTTACCAGGCATCAAACAACTCAGTTTGATATTCAGGTGGCGTGCACTTAATATTTACTCAGTATAATCTATTTTATCGTCCAAACATAGCAATTATACCATCGTTAACCACAAAATAAATTATTAAATTTGAATAGAATGTCTATGAGTTTATGTTTCTAGAATCATCTAAACAAAAATCACAAAGAATAAGTGGTCTTCAAAGGAGCTTATTTTTAGAAGTAGAGACAAGATAGAATTTAATCCTTCGCAATCGGAAACCCGCATTCCAAATCTACATCATACAAGCCTATCAAGAGCACTGCTGTCATTACGTCCCAACTGCTCTTCGGCATCCCAGACAAACATAACCTTGCCCACGCTTCATCTCTTCCTCGCAACCCCTCTAAAGATCATTCCTCCAACAATACCAGCAGCAACAGCCACCCCGCTCAAAATAGCAACCCCCATAAGCCCCTCCTTCGCAACCTTGTCATCAATCAAAGCCCTCAGACTTCCCGCCTGCATATTCGTCGGCTCCTTGTCGAGCAATAAATCATTATGCCGCCTCGCCTCTGCGTAGTTGCCTAGTTTGTAGTTGCCGAGGGCGATGTAGTAGAGGCATTCTCGGCGGCGCTCTGCCGAGTCGCGGAAGATGTCTGAGAGGAGGCGGACGCCGGTTTGCTGCTCGGTGCGCTGATTGGATTTTATGAGGCCCTGTAGGACGAGTCAGATATGGGGGTCATCCGGCCGTTTAGAGGTTGACACGTACCCATGCATAGTTGAATTTTGTTTGGACGCCGACGTATTCGCCTTCTTTTTCGTATTGTGCTCGGAGGACCTGTAGCTCAGACGGCTTGAGCGGGCTATGGAAGTCAGAGGCTGGTCACAAACTGGATAGTAGCCTGGTTTGGGCTGGGATTAAGCAAACTGACCTCTCTGCGTCTGCTGCATCTAAAAGTCGCAATTCCAGTCAGTAAACTCATCCGGAACCAGTAGGAGGCGAGGTCAATAAAGTCAGTGATGGTGAAGGGTGCACGCAATCAGCAGCTGTACTTACATGGTAGAGTTGTCATGGCGCTATGCTTGAAAAATAAACAGTACGAATAATCTGCAAGTCTGAACTTTTAAGTAGGTAGGAATTTGATTCAGATAATGGAGTTCATGAAGTTCAGACGATCAGGGTACGAGTACGTGGAGCTCGGTACGACGTCACCTGTGGCTGTGCACGTGCAACCGCACCTAAAACTGATTGTTGCTGTGGCGACAAGGGTTTTTGTTGACAGCCGCCCCAAAGGAAGTGCAACCACGATGACGATAATCATATTAACATCCCAAAACACAATCAAGAGCATTCCAATATTTCAATAATCAATCAGACGATAACTAGAAAAATCAATCTCGCTACTACACCCATCAAATTTGAAAATCAACATTATCAGCAAAGATGCTTCTCGACGAGGATCCAGCGACGGTATGCGCATTCCCATTAAACATATAGTATTCACAACTAATGCGCCCCAGCTCATCCACCACACAATCGGCAACTTCAACATCCAACCCGACAAGCTCGCCGTCTCCCGCATCAATGAATCCCTCTCCACCCTCCAACAAGCCCGCGACCTGCGCCTGCGCGAGACCGAGAACTCACTCAAGAGTATGTCTCCCCCCCGCGCAACACCACAGCACATCCCCCATTTTCCACAAATTACTAACGAATCGTCTTCCAGAGCTCACAAGAACCTTAAACACCCTCCAAAACAACCACCAAGAAACCCTCCAATCCCACTCCGCCACCGCGCACTCCTCCCGCATCGCCGAGCTCGACACCCAGAAATTCCGCGTCGCCAAGTCCTTCTCCTCCCTCGAGATCGAGACCGACCACTTATCCACCCAGCTCGCTGACCTAAAAGCACAGCTCCAGGAACTAGAACTCCAGGGCGTGGATGGCGGGGAGGAGGCCAAGAGGAGCGAGGTCGAGGATGAGGTGTTGTTGAAGTTGCGCGTTTATAGGAGTTTGGGGATTGAGGCGGAGAGAGAGGGTGGGGAGTGGAGTAGGGCGGTGGTGAGGGGGAGGGGAAAGGAAGGGAGAGGGGAAGTGCAGGTGGTTAATGTGGAGAAGAAGTTCAGCAAGTTCTTTTATGCGAATTACTTCTGGCAGGCGCTGTAAGAGGGGAAGGAAGAAGAGGGAAGTGGTCAAGGGGGGAATGGAATACCAGGTGCGGCGGCGTCCGATGGAGTTATAGGGGCGCAATTTGAGCTTTAAGGTGGCTATTTAGATAGTTGAAGACGGGGATAGATACGATACCCATGCTGCGCGAAAGTGTTCGTAGGGGTTGTGCATAGTAATGAAAAAAATGATGTTCATGATTAGGAAATTTATATCGAATATACCAACCATTGATTGAATGGTTGCAACACCCCCAAGCGAAGATCCCACTTTTTCAAATTTCACAGCCTTTCATCTACTTATATCTACTTAGAACAGGCTCTCTTCGTAATCCCGAAATACCAGTAGATGCTAAGCGTAACGATAGGAAGCTAGGATATTGCTTCTTTGATTACCCATCGATTATGGTCTCTATTTGCTAACATAATATTTACTTATATTTCATATAGCACCTCGTAGAATGATAAATATGTATAGGGAAATTTCCTAGAAACTACCACCTATTTCCTAACTATGTGATGGCTCTGTAAAAACTTAGTCTGTGAGGCAGAGACACAATATGTATATGATACTAATTCGAATGTACAACGAAACTTGTTTTCGTCTTAGTCCAACTCTACTTCAATGACGCTCTCAACGGACTGAGGAGGTCTCCAAATCCTGACAATCCGCAGCCCTGAATTTCTGATGACCTCACCCCACTCAATTTCAGTTCTCTCCTTTGCCGCAAGACACGCCATCATGGTGATATCTGACACCGTCACCCGCGCGAGTGGATTAACGCGACTAATTAGACTCTCATGGATGAGTAGCTTTGAGTATCCCTTCTCCATGGCGCTGGCAACGTTCTTGAGGATCGTGATAGCCGAATCATCAGGCCAGTCATGCAACACGTTATGCATGAAGTAGATACGCGCACCTTTGACGGGCTGGGGCGTGAAGAAGTCATACGCTTGAACTGAGATGGCTGGGTCGACCTGCACGTCCTTCACGACATCTGGGAGGTCTTGTAGGATGAGGCTCCCATCTGGTATATCCGGATGGCATAGCCGGAACTTCTCTAGATCGTGGCCTTTGCTTCCACCAATATCAACAACCAGCGCGCGGTCGGGCTTGAGAGCGCTCACGACAGTGCTGGTGGGATACACCTCAGGCCAGGGTGTTAGGTTGTACTTCGAATGGCACTGCATAGCAGCGTGGAAGTCATTAGCCATGGCGGGGTTGGTACTAAGGTCGGCGAATAAATTATTGCTAGTCCCTTTCCAATATTGCCAATTACAATCATTCACATCACTTGGGCTCTTGAATCCCCTCTTTTTGAGGAAATACGGCAGGCTTTTGAACATTGGGCTGTTAAGCTGAGCGTAGAATTCCCCGTATACCGCTGACAATGCGGGATCGGCCGCCAGAGCCTTGGCCCAGGGGGTGGTAGCAAAGGTGTCTTCAGCAGTCTCGATAACGAGGTGCTGCCCTGAGATTTGCCGCATCATGCGCTCTGCACGGTGAGATGAGATTCAGTTATTACTGTATCCGAATCAGGGGCCAGGACAGTGATCGATCGACGTACTGATGAGCAGCTCATCAGCTCCTGTAAGCTCAGACAGCTGTGCACACGTCTTAGGTGATCCCCCGCACCCCGCCCACTTCGTGAAGACACCAGCGTCAATGAGGGTCTTGACGGAAGCGTTCGTGGCGCCGTTAACCCAATTGTGATCCCATACGATGTCCCAAGGCGATTGAACCTTTCTCAGCGCTTCGAAGAGGGCATCCCTCGCGCGAACCCGCTCTGCCTCGTTTGCAAAGGAGCTTCCGCTGATCTCCTGGAGGTCCGCAATCAACTTGTCCGCGGATGCCATCTTGTTCAATCGCGAGGATGAAACAGTCGCAAAATACGTGACAGCAAGTTGAAAGGTGAGAGTCAGGGGCACGGGTAAGGATGTACTCCAACGCTAGAAGCACTTGCAAGCCCCCACGAAAGTAATATATAATTCCTACATCGCTTAGACGTCTGTGCGTATAACGAGATTTGAGAAAGAGGCCAAAACCAACCCTGACCCCCCGTGCCAAGTTGCCCCATTGTTACGGCCCGATCCGACGCGCTCTTACGGCCCTCCCGTTGCTCGATATACCGGAGATTGCCAACCTCCTCCCCTTGCTCGATATGTGGGAGATTTGCCAACAACCTCCTCCCCTTGTTCAATATGTGGTAGATTTCCAACAACCTCCTCCCCTTGCTCGATATGTGGCAGATTGGCCAACCTGCACGCGAGGTCGAGGTGTTGATAAATGTATCTGGTAGAACTGCCACACGGCACAATCATAGACTATCCCCTGATTTAAGGTTTCACGATCGAGACTAGCCCATTCTCCATATATTTCGACAGCTAGTACTTCTAAAGTGGTTTAGTTATCGGGCGAGTAAGGCCTCGACATGACCGCCTTGTGGCAGGCAGATGACTACGGAGTCCAGGCCAACTGGGAATGTTGGACACTATTTGCGTTTACATGCGGTTTGTCAGCACCCTCGCTGTTCTTCGTTGAGCAGCCATATCATTGATGCTGACCAAGTCCCGTCGCAGTCACTGTCGGGCTCCGAGTTATCTGCCGCACGTACTTCGTCCGTGGCGAGGGAAGACTTGGCAGCCTAGGTGTCGATGACTACACCACGATAGTTTGCGTTGCGATTCTTCTGCTCACCTGCATCCTCGTGAGCATTGGCTCCCATCATGGCCTCGGACGACATATGGCCAGTCTTGATCCTCTTGATATCGTGGAGGCGCTAAAGTGGAACGCTATCATCAGCTCCATCCTGATCTGGAGCTTCTCGTTGCCAAAATTCGCCATCATTGCTATCCTAAAGCGGATTCTTGACTATGGCCCCAAAATGACAATCCTTTTCTGGGCCCCTTGCCCTCTCTTCACAGGCCTGCATCTTGGCTACCTCGGTCTGGTAGTTTAAACAATGCACGCCGGTTGAGTATGGATGGGATAGGAGCATCGATGGACACTGTGCTCCGGTAAAAATTATGGCTGATCTTGGATATTTCACGTCGGCGTACTCGGCTTTCCTCGACCTCTTCTTTGCCCTCTACCCGATCCCACTCATCATGCGACTGAACATGCCCTTTAAATCTCGTATTGCAGTCTCTATTGCTCTCGGGCTTAGTGGGCTAGCTTGCATCGTGTCCGTCTACAAGCTGGCGATTTTCGGGCAGGTTTTTAAGATTCTCGAGCAAGATCCGACATGTGAGAACTTCCCCACTTACTTCACCCTCAACTTTTCTGAATGGGAATCTAACCAAGCCAAATCCCATAGACCCAGTCCCCTACCTTGATATCCTCGGCGTCGCAGAGGGCTCTATCCTCCTCATCTGCGCGTCCATACCAACCCTGGGGCCTCTATTTCATTTCGCGAGAGGAACTCCCACCAGCGGGGGCGACAGCAGAAGCATGCCCAACCAGTCGGGAGATAACTCCCAAGGTGGTCGCCCTGGTGGTATCGGCAATGGTAGTTGGGGTAAAGTGAAGGGCGATATTCTGGGGTACGCGGAGCGCGGATCGATTGGTATGACTTCGAGCGTGGATGATATCCCTCTCGTTCCATCTTCTAAGCGCTAAAACCACCAACATGCAATCGCAAAAACGACTGCGGAATAATAAGACATAAACTATATTGGTATTTGCTTGTCAAATCGACAACCTGTCCCACCTACTCCTTTCCTAGATATCCTCCAGTATGTTCCATATAACTCCCCGGCTCAATACCCATAACTGCGTACACTTCCTTCATAACACATGATCCTCGCTAATTCTCCATGCTCTCTCCTACACCGCCAGGCCTCATTCTTTCGGACTCACAGAATTCCTCCTCGTCATTGTCGGCGTTCTCAGAGCACTCGGGCTCCAACTCCCACCCATAGCATTCTCCTGCCCACCTCCCATCCCAAAATATCCATCCACAGTCGTAAACCCACTCCTCGTAAGCGTCGGTGTCCTTAGCCTCTTCGTGTTCGGGCTAAAGCTGCCATTCCGTCTCATCGACAGCTCCGGGCTTCGATTCCTCTCTCTCTGGTCGCCGGAATACCCCCCAGTTGTCAACGATCTTTGATGGTGATACCGCCGTGGTGATTCGGCGGGTAATTCGAGACGTGAGTTGATTTTCGTCCATAGCTGTTCCTCGTCGCTTGGTTGATCAAGACGCCATCCTCCTACGCCCTCGAAATCCCTCCCAAAACTGACGGACTGCTGTGGTAGGGGAAGAGAAACAGCAGACGCAGCGGGCGTAAGACCTGACATGAACGACGTATTACTCAGCCGTCTCGATCGCCGCTCAATCGTCGGGGTCGTAGCTGGGCTATTGTCGTACGTAGCGATCGGTGACAAAAACCTATGCGAGAGCTTGCTATGCGGATCATCCGTCCTCAGAATATAATGCGGCACAACCGCCAGCACAAGCTCGATATACACAAAAGTAACCCTCACAGCCAGAATCGACGCCGCCACCAAAGTCGTAACAACCGCCGCGCAAGCTAACGGAATCGCAATGAAGACAGCCACCGGGAGGCTAAAGGTGTATAAAGATAAGAAGCGTGGCATTGTGAGGCATGGGCTTTGAGCATAATTGAAGGCTCAGGGCCTCAATATATTTGTTTGGGGGATTGTCAGTCAATGCCGACGAGCGTTGGGGAAGTTTTGGTGATGTTGGCTGGCTGGCATGTGGATGGACCGAAGCCGTTCCCCGCCTGTGACGTCCCTTGTGGGGTGTTGGGTGGTGGAGGGCCAGGTACGTACCACCTGGCGGAACGGGCACCTTACAGGCTAACATGGCCCGTGCGACACTCTGTCGATCCAGGGACGTGCAGCTTCAACGTCTGAGGAGGGACCGTGCGTTAGATGAGGTTTGATATTGGGATTGAAGATGGTGAAGTTATTGGGATTAATGAAGAAGAACAACAATTGATATTTTTTGGGCTGATTTACCTCTAAAATACTTCTTTATATAAAAAAACCTCTATATAAAGGAGTAAATGGCTGCACAGTAGCATATGTTTTGATTACTCTAAACTGACCTAATATTGGAGCTGATGAATTACTCTCCTTGCTTCAAAGGAGAGTTTCTGAATAACTATACTGTAGTTAATTGAGAGGATGTAACATATAATCACAACTCAGAAATTGAGAGCCTTTATCTAATCTATAGTTGATGTAAACTCTCAAAGCCACGATGAGTTCTATCGCCTGTCCCCAAGTTTCTCAGTGACTGTTCTCACCTTGATCTCATAACTACGCGAACAGCTTCACAACACAACCTCAAATTCACCTTCGCCTTCACCTGTTTCCGCCATTTATCGCCTCCCACGACTTCCACAACAAACATTTCTTGTAACGTTTATTAGAAATAGCACATTACCCCCCACCCCAATAAACCCACTCCAAGGGAGGGTGTATGTGCCCTCCTCCAATTCACACCATGAGGACCAGAAGTTCTGGTCCAGCAAAGGACCCCATCACTGGAGAGATTTTCCCAGATCCACTACAGAGCACCATTCCAGCTTTCATCCACAAACCCGTGCCTTTCAACCCGTTTCCCGAGTCGGCATTTCCGACCCTTGAATTTCCTATTCCACCAGAACGACACGAGCGGGCTCGTCGTATAGCTCGTGGCAATCGAGGACGTCTGATGACCCCTCGTCGAAGTGGTTCTCCGAGCTCAGTCGCCAACAGCCAACCTGGACTTCAAGGAGTGAGTCCACTTGCACAAGGGATCACTCCTTCACAAGGACTCACTCGAAGCATGAGCCCTCAACTGGACGAGATCGCGTCCATTTTAAGAAACCAGCCTCTATTCACCGGATGTACCTCCCACGATAAGCCTGGAGCATTCGATAATAATCCATATTGGGAAGACGGTAATGAGCTGCACCCACTGGTGCCTACTACTATGGAGAAGGTAAGATAGTTCCGTCTCCTTTCAAACCTTGTGTTAATAGAAGCATTTGGACAACACAACTAACGCTTCATTCTCTGAAGAAATATGCCGTTATTCCTGCCTGGTCTGACCTCACTCCCGGCGTCCAGATCATGGCTATGAGCGAAATGGTGCTCTCTTTCGGGCTCAAAAACGCGCCAAAATTTCTCGAACTGGAACCTGAAGAGATTAACCGGTTTGTCGACCTACAAGAGCGCGAGGTTCAAGCACAAGCGGCCGAAGAAGAGAGGGCAAAGCAGTATCTCAACCAAAGTTTTCAAGAAATGTTGGCGGGGAAGCTAGATGGCTCGAATACCATGGAACTTCTCGATCTGCAGTTTTCCAATGGATCAATATGGGAACCAGCAACATTCGCCATGAAAAGGGTGGATTTAAAGGCTGGATCACGCTTTCTGCGAAGCCTTGGCTTCGAAGACGAGTCCATAAGACTGTGGCAGTATCATGGAATGGATGTTAGCATTAAGTATGAGTCTGATGATTCAAACTCAGCCGCGACCAATGATCCCCAAGGAGATTCCTCTCCAAAGATAGAGCGTCACACGAGTCAACCCGGCAACGAAATTACTGTTCAACCAGACGAGCCAGAGAATCTCGGGGTTGAAGCCGAACCCAGCCGTCACTTCGTACCAAAAGCTACACGCAACCTCCTCCTTGATAAAGTTATGAGGCCGAAGAAGTCCAGACCACCAAAGAGGAAGCAAGTATCATTTGGATTGGAGCCCTATAGTCCTGCTCGCACACCTAGCAAGCTGCGCATGTCCATTTCAGTGGATGAAATACAGACCGACGAGGCGTCCGATGAAGATGAAGAGGCAAGTCCTGTCAAGGCCAGAGTTGCACGCCAGGTTCCAACTGGGACCGACCTGTCCAAGGCTGTGAAATACACGAGGCCGACGAGACAATGGGCTGATCTGCCTAATACTGGACGGGGTTCGAAGGAACAGCACATTCGGAAGCAGAGGCAAATAACGTCGCCACTGAAACAGACGAGTTATGTTGACCTGACCGAACTTGAGCCTGACTCGCCAGTAACCCCGGAGAAGCAGAAATATCAGAATGACGCCTACCTTCAAGCACCATCCGAGAACGTTTGGTTTGCACCCGTTCGGGGGAGGTCAAGAATGCCGGTCGCAAGAGAAATGATGAGCGAGCCCCTCCGCGAGGCCGACTATCCAAGTCTCCCAGTGGTAAAGAACGTCGCAGGATTTGCAAATCCTCTCCTCGCCGCTAAATGGGCCAAATTCCCCAAACCAAACGACAACCCCAAGTTCGACGAACCGACAAAGGTACCACCAGTTCTAAGACGTCGCTCGGCACTGGGTTTTGGGGCCATTGGGTCGGACAGTCCCCCAGGCAAGGAATCTCTCCCCGGTTCATCGGTGCAGTATATGGATGAGACGCCAAGATCAAAGCGGAAGACAATGACCAGCGATGAGCTACCTAGCCCATTTGACGCATCAACGCCAGACCGTGGAAGCAACGGGCGGAAATGGAAGGAAGGAACGGTGGTTAGGACCAGACAGTTGAGCATGCAGGAGCAATATGTCGCAGACGAAGTCGTACCATCGACGCCGCGCCGTGCGAACAACGGACAGAAATGGAAGGAGGGCACGGTGGTCAGGACAAGACAATTGAGCATGCAGGAAAAAGATGTCGCAGACGAAGATGTACCATCGACGCCGCGCCCTGCAAACAACGGGCAGAAATGGAAGCAAGGCACGGTGGTTAGGACTAGGCAGCTGAGCATCCAGGAGCAATATATCGCCGACGAAGATGTACCAATTGAAATGCTGGATGCAGGGGAACAAATTCTGATGACCCGGCCACGGATCGCTGCAAGGGGGACAAGAAAGAGTAGTGGGCTCGCGACAACTGGGGAAGGGAGGAATGGTAGAGGAGAAGGAACAAGAAAGAACAGTGGGCTCGCAACAAATGAAGAAGGAGGGAATGGTAAAGGAGAAGGAACAAGAAAGAACAGTGGGCTTGCGACTATTGGGGAAGGAAGGAATGGTAAAGGAGACGGAACAAGAAAGAACAGTGGAGTCGCGACAACCACCGGAGAAGGAAGGAATGGCAGAGGAGAGGTAACAAGAGGAAGACCGGAGAGGAGATTCTATGTCCCGAGGCACCTTATGGATGACCCAGACCCAGAGGATGAAGATGAAGATGAGTAAGGATTCGGTTCAACTTGTAGGATATTGTTGCTGTTATCTTCTTGCTGGTGTTCATTGGAGTCAAGGCCTAAAAACGATGGATCCGAGCTGCGGCTTATGTACGCTTCTTCGAGTGCTTATCTACGCTTCAAGACTTAGGTTGGCAATAAAAACTCTACTTTGATAATAACATATATTACTTTTCATAATTTTTACAAGTGATTGTTTTCAGAAGGTTGGAATTGGAAACAATATGGGAAGCTGCATGGCCATGGCCGGGCACTTGTATGGCCGACCCTAACTGCACTCCGATTTGGCCTTAGCTTGCACAGCCACACCTGTAAATGACGGCCAGCCTCGCGGCTCACAGCGCTCATCAAGGGAACTGGGATTGGGAATGAACCACAGTCTGTCTCAACATCACAGCAGACTCACACTATTGTCCTCCTTCCAAATTCCGTAAGGTTACGAGCGGTGCCCCAGAGCTTCGCATAGTGACGGCAGCAGAGCCACCCCGATCCGCCACTTCTTCACAGGCCAGCGACCCCGGAGCCTCACCATCATGGCGAAGCGCATCGAGCAGCAAGAAATCGAAAAGTACTGGGAAATCTTCGCCTCCCTCTCTCATGGCGGGACGCACTTGACGGGCTCCCAGGCGGCGCCGGTGCTGAAGAATAGTCAGCTGAATGATGATAAGCTGGAGAGGATATGGGACCTGGCGGACGTGGACAACGATGGGAGTCTGGATTTCGAGGAATTCTGTGTTGCGATGCGATTGATCTTCGATATAGTCAATGGGGTAGGTGCTATGGGCTCCGGTGCTACTGTTGAAATGGAAGGTCTGACAGAATCAGGAATACGCAGATGTGCCAGCGTCATTACCGGACTGGCTGGTCCCCGAGTCAAAGGCCCATCTTGTGCAAGCCAGCCGCGCACTCACGGGACGACAAGTACAATTTGAGAAAGTGGAAGATGAAGATGAGACTCTGGGACTGAAAGACGGCTTTGATTGGTACATGAGCCCATCAGACAAATCGAAATACGAAGAGATCTACAATGCGAATCGGGATGGGCGCGGAGAGATCTCCTTCGACACCCTAGAGCCATTATACAGCTCCCTCGACGTACCAGATACCGATGTTAAATCAGCGTGGAACCTAATCAACCCAAACGCAAACTCTACTATCTCCAAAGATGCGACTCTGGCATTCCTACATATCCTGAACAACCGCCACGAGGGGTTCAGGATTCCTCGCAATGTCCCGCCATCCCTGCGTGCCTCGTTTGAGCGGAACCAAATCGATTACCAGGTCGATAATCAGCGAGCTGGCTCACCGGCGCAGAAGTGGGGTTCGGCAGGGGGCGAAGAGACAAGCACAGGACGCAAGGCCAAGTTTGGAGACACGTACCTGAGCCGGTTAGGGGTTGGCGGAAAGAGCAGCTACCGCCCAGCTGGGACGGACTTCTCCACGACCAAGACGACAGAAGATTGGGAGGAGGTCAGGCTGAAGAAGCAGCTTGCTGAGCTAGAAGCTAAGGTTGACAAGGTGGAAGCTGCATCTGCGAAGAGGCACGGGGGAAAGAGAGATACGAAGCCAGCGCTTGTTAAGAGGGAACTGGAGCAGCTGCTTGATTATAAGAGGAGAGAGCTGAGGGAGATGGAGACGGGCGAGGGCAAGACTAAGGAGGGCGCTGGGTTGAAGGGCGTGAGAGAGGAGATTGAGGCGGTCAAGGAGCAGGTTGATGGATTAGGAGCACATTTAAGGTCCAGACAGAGCGCGCTCGAAGATCTTCGGCAACAAGTGGAAGATGAGAAGGCAGGAAGGTGAAGATAGAACTATTCTTTCTTGTAGAATACACTTTCCAGATAGAAATATCATATAAAGCGAGTGTAGATATCTCCAGTATTTTAAGAATCCATTGTATGTACCGAGTTATGTGTATGGTCTGTGCGCGGTCGGGGATGACAGATCCCCCAATCGCGATAGGAAAATTAAGCTCGAGCCAGTCCATGTGAGCCAAAGCACGCACTGACTTCGATAACCCTCGGAAAGTGGGATAAAGATATCCAAGTGAACATTTTCCGAGACAACACCCCCGAAGCCCCTATTACTTGCTATTTTGCTTTGCCAATTTTGCGCCCAGCGATTTCTATTTCGAATACCCAGTTTCGGCCCCAAAGGAATGCGCTCAACGAGTGCAGGGGCATCTTGGCACTCATACCGCCATTATTGATGCGTGGAGATCAGGAACCATGATGAGCCCTGTCAATGACGACTTTACGCCCCTGGTGACGGTGGTGGGCTTCCATCATGCGAGGTGCGCAATTGTTGAATGAGTTCTGTTCTTTGCGTTGGAGCTTACGGTTGCGCAGAGGTCCTGAGGTTGAGTCGTGGTATGGAGCGGATGAGGGGACGGATCCCGCCGAGTTAAATAACTGGCCTCTACTCCCGTTCATGGCCTTGTCGGATGGGGCACATGCGTAAGAAGCTATTCCTGGCTTGTTATTTGGACTTGCCCTTACTGACACCGGACAGATCCTCTGAGGACTTCTCCTACTTCACGCTCCTGAAGCCTGGGGTTGATGCCACCCTACCTACCTCCCTCTTCGGCATATCGTGTACGAGACAAATAGCAGCTTCCGAATTATTAGAAAAATCGGCGGAGGTTACACGCAGTACGGTGCAGAAGGCTGTTGTGGTTATCGCGGACTCCCCACATCTGTTTGGAATGCTGAGGGAAAGGCTAAGCGTGGTAACAAGCGCATGGTTTGCCCAGAAGGATTTTTCAGAGACGGAGATATTGAAGAGGTTCCAAGAAAGCCTGAAAGATGAAGCGGAAAGAGGAAGGCTAAAGGAAGAGGTCGACAGGGACCAGTATCTCGGCATGAGCTTGCGACAATTGATCAGGGAGTTCAAGTGGCAGACATTGGTGCTGTTCAAATGCTGCCTGTTACAACCAAAGGTTTGTGGATTTTGAGAATCGTTCAGCAGGAAACCTGCTAACGGTTTACATAGATGCTCTTCTTCGGGACTCGGTGTGAGAGGTTGTGCATGATGCAATTCTCCCTGATATCGCTCATTCCAGGCTTAATACGAAAGTTACAGGATTGCGCAGATCCTGAACTAGACAGCTATGAGAGAGGCCTCGCCAAGCCGACAAGCCTGAAAACAAGTGACAGGAACTCGTTACTATCCTACATGGGCCTTCCCTTGCAGATTTTCCCCAAAGGTAGCCTGTTTGGACCATATACCCCTCTCCAACAATTGGACACTTTGGCCGATTTCGGCACAAAATCATATATCGTCGGATCAACCAATTCGCTCTTGTTGCAACAAAAGGATCGCTATAGTGACATACTAATTAATCTTGACGAAATATCTATCAACATAACATCAACCTCGTTAAGAACGGCCCTGAACCTCTCTGTTGCCGACCGTCGTTGGATCGATTTCATAACACAATCGGTTAACGATACTTGGGACGATGCAAACCCCGAGCGCCCAAGTACTATGGGATACGTAGGAAGCGAAGAGTTCATACGGCTCCAATTCGAGGAGTATTTACTGTCCTTAATATCTTCTGTCAAATGTCACAACTACATGACCGCCAATGCAGGAAACCCGAATGTCATGCTCCCGCAACTCGAGGGAGACCCCACTTATGATTTTGGATCGGATTGGATTGAGGCATGGGCCCAGACGGAAAATTATAGGATATGGAACAAGAACACAGACAGTCATCTTTTTGACATTGTCGAGCCAAAGCATCCCTGCGCTGGTGGGTTGACTATCGACGATGTTCAAAGGCGTCTTGCTCAACAAGTCCAAGAGCTTCATCTCGATGAACGATTTGCGGTGGGAAAAGAGGTTCTGGGGCGCAACCTCGCAGCTGGAAAGGAAAGGGCTAGCGGCGTCTTCAATAAACTCTACAATGACATGGAGTTACTACGAGAGAGCCAAAGGAGACGTCGTGCCGAGCAGGCGGCTATCCCAGAGCGCAATGAAGTAGCCTCCCCAACAGCTAGACATTTTGTACCAGACTTAACGAAAGCACAAGCGGCGGCGGCGAATGTGGGCAGCATGGCTGGTTCATATGTGAGCAGCTGGGCTTCCTGGGCTGGAGAAAAGAAGAAGGGGTGGGGCGCGGCATCTTCAAAACGAAACTCGGAGGACGTACAAGATATTGATTTCACGCCCAGGGACATTACTCCGAAGGCATCGATAACTATGTCTCGTGATACGGCAAGGTGGACTCCTGAAATAAAACCCTCCAGCGCCTCCCCACAAGTTCCAACTACCACTATTTATGAAGAGCTACAACAATCACGACCACAAACACAGGAATCGTACAAAGAGAGCATTTTTGATGCTGATAGTGCGACTGATGATGAGGAGGCTGCAAGGGTGGTGGGTAGGGAGCCTTCGACTTCTCCAAAGCTTCCAGAGCCCAAGCCGACAACCGCACTGGACACAGAGCCGTTGGCTGCTGCGAATATTCCAGATTCCAAGCCGATTGCCGCGCTGAACACTGAGTCTTCGGCTGCAACGGACCTCCCGGAGCCCAAGCCAACGACCACGTTGGACGCGGAGCCAGCGGCAGTCACGAGCCTCCCAGAAACCATGTCAGAGATCCCACTGGACACAAAACCACCGACTGCCACGAGCATTCCAGAAACCATGTCAGAAATCCCACTAGACACAGAGCCATCGACTACTGCAAGCCCTCCGGAACCCAAGAAAATAACCATACCGACCAAAGAGCCACCAGCTGGACCATTATCTCCCGAGCCAATTAAATCGGCAAGGAGTGATTCAAGCGGCAAGGTGAGCGCGATGAAGCAGCGATTCGAGGCCGCGGCAGCTGCCAAAAAGAGTTGATGTAGCCTCATCGATATGGGTGTAATTTAGACAACCTGAATAGACAACTGTCCACCCAAGATTTTATATTTGAACATTTTAATTTTAACTTAGCTGTATATTTGTACATAGATCCGTCACAGTATTTCCCAGCCAGCGAAGGTCGGATATGCGCAAGCCATAACTATACGACTTGATACCAAAATCCGGGTATAATTTAAATATATTATATATAGCACGTATACCGTGAAGCTAATTTCATCAATTTCGAGACCCGAGTCGTGATCTTGGTTTTGGTGGTGACGGATAAATCTGATTACCAACGCTATGATTTGTCAGCCGACGAGCTTCAACATCGTTGACGACCACGAGCGTCTTTGATGGGAGGATTCCACTGCATCATTATTTCTATGATATTTTATATGCGATAGGAGCCTTATACAAGGGTAGTAAATAAGTTATGGCTACCGATTTGGCCCCCAATGCGTGCTCTCGGTGCAAAGGGCTGAAGAAGAAGTGTGACAAAGGTCTCCCTTGCTGTGAGCGATGCACGAGGTAAGGATACCCGCTGCATTATTGCAGAAAAAATCACCCTACTTCAATATCTAAATAGATAACTAGGCTCGGTGCGAGGTGTCAATATGATAGTGGCACACAAGATTTGAGGCCGATGCACAGTGCTGCAGACACGAGTGCTCACAGCCAGCCACACCAGCTGCCAACTCCGCCGAGCATGTCTACGCGCCAGGTCTCACCCGATTTTCAATCAGCGCTTGGTATGTTACAGATTTGTGACGACGACGAGAATCTAGGGAGGCAGATAGCTGTTGTGATTGCGAACACCGGCGCTGATGTTGGCATCTTTTGCTCCACCTACTTCAACACACTCCACGAGTGGTTCCCTATTATTCCCAGCCGTGACATCTACGACCGCATAGCTACGCTTTCGACGGGCCCCAGCCCAGAGTTTGCTATACTAATACTGTGCCTACATCTGATTACCAAGATTGATCGGACAAATTGTGATTGTCAAACGATGATGCATTTCTACCTGACAGCAAAGCGACTCTATTCCCTCGTTAGCTCATCAGGTCGAATGTCGAAAGAGCTAGTTCAAAGCGGGATTCTTCTTGCTCTTTATGAATATGGCAATGCAATTCCTGACACAGCGTACGTAACACTAGCTGGGCCAGCGAGGATGGCGTTGCTTCTGGGCTATGATAAGACGGTGTATGAAGGAGGAAATGCTGGAAACATTTCTGACGTTGAAGCCGAAGAACAGCGGTGTATTTGGTGGTGTATTATCACCCTTGAAAGGCAAGTCATTCCTAAGCTGTGGGGTATGTTTTCTGACTCTGTGGCAGGGTAATGCGCATGGATCATATGGAGAGACAGCTCCCTTTTATCACTGCATCGCCAACACTCTGTTCGTTTCTTCCTTCCACTTCAGGGGCTAAGATTGCCCTTGGAGTAGGCTTGAAACTTCCAGGAAATCCCTTCCAGAACTCTGGTCCAGAAACGCGACTTAAGACCTTTGCTCTAGTCGCCCAATCTATTTATTTTCTGGATCGTGTCATTGAACATATCAATACTACCTATGAGGAGGTAAACCGAAAGCCAGAAATCACTGCTCAACTAGATGAAGCGATCAGAGCTTTTTGCATGACTTTATTAGAAGAGAAACACTATGATCGAACTGGGCACTGCTGGCCACATGCTACGTGTTTGAGGTACGTTTCCCGCAATCAATGAATATGCAGGTGCTAACCATCATAGTGCCTTATTATTCCTTTCCCGCGATGCTCTAGAAGTGAGAGACGGAACTTACAAGTACGAAGACTCATGTCGTGCGATATTATCTCTTCGTTCAATCATTCGAATCACTCTAGAAGGCGTCAAGTCAGGGTCTTATACGACACAGACTGCCGTTGAACTTGTCCCAATTTGGGGTTTGCATTGCATTTATTTGGCGGCTACGAGCCACACTGAGTTTGGCGACAAAACCAATGAAAAAGAGTGGGAAGAAGACCTTGAGTGTCTTCATCAAACATTATCGTGGTACAAGTCGAAATGGATGCTTGCTGGTTCGTATATTCCAATCAGAGCTAATAGCATACAACCCCTCTAATATCGAATCTTAGGATGCTATTTGGACTGCTCTAAGATGGCCACTCGTATAATCAAAGACATGGACACCGGATACCATAATGAGGATCCAAGCGAGCTGTGCAGCGGGCCCGGGTTACGATAGTGAGACGACATTTAATTCATCTAAGGCCTAGTGCCATGCTAATATTCACAAGGATAAGATAACTATTTCTCTTCGGTATCCTTCTTGGCCTCGAGCTTCGTCACCAGCTCCCCATAACCCTTCAAGATCAGGTCCTTGCTTTCGCCGTTGCTCCACGCCTCCTTTGCTGTCTCGTGTAGCTCCCCAGTCATCGCACTCATGAGACCTGGCGACATGTTGCGGTTGTTCTCGTCCCTCTCTGGGAAACTCAACTGTGGCTTTGTCTCGGCGACTTGGAGCTTCATTCCTTCGAGCGTCTTGACGAGCGCGTCGGATGACGCAGAGCCACCGAAGATTCCGTAGGTTACGACGAGAACCGGCTTGCCAATCCAGGCGTGATACAGGAAGTCGATGGCGTTCTTGACGCCACCAGGGATTCCATAGTTGTACTCAGGGGAGACCAATATGTACCCATCGTACTTTTGGATCTCATTTGTCCAGTCTTTGCTGTGCTGGTGCTTGAATTCGCCATAGGCGGGAACCATGGCGGGTAGAAGTGCCTCATCGAAAACTGGGAGGTTGAAGTCTTTTAGGTCGATAAGGGTGAAAGTGGGTGCTGGTGAAGAGCTGGCAGCGCCGCCCTCGACGATGGACTTGACGATCCCGGCGACATGTGGGCCGATGCGGGCAGCACGGGTTGACCCGATGATTATTCCGATGCTCTTGGGGGCCGACATTGTGGACGTTGGTGTAGATAGGGGGATATTTGGGGTTGTCAAGGTATAAAGGCGGCTGGAGGTTGGAGAAGAGCGCGGTTTAAAGTCAGGAGTGTTCGATTTGGAGGATGTTAATTGGGAAATGTACACTCATCACTACGTTGTCTACCTTTATATATACGTCCCATCTACGTTTCTTACTTCCCTCGGACAGCAGAAGCTTCGTCTCCATCGAACTCGAACTACTGTGACCAACACAGCCCATCGTTTGATTTCAAAGCACTAAACCTCTTATTTCTCCATATCTCCACACTCTGAATCGCCATGTACTAATTCCACCCTTGGGAAAGGCTAAATCTACATTTTTTGGTGATACCAAAAAGGGGCTGCTGTGACCTTGGGTGGCCAAAAGAGCGTAGGAGACTGTCAACGTCGGGGGGCGGCCGACCGTCACTGCACGAGCGGCCCCGACCCCGACCCGACCCACGCTAATGCCGACCCAAACCGCCAAATATGGGGCGTTATATGATAAATGCACCAGGCTTTCAGTTATAAAGCTTTAAACCCCATACTTATTAAAACGTGCGAAACCTCCGAGCGTATAAATTTGCCCATATCAGTCAATATTGCGCCATCAGCGAGCATGGACTCCACGCCAGGTCTGATCGGGGCGGGGAACCATGGCGTCGGCCGTAGGGTTTCCACTTATCGATTGATGAATTGGCGGCAATGAAACGTTGAACTTGCTGCAGGGGCAGATCAGGCATTAACTCTCGCCTGGAGCCAATGTTGGATATCCTAACCGAGAACAAGCGCCGGTTCAGCTCACGGCGATTTAACTCGTTCAAGGTGTTTGTTGTATATTTTCCCATTGGATATATCGTACGGACACGGAGTGTATCCAGGTGTCTCATCCTCACAGGAATGGAGTATCCCAATGTCCGAAGTTCTAGGGAAGACTGAAGCCGTCAGGTATTACAGGAAGTCAGGGCCGTAGGGGTTTCAGGCGCGGGTTCCTTGATCTTGGTAAGCACTGTGCATCCCTTTATAAGCCTTTGCTGGTTACTCAAGAAGAGGAAACAGGTTGGTATTGGCCGTAAGACTAGCCTCGAGAAGAGAACGAAAAATTGTTCTTACATACGAGATATAATGGGAGACCCACCAAGTAGCATCAAGTCATACAAGCAAGCTGTTGTATGCCAGGAAGTGTTGTGGATACGAGGACAACGAGTAACTATTAAGAGTTAGGTTGGCTACCCAAGAGCATAGGCTTTGCGTAACCTTGCAATCACTGACAGCACTTATAGTTACCCCTCACCACGTTTATGTTCATGAAAGCCAAGCGTGTCTGTGAAAGAAGAACTATATTGTATGTTTATTTCTCATTGAAATTCATGATCTATGCTCAAAGGCTACTTCTGGCTTGCCGACACAGCCATCTCCCACTAATGAGCCGCGGCAACAACTCTATCATTCTCCTCCAACACTTCCTTAATTGCCTTCCTTGAAGCGACAGCCTTATGCCACCTGACATAGTTAGGATACTTCTTCTCCAGCTCCTCAATAGCGAATTCGCCCTTGAAGACCGCTTGGAACCGATAATCCCAAGCGATGAACGATATATCGGCATACGTGCACTTATCGCCAACAAGATAGTCCCTCCCTTCAAGCGCGCGGTTCAGCACATCATATACACGGAGAACCTGGTCCTTGTACCGCTGCTGGGCAGTGGGAAGCTTCTCCTGGTGGTACTTTTCGAACCACATCGCCTGTCCGAAGTACGGCCCCTGTCCACTGACTTGGAAATGCAGCCATTGCTTCACCTGGAACTTCTCGGGGACGGTGTCGTACGTCAGCGAATTGGACTTGTCATAGGTCTCGATGAGGTATTCGATGATGGCACCGGATTCCCAGAGGGTGACGTTTGTGTTTGGATCCTCGATGGCGGGGACACGGCTGTGACGTGTTAGCAGAAGAGATACCATGGGAGTCCGAAAAACATACCCGTTGATGCAGAGTTTCTCGTATGGCTCCTTCTTGAGCTCGGGGAAGGTCAAAAATTCGGTTTTATAGGGAACATTCAACTCGGCCAGGATCATGGCAACCTTCCATGGGTTGGGGCCCCCGGCTTCATGGTGTTAGCAGGCACAATGGTGGTGGCTATGGCTTATCACGACTTGGAGAACTTGCCATGAGAGTAGAGGGTAATTGGCTTGAGATCCTTGTTTTGAGCCATGGTGAAAAGAGGTTGATGTTATTAACGATGATTTAGTTGGTTTACTGACACGATACAATCGACTTGGGCTGTGTTATACAAAAGGCAGGTCTACATCGAGATAATACGGTCTATTTAAGTTACCCCACAGAATCAAAATATGAAAACGAAATATTCATAAGTTGGTAACGAAGGGATAACTAATGATTTACAAATCCTTGGTTTGAAAGCAATGCCCCCACAACGCCCTCTACTGAACACACTCACGTCCTTCATATGCAGGCACAGGCAAGAAAGGCACCCGACAGACGATCCGGCTGCTGGATAGTGAGGGGCCGTTATGGCCCGAGGGGCAAGACGAGAGAGCGAGAGGCCACGAGTTGGTAAAAGCTCCAGTAAGTGGACCTGCGCCGTCTAAGGAGGCGTCAAAACTGAGCCGGGTATTGTTAGAGCCGTGGATAATACGCAGGCACCCGAGTCGTGAATTGGATCTAGTTGTGGATCTTTGATGTGCTTGTTTATTTTCCCAATATCAATGTGGGGAAATTGAGGCTCGCTTACAAATATTCTAAATCATAATTACCAAATCGACGGGACATAGAGCGACGTTGATTACAAACATTAGGGGCCATTGGTGCTGCTCGGAAAGTCCGAAGACCGAGGCCGATGGCGGGTTGGTAACTTGAGAGGTTTTTGACTATCCCGACTCAGATTCATGCAACGGTGAAGTTGGTCAATTCGATACGTTCACACTGTGGCAAATAATCTCAATACGGTAACTGTCACAGCGGCAACTGGGCAAATGCCGGGTATATCATGGTTTCATTCCCTAACCACTAAGAGTACATCTATACCGTATCATATCTCAGTTTTAACATCTATGGCCTCGCCCTCCGCATTGTCCTGCGGTTTAGCCCCACGGGTCACCCGTCGTGGCTCCGCCTCTTTCTCCGCCTCTTTCTCCTCCTTGGCTTCCCCATCACCACTTTCCACACTCGCATCACTCGTGAAACTGCTCGTTGGGTGAATTTCCCTCTTCGCGAGTTCCGGGGTAGTGCTCCTCGACTCCTCCTTTTCACTAGCGCTGGCGGCGGATAAAGAGCTGACGCTAGTCGCTGGCCGTAGTTCCCTTAGACCCCGTGGAGTCGTAGCGGTAGACGTGCTTAAGTTGCTGCTTGGCCTCTTCTTCCTGCCCGCTGTTGATGAGGCTGTGCTGCTGCGACGGCTATGGGTCGTGCTTCCACCGCCCTCATCTTCTCCCCTGGCACTAGGCGTAGGAGTGTTACTCCTCGAGTTCGTCCTCGAATGGCTCCCAGAACGCACACTTCCGCTTCTGAGCCTCTTCTCCTTGTCCGCTGGTAAGCCTAGGTGACCCATTCTATGAACGCTCTGATTATGGTGATGGCCGTGCTTCTCGATATCCTTCGCCGTCAAAACCGGTTGCACACCAAGTAATTTTTTCCACCAACTTTGTTTCTTGGCGTGCTCGCGCTCGTACTTCCGGAGCTTCTGGAGGAGGACTCGCCTCCGCTCGTTCTCGCGCTCCCAGTATTCCGTGCGGTAAAGGTCCCAGTTTTCGCGGAAAGTGGGCGAGAATGGCTTGGGTAGTAGTAATAATGATATGGTGTCACCGCCGGGTGAGAGATCTTCTTCATGTCCTTTCGATGGGACGTGTTCGGCAATATTTGGTAGTCCGCTGGTAGAATTGCGGTTTGACTGCGGTGTTGGGTTGGCTATGGAGGGTGGTATGTAGCGATAGGTTGAGGAGCCGTTGTTGAGTAAGAGACCCGAGGAAAAGAAGAACGAAAAAGTTGACATCCATTCTTTCCACCAGGGCCCTTTGACCACGACAATCTTGTAATTGAATCCTCTGAGGCCGCGGTTTGTGACTCCAACCCACCGGCGGGGCCATCGAATTCCTCGCTCCCACTGTCCTGTCCCCCAAACCAGTACCGCAGTAACAACTCCGCCCATCAAGCAGACCTTCTCCGCCACCTCTACCACCCAGTATACAGAGCCTCCGACACCACTTCCATCTTCTCTAGGCGCCAGAAACAAGGCGTAAGCGAAGTATCCCGTCCAGAGTGCGAGGAGGGTAAGAAAGAACGTGTGCTGTCGCCGCCGTGCGCGAAGCTCGAGGTATTGTGCGCGCAAAGACGCTTCGAGGATAAGAAGATTTAGGTATATCTGTGGCGGGGAAGATGGCAGATGTGCGAGAGGGTCAGCGACCCCAGAGGCGGTTGTCGTATCCGCTGCGGGCGCGTCGCCTTGTGGTGCGCCCTTGATGATCTGGTCAAGCCTCGTTTCCGACATGATGCGCTGTGCCTATATGCAAGACGCAGGTATCGAGTTGGGCCGTTCGGAGGAGGTGCTATTGCAGCATGGCCGTCGCAAGAAAGAATCTCTCGTATCCTCGGCTTTCGCTCGTCTCACTACGTCGCTCGCAGTCGCCAGGAAATAGTTCTGCAGTGGATCAAAGAGTGCGCTTTCAATTCGAACAACTCTCAGCACGTCGAAAATATTCACTGCTGCATAAATAAAGCAAAAAATCAGTACATAGAGGTAGGGACGAGCGTCATAGAGGTGCTCTCTATAGTTATCCTTGTCCGAGTTTAAGCTTCGTGATGGGGCGGAGATCGGATAAACTATCGGGGCCTAAATGCGGCCGCATCCATGAAGTTCGGGGTTTCCGGAGGCTCTTTTGTCCGACAATGACACGTGCAAGGGTGCATGGACCCCAATTGATTGGACACCCCGCCTCCTTTGAAGGCCAGGCAGGCGCGGATTGTGTCCACGTACCACGGTCAGCGGCCTTAACTTAAACCCAACGGACATAACGAAAAATTAGCCACAAGGCACACCGTTGAGCTACGTTTCGGAGAAGAACGAGACTTGATAAGCCCGCGCAGTGTGCATAGTACGCATACACTATACATATATATATATATATATTTCCGGTAGTTGCGATTGAGTGACGGGTAACGCTGTCTCTCAGTCGCGCCACCCTTCCGTCATTCAAGTTGTATCCCAACACGGCGCTGTTGCTGCGCTCAACAACTTGTGACACAGTAGCCCTTCGTCACCTCTCGAGCCTCATAGTTTCTCCCACGACACAAAAACACCAAACCTACTCCTCAATGCCTTCCCCAGCAACTCACTCGGAGGAAGATGCCTCGCGCCACGGCGCAAAGCCGATCTTTGCCTCGGAGCGCACCAGAGAGGCAACCGCCGCCCCAAAGATACCAAACCAAGCTCCTCGCCTTACCCAGTATTTCCCGTTAGGTTATAAGGAAGCGTTTAACCAATGGGTAAGAAACCCCTCCATCTGAAGTCTGCGCGATTCTAACATCTGTCCAGTGGGCCACGGTTTCGCCAGCAATCGCTGAGCATAATGTCCTCTCTTTCGTTCCTCACCTCCGCCAGCCTCCCACCCATACGCAGACGGGAACCTATGCTACCTCGAGTGATGAGGCGCCAATGTCATATAACCCCGATCCGACCCGAGCCGCAACTCCGGTGCGGACAACCTCTATGAATGACCCATTCGGGCCACGATCCTGGCGATCAATGATGGTCCAGCTGGGTGGCAAGAACCGAGCCCTGAACGAGTTCTCCGTTGAGAGAGAAGGAGAAGAGGTGGAAGAGAACTTAGTCATGCTTCACGGATACGGAGCTGGCCTGGGTTTCTTTTACAAGAACTTTGAGGGCATAAGCCGCGTTAAGGGCCTGAAACTATACGCTCTCGACATGCTAGGAATGGGCCGAAGCACACGCCCCCCCTTTAAAGTGAACGCAAAGGACCAGCAGGGAAAGATTACAGAGGCTGAGAATTGGTTCATTGATGCGTTGGAAGAGTGGCGTGTCCTGCGCAAAATCGATAAATTCACGCTTCTCGGACACAGCATGGGTGGTTATATGGCCGTTGCATACGCCCTAAAATATCCAGGCCACCTGAACAAGCTGATCCTGGCTTCCCCCGTTGGTATTCCGGCAGATCCCTATGCAACGAAGGCAGAAATACCTGACCAGGCTACTATTGAGAACGAAGTCCTTCAAGACCAAGAAGACGACATTGTCAACAAGCCGTCGAACGGGAACAATGGTGCTCGCAACGGCAAGGCCCAAGGACCTGCTGAATCAACTTCAGACGATCCACCTCGCCGCCGAATTCCAAAGTGGGCGAGCTACCTTTGGGACGCCAATGTCTCCCCTTTCAGCATTATACGCTGGGCAGGACCATTGGGCCCTCGATTCGTGTCAGGATGGACATCCCGCCGCTTCAGCCACCTCCCAGAAACTGAGGCACAGGCCCTTCACGAATACGCCTACTCTCTCTTTCGACAACGTGGAAGCGGCGAGTACGCTCTCGCCTACATTCTCGCACCCGGAGCGTTCGCCCGTAGTCCTCTGATCGACCGCATACACAACGTGGGCAGGCAGCCTCTCGGTCTCTCGGGTGCACCGTCGACTTCTGCAGAGCCTGTAAGGCGAGAGACTGGCTACCCGGTTATCATGATGTACGGTGAGAATGACTGGATGGACGTTGCGGGCGGGCTCGCAGCGGAACAAAAGCTTAAGGAAGCTAAGGCCGCAGCGCTAGCTACGGCGACTCCTCGGGAGAAGCAGGAAGAGCGCGGGAGTGCGAGGGTGGTAATAATTCAGAAGGCTGGGCATCATTTGTATCTAGACGGGCATGAGGACTTTAACGAGGTGATACGGAGGGAGATGGAGGAGACGAAACGGGATCTGAAGAAGCAGAAGGAGCAGAGCGGGGGATTGTAGAAGCACCGGGATTATTATTACGAGGTGCGGAGTAAATATTGTAAGGGGGAGTTAAGCCTGTGATCGATGTGCGTTGGTCGTTTTGTAGATATTCTATTTTTACAGCTTATAGATGATTAAGACATAGATATGTATGAGTAATGTGCAAATATAGCTCACGGGGAGCATGTATTATATAATTTAAGCCTTAAATAAATGAGGTTTTTACACACCGTATAATAGCAAATAATGCCTCCTCTTGGAGAACAGTCTGAGTGTCGGAATTAGATACTCCGAGTGTACAAACACTGATGATCTTTCATGATAAACTGTAACATATCATGTTTTTACACCGAGTACAGGTGATGCAGTTGGCCGCCAACCAGAGTTCTCCAACCCAATGATGCCTGAGGAAATCAATCCACGCTCAATTATCGGGGGCGGGGGCAGCTTAGCTTTAGGGAGGGTGGCAAGGTCATTATGGTAGTCCGTGCTCTCCGGCACACGCTTTGTTTGGCACCCGCAGACCCATCCTCCGACGTCCTAACTGACGACATCCACACTCCACGACCAAGTCTAGCGGTTCAATAATCATCGACCTCGAACTAATTGCTCGAATCCCGCTGTGCTCGCCATTAGCATACTCGACTACAGCGATATCTACGCCCGCTCGATCGCTCGAATAGTCGCCACCGTCATCATCATCGCTAAGCCTCCCTCGGGGCGAATACCGCGCATCAGCCTCATCGACACTGGGACCAGCCGTGAAGTGGCCGCGAAACGACAAACACGACACGTATCCGCACTCTCGAAACCCCATCACTCCATCGCCATCCGAGGTTCGCACTGCGGTGCTCGCGAATATCGCATTGTTTCCAACCGCGCGGTCGCTATAGCCGCACTCGGACCCCTGCCGTCATCCTCCGTAACGCCCAGCCCCGACCACAACTCGACAAACAGCCACGAAGTGCAGCGAACCATCAACGACCGGAAGTGCTTCCACCATCCGTGGCAGCGTGCTTCCTTCCCGTCGGCGGTGCAGACACGTTGCACCCAATTGGTAGATCCATCGCTTTGGATCTAGTACTCTGCGCGGAGCTCTTGCGCACACCGTAGTCCCCGCACGGCCAAGATGGGTGTGTGTGTGAGCACGAATAACGGCGAGGAGGCCGAGTCGAAGAAAAAGAGCCAGATGATAGATGAGGGGATCGCTGCTGATGCACGACGACTACGACGGGAATGCAAGATCCTGTTGCTGGGTGAGTTTTGATGACTTTGGCGATCTGGCAAATAACTGATACGTTGGCAGGTTCTGGAGAGAGCGGGAAGTCAACTATCGTGAAACAGATGAAGATTATCCATCAGAATGGATATTCGATGGATGAATTGGCGTTATATCGACTGACGATCTACAAGAATCTTATCGACTGTGCCAAGGCGTTGGTTGGAGCCATGAGGCAATTTGACATATTGCCAAAGAACCCGGAGAACATCGAATATTGCGACTTTCTCGCTGATTATCAGGTCGATCCAGATCCACATATCCCCTTAGACTCCAAAATTGGAGTGGCCGTGATGTCGCTATGGAAAGATCCCAATATGGAGATTTTGTTACAGAGGCAAAGCGAATTCTACATGATGGATTCTGCACCATAGTAGGCTTTCTGTACTCGCAATACTTTGGCTATGCTAACAGATTGTTTCAGTTTCTTCGAAGAGTCATTGAGAATATCAGCACCGGAATATATTCCCACTGAGGCCGATGTCCTCAGAGCTAGAACAAAGACCACAGGTATATACGAGACGAGATTTTCGATGGGCCAGTTAGGCATACAGTGAGCACACATGATATCAACCCCGCCTTGGACGCACACTGACCTTTTCGTAGCATGTTCGATGTCGGCGGGCAGAGGAGTGAAAGGAAGAAGTGGATTCATTGCTTCGAAAATGTCACATCTATCATCTTCTGCGTAGCATTGAGCGAGTACGATCAAGTATTGCTTGAAGAGAGTAATCAGGTATGTCTAGCACTGCAGCCCTTGCATGTCAAAAGCTAACACTCTCAGAACCGAATGATGGAGAGTTTGGTGCTCTTCGATTCGGTCGTCAATTCGCGATGGTTTATGAGGACCAGTATCATTCTATTCCTCAACAAGTTTGATTTGTTCAAGCAAAAGCTGGGCAGGTCTCCACTAGGGAATTATTTCCCCGACTATTCTGGTGGCAACGACGTGAATAGAGCTGCAAAGTATCTTTTGTGGCGGTTCAATCAAGTCAACAGAGCTCATCTGAATTTATATCCTCAGTAAGTCCACCAACAGCTTGCAATCTAGCACCAAACTAACAGCATCGACAGTCTCACGCAGGCCACTGATACGTCGAATATCCGACTCGTTTTCGCCGCAGTGAAGGAGACGATTCTACAGAATGCCCTGAAAGACTCGGGCATTCTTTGAGGTGGCGATATTATGCATGCATCTGAATTTTTCCTTTATTTTTTCACGAACAGGGTAGCAGGAATTGCAGGCGTCTCTCCCCCAGGGGCCTCGCAGACGGAGTTTATGGCGCAGCTGTCGAATAGCCCACCACCACCATCTTTGGCACGGCTTTATGGGCGCGTCGTAACAATTTTTGGTCACAAAACGGGAGCACATCTTACTTTTTATTTTATTTTTTTGGATTTCGGGCGATGGGAATGGGATGGAGGCAGAGTTTGGAGAGCAGTCGTCGTTGACACTGACACGTGGCATACCCATTGAAGTATTTTGTTTTGTTTGGTGGGGATAAATAGGTGGAAGAGGAAGAGGAGGAATGGGAAGGCCTTGTTGAGCGAAAGCTATTAAGACATGAGATGGCTATATGTCTCGCAAACGCCTGGACGGCAGACCCGGGGCGTGGAGAGCGGCGGGACGATGAGCGCGGGAGTCAGATATAATAACCCAGATAATATTATGCTACGCTTGATGATCAAACCGAAAGAAAACGCGAGTTGCAGTACAATAGTGAGTTGCAGTACAACAATACTGTAGTGACACTTTTGAAATGCCGGTCGCTTCGATACAAGCTCTCACCAAAGTCTCACTCCCTGCATGCATCGCTGAGTTGAAGCTGTAGAACCAACCAACCCCAGAACATCAATGTGAGACGGGGCTGCATTGTGCAGGCAGCTAGGCGGATCCGTTCGCGTACTGGCCCGTGCTGTAGTGAGAGGCGGATGGATCATCGTGTCAGGCATGACGACACCGATAAGAGCTTCGGGGGAGCTGTAAGGGTGTACATGAGCCCTACTATGCTGTACCAAGGCGCTGTTGGTGGTCAATAGCGATAATAACGATAAATATAAAATCAAGAACTCCAAAGCTGACACCGTGCTTATGTGTATTTAATTTACGCGTGTAACATTCCAGCGTTGTCTCTTGTTGTGAGAGAGAAAGGACATCAGCAGCACCTGCAGCCCCGATAAGTGAAGAGCGGGGGAGCTGTTGCCAAACGTGCTGACAGCTGCATACATCAGCCCCGCACGACTGCCCCCTCCAGCCAGCCCGCTTTCCCACTTCCAAGACGGACAACAATCGTATATATTAAGACCCAACCGTCTTCGATCGAGAGAGCTCCTTTGCTCTCTTCTATTCTCTTCTTTTCATCATCTTATCAATTCCATTTATCAACCATTCATCATGGCGACGCCTACTCCTCCACCGCCCCGTGAACGCCGCCCAAGCACTGGGGCGCCTATCTCTGACCTCAGGGGACCCGTTGGACCACCAGGCTTCACCCGCCCGAAGCATAAGAGGACTCTGACCGGCTTTGGAGCTGGCGAGATTAAGAGCGTCGAAGGTAAGCTATTTCCCTATTTCCCCCCACTGGCTAGTTTATCAAACATAAACTCACACCACTTCCCCCCATCACAGCTTCCATCCCCGAAAACCAGCGCACTGCCTGGAAGAAGTACAGCACGCAACCCTTCACGACTGCCGAGGACTTCGAAAAGGAAGTCGTGCGCCATGTCGAGACAACGCTCGCGCGTAGCATGTTCAACTGCGACGAGACCGCCGCATACGCCGCTGCCAGTCTGGCATTCCGAAACCGCCTAATCACAGAGTGGAATCGTACGCAGCAGAGACAAACTTTTGCGGATGGGAAGAGGGTATACTATCTCTCTCTCGAGTTCCTGATGGGGAGGGCGCTTGATAATGCTATGTTGAACGTTGGGCTGAAGAATGTGGCTAAGGGTGAGTCTCCTGATAATGTTGTGAGAGTTGGGAGTGCTGATAAGCGGTTTTAGAGGGGCTGGCGGATCTGGGCTTCCGAATTGAGGATATTATAGAGCAGGAACATGATGCTGCACTTGGTAATGGCGGTCTTGGTCGTCTTGCAGCTTGCTTTTTGGATAGTTTGGCATCGCTCAATTACCCCGCTTGGGGATATGGGCTGAGGTATCGTTATGGTATTTTTAAGCAGGAGATTGTGGATGGATACCAGGTTGAGGTTCCCGATTACTGGTTGGACTTCAACCCTTGGGAGTTCCCTAGACACGATGTTGTCGTCGATGTGAGAAATCCCCAGGCAGAAACTTGAAGTGGAACTATGGGGCTGATTTATTATTCACAGATCCAATTTTATGGCGAGGTCAGGAAGTACCATGACGAGAATGGCAAGAGTCGCGCTGTATGGGAAGATGGGGAACTTGTGAAGGCTACTGCATACGATGTTCCCATTCCAGGTTTCGATACTGCGGTTGTGAACAACCTGCGTCTCTGGTCGAGCAAAGCAGCCAGCGGGGAATTCGACTTCCAGAAGTTCAACAGCGGTGACTACGAGAGGTAAGTCGATCGAAGCCATGTGATTTATGCCTAGACTAACATTACTGTTTTCTAGCGCCGTCGCTGATGAGCAGCGTGCTGAGACGATTTCTGCGGTTTTATACCCCAATGATAACCTCGAGCGTGGAAAGGAGCTCCGCTTGAAGCAGCAGTACTTCTGGGTTGCTGCTTCATTGTATGATATCGTGCGACGATTCAAGAAGAGCAAGCGTGCCTGGAAGGAATTCCCTGACCAGGTCGCTATCCAGCTGAACGACACGCACCCAACTCTTGCCATTGTTGAGCTCCAACGCATCTTGATTGATCTCGAAGGCCTCGAGTGGGAGGATGCCTGGAACATCGTTACCAAGACCTTTGGCTACACCAACCACACTGTTCTCCCCGAGGCGCTGGAGAAGTGGTCCGTTCCATTGTTCCAGAACCTCCTTCCGAGACACTTGCAAATCATCTATGATATCAACCTCTTCTTTCTCCAGGCTGTGGAGCGCAAGTTCCCAAAGGAGCGCGAGTTGCTTGCTCGCGTCTCGATCATCGAGGAATCTTCCCCTAAGATGGTCCGCATGGCTTATTTGGCTATTGTCGGTTCTCACAAGGTCAACGGAGTCGCTGAGCTCCATTCTGATCTCATCAAGACTACGATCTTCAAGGACTTTGTCAAGATTTTCGGAGCTGATCGCTTCACGAATGTCACCAACGGCATCACCCCGCGCAGATGGCTGCACCAGGCCAACCCCCGCCTCTCAGACCTTATCGCTTCTAAGACCGGCGGCCTTGGATTCCTCAAGGATCTCACTTTGCTCAACAAGCTTGAGGAATTCGCGGATGACAAGGAATTCAAGAAAGAATGGGCTGAGATCAAGCTTGCCAACAAGGTTAGACTCGCCAGACACATCAAGGACACCACCGGCGTCGTAGTCAACCCCCACGCTCTCTTTGATATCCAGGTTAAGCGCATACACGAGTACAAGCGCCAGCAGATGAACATTTTTGGAGTCATTCATCGATACATCACCATCAAATCCCTCTCCCCCGAGGAGCGCAAGAAGTTCGCACCAAGAGTGTCTATCTTCGGCGGCAAAGCAGCTCCTGGATACTGGATGGCTAAGTCTATCATTCATCTGATCAACAGCGTTGGAGCCGTTGTCAATAATGATAAGGATGTGGGTGACCTGCTTAAGGTTATTTTCATCGAGGATTACAACGTCAGCAAGGCTGAGGTCATCATCCCCGCCAGCGACGTGAGCGAGCACATTTCCACAGCTGGTACGGAGGCTTCAGGGACTAGTAACATGAAGTTCGTCCTCAACGGTGGTCTTATCATCGGGACCTGCGATGGCGCTAACGTGAGTCCCCCTTTCCCCTTTCCCCTTCCCCTATTCCAAACCCCTTACCCCTTACCAACCTATCCATCGACCCCAAGCTAACCCCCCCTAGATCGAAATAACCCGCGAAATCGGCGAGCAAAACATCTTCCTCTTCGGCAACCTCGCCGAAGACGTCGAAGACCTACGCCACACCCACACCTACAGCACCACCACCCTCGACCCCTCCCTCTCCGCCGTCTTCTCCTTCATCCGCACCAACGCCTTTGGCCCCGCTGACGACTTCGCCGCCCTGATCGCGGCGGTGGAGGAGCACGGTGATTACTATTTGGTGTCGGACGACTTTAATAGCTATGTCCAAACGCAGGAGCTGGTGGATCAGGCGTACAAGGATCAGGAGGAGTGGGTGGGGAAGTGTATTTTGGCGGTGGCGAGGATGGGTTTCTTTACGAGTGATAGGTGTATTAGTGAGTATGCGGAGAGTATTTGGAATGTGGAGCCCATGGAGCCGTTGGCGCATGAGTGAGGGGGGTGAAGTGTATAGGAGGTTTGGGGGGATGGATGGGGAGATGGGGAGAGGGGGATGGGTGAGTGTATGGGAGGTCTTGAGGGGATCCAAAGCATAGGCAGGGACGCATTGGGTATACAGTATTTTTTCTTTTAGAGGGGCATGGACTGTAGTAGCGGCGGCTAGTAGGTAGGGAAGTTAGGCGCGAGAAACGAAGTATATGATTATCCTTGCCCCTAGCCACCACCCACAGCAGCCACCCACCCTCTCATATCTTGCACTGCCTTGTCTTGTATGTATGATCTCCAAAGATCGGGCTCCTTCCCCACCCCCACGATAGCTCAAACACGTGAAAGTATCATCCCCGTCCCCGTCAGACCCGGATCCGTCATCCGAGTGGAAGCAGCCGTGGTGGATTATACAGTGCGAAAGTATATTCCCTGGGGTATGGGAGAAGCATCATGACGTACCCCCCAGCTTCTCACCTCCCCTTACCACTGCATCAACTAACCCAATTAACCAACTAACCCTCCTACCTCCGCTCCCAAACAGGACACCGCGCGCAAAGATGGTTATTTTTATTCCCTCCCCCCCGTCAAGAAACCTAGACCTGTAGCGGCCACCGAGGGGGAAGAAGGGAGGCGGGGGTGCTAACGTGGGGACTAGGTGGCATGGTTATGACGTCACTGCGGCTGGTAGGCTCGAGCCGGCTTGGCGTGCAGGAGCTTGGATTTATTTTTTGGGATTTGGTGACGCGCTTTTTTTTGGGGATGCCGCACATACCGTCTAGATCCCGTGCTGGGTAGTTTAATGGAGGGGAGGGGATGGGGCTGCGCGCTGGGCAGGGGGCGGAGGGGGTGCAGGTGGATGCGGGTTGGCGGATACGTGGTTGTAAGGGCAGGGAAGGGGGAGGATGGGACGGAGGGGGGAAACAGGGCAGTGGAGATACGGGAGGTAAGGCTGGTGTTGGAGGGGGGTTTGATATGATACTAGGAGTATGCAGAGGGATGAGTGACTGAGATGCGGCCGCGGACATAACGCGCCATACGTGCAGCGCGTAGTATGATATGTGCAGCGTCACAAGAGCAAGCGCATGCCGCTGTCCTCCCCGAGTAGCAAGTGAGAATGCCGATTGTTTTTCTCCCCGAGACACAAATGGTAGCAGAGATAGGGCGAGACGAGGAAGGGGAGCCAGTGGATGCTAGTACGGGAGTGAGCTCCGGATGCCCCATGGTGTTGATGTCTGAGGAGGGGACTAGTGAGGTTTCTGGTAAGGTATTCGAGGTTGTTGGGTGTGTGCTTGTAAGCTTGGAGGCCTGGATGGGGAGGGGATCATCGTCATCGGTTTGGGAGGTGGGGGGGGGGAATGGTATATGTGGCGTATTATAGTATATGTGTGGTGGTGGATATGTGATGGTGTATTTTGGATTTGGAAGGTTTGGTATTGTGGTTCACCGCCCATGGGGATTCTGGTAGGGAAGGGATGGGAAGGTGGGAAGGGGGGTAGTTAGCCAGGGGAGGGGTGGGAAGGTGGGATGGATGGTGGGATGATGGGGGGATTGGGGGATGGAGGGGATGGATGGAGGGGGGATGTTGGAGGAGTGGTAGATGGACATACGACTGGAAAAAAACATAAGTGTGAGTACCACCCCGCATCGAAGAAATCGACCTTCGTGTCGTCAGAGATATATAACAATTTTTTGGCTTCTTCTTCGGTATCTGTCTATCAGTTCTATCTTGCCTCTACGCCGATTGAATTTTACTCTCGCTCTTCCTCCGGTTTCAATTGCTTCAAGAGAATAACATCTTGTGTTCTTCACTCTTTGCAGATCGATCTCACATCGAACGACGAACAGCGACGGTTTCAAAGAGCTAAATCGGGGGCTTGGACTGGTGAACCCTTACAGTACCATTGAACCGCTGAACCCGTTATATCGTCTCACATTCAATCAGCACCGGCTGAAACAAACCCGCCCTTGACTCGCGCCACTTTGTCACGAGAGAATAGCAGCAAAAAGCAAGCTACAACATCGAGAAATTGAGCTAGTTAGCACTCACGGAATTCCCTATTGCGGTCGGGGAATAAAAATTAGCTTCTGGCTAAACGCTACGAAGAGTCGATTTACACTTGAAATACATACGGCACTACTGGACAGACTACGAGAATCGACTACGGAGTACTACCTACCCTATTCTCCGCCATACCGATACCGAGCCAATACCGATCCATACCGAAGTAGGCGGCAAACGCGAGCAGTACCGGACGCACGCCCGCCCGCCAGCAACGTGGTTAGTTTGAGCTGTTGTTGGCCACCGCCGCGCCGCACATAATTTTTTATCGGTGGAAATCGAGAAGAGAGAAACATACTCGACAAGGCAACGAAAAGAGAGCGAGCAAACAAAAAAGTTCTTCTATTTCTATTGCATTTTACTCGAATCACCAATTCCACCTCTCTCTCTGTTTCAACCCCTCCAACCCCACTGAACGGAAGATTATAATACACATACAAAAAAGTCTAAAAAGTCGAGATTCCTTTTCAATTCAAGCCACAAGTCAGTATTTCCCTTTCCTTTCCATTCTTCATTTTACCCTCCTTTTATTTTAGATTGAACCCTTCCCCCAACCCTCTCACCTCCCTTAATTCTCCCTGACCCTTCCCAAAATCCTCCCGACCTGCCAACTTATCGTCTGGACCCCGCTAAAATGTCTCCAGCACGATTACGCGATTGGCGTTCCCTCCTCCCCATCCCTCGCCCGCTACCGAGTCTTTCCCACCTCCCTAGCCTAATCGACAAGTCGCTTTCCCATCAAACAAAACAAACCCAACTCCCAAAACCCACCAAACCTAATAATATATACCCCTCTCTCCCTTTACGCCACCGCAGAGCCATAGCAAGTTCGCAGCCATGGCGGAATTCGTTCGCGCGTCCATCTTTGGCACGCAGTTTGAGATCGTAAGTCTTGTTCCTCCCCTCTACCTCTACCTTCTACTTCTCAATCCGCGCATGTGGCAACACGCTAATCTGTTTGTGATAAGACTTCAAGGTATGCGGGGTCACGGCCGCGGCGGGGGCGAAATGAACAACGAACGGAACGGATTGATAACACCCACGCAGGTATTCGGATCTCCAGCCGGTTGGCATGGGAGCGTTTGGTCTCGTATGGTATGTTTGATCGCAAAAAAACTCCGATAATTGCGCGGGATAGAGGTGTTAATTGCGACTCTAGCTCGGCCAAGGATCAGCTCACAGGACAACATGTTGCGATCAAGAAGATTATGAAGCCCTTCAGCACTCCGGTCTTGTCGAAGCGGACTTACCGTGAGCTGAAGCTGCTGAAGCATCTCAAGCATGAGAATGTGCGAACCCACCATTTACCCTGACTGGAGAAACAAGGCTCTAACAACATCTAGGTGATTTCCCTCAGCGACATCTTCATTTCCCCGCTCGAAGACATGTACGTCCAACCCCCCCTCTCCCTCAACTCTACGAAAACAACTCTAACACCCCTCCCAGCTACTTCGTCACCGAGCTCCTCGGCACCGACCTCCACCGCCTCCTCACCTCCCGCCCCCTCGAAAAACAATTCATCCAATACTTCCTCTACCAAATCCTTCGCGGCCTCAAATACGTCCACTCCGCCGGCGTCGTGCACCGCGACCTCAAGCCCTCCAACATCCTCGTGAACGAGAACTGCGACCTCAAGATCTGCGACTTCGGACTCGCGCGCATCCAGGACCCGCAGATGACGGGCTACGTGTCGACGCGGTACTATCGCGCGCCCGAGATCATGCTGACGTGGCAGAAGTACGATGTCGAGGTGGATATCTGGAGCGCGGGGTGCATCTTTGCGGAGATGTTGGAGGGGAAGCCGCTGTTTCCGGGGAAGGATCATGTTAATCAGTTTTCGATTATTACGGAGCTGTTGGGGACGCCGCCGGACGACGTTATTCATACTATTGCGAGCGAGAATGTGAGTGTGGATGGATCCAGAACTGGCCCTCTGTTCGCATTGCTAACTTCTTCTTCTTCTTCTTCTAGACCCTGCGATTTGTTCAATCCCTCCCTAAGCGCGAAAGAAAGCCATTAACAGACAAATTCACGAACGCCGGTCCTGAAGGTACGTCTCCTCTCCTCCCCTCCCCCACCCTTCTCTATCCACCATACGCGCACATATCTAACACCCCCCTCCAGCCGTCGACCTCCTCGAACAAATGCTCGTCTTCGACCCCCGCAAGCGCGTCAAGGCCACCGACGCCCTAGCCCACGAGTACCTCTCCCCCTACCACGACCCCACCGACGAGCCCGCCGCGGACGAGAAATTCGATTGGTCGTTTAACGATGCGGATCTGCCGGTTGATACTTGGAAGATCATGATGTACTCGGAGATCCTCGATTATCATAACGTGGATGATGCGGGGGGGGAGGGGGAGGTGAAGATGGATGAGCAGGTGCCGGTTTAGGAGCGCTCTATGAACCATGGTGGAGGAGGGGGTTGGTCGCGGTGGCGGAGTAAAGCGAGTTCAGAGCATGGGGGGGAAGAAGTGGGAGGCGTGGAGGGGGTGGTGATAATCTTTTAGATATTAAAGATCTAAAAGATATATCTACGAAGCGAAGCGGCGAATGGGCGCTCAGCGGGGTGTGCCGAAGCTGTAGATGTGTGCAGGTGCGGGGGAGCAGTTGGATGTGAGCGGGAGAAAGGGAGTGGGCATAGTACGCGTTTTTTACTTTTGTATAAGGACGGATTTACGTTTTGGTCCTATAGGCGCACACAGTACACATTCATACGTTTATTTTTATTTATTTTTATAAAGGGATATATATAGCAAAGAAGGGACATATCACATCATCATTACCATCATCACCATCACTACCAATATTTTTTTGAGGTGTAAATACAGAAAGGATAGGGATGGGTGTTTATTTGTACAGCTTGTAGGGAGGGGGGGATGAATCGTACGATACCCCTCCCCAAACACACCCCACATACATCCCCAGCCCCCTTGGTCAAGACACCATCACAGCGTATAAAATCCCTAAACTCAACCACAGAAAATAAGTTATTGATTCCCCATTTTTCTATATCTGGAGGTTGGATGCGCACCATCCCACCCCCCTCCCCTCCCTTGTAGTTAAAAAACCCTGTCCCCCCCCTTCCCCTCCCGCGGTATCATCCGATCTAATTACGCGCAGCAAGCAGCAGCACAACCTAGGCGCATACACCCTCTCTTCTCGTGCCCCAGCCCCAGATGTCAATATTCCTCCCTCTCTCCTCTCCGCAGTCTGGTGCTGGCTGTCCCCAGCCCCGAATACAGTCTCTACGCCCCTGCCCCCGTCCCGGGATGGACGCCGTGCTGTCAATGTCATAAGTCGTGTTGTTTGTGTGTAGATAGATAAGTAGAGTAGATCCGGACCACGCCCCGACGGCGCGGAGGTGATAGATACGGTTGAGTGGATTCGGGTAGTAGGAAAGGGAGGGGGGTTTGTGAAGCTTGTCGGGAGGGGGAGATTAAGCAAGGTATCCCAACTCGTCGTCGTCGAGGCGCTCGAGGTACTCCTTCTCGAGGAGGATCTCGATGCACTTCTTGATATCGGGGATGTTGGGGACGAAGCGCGATTTGATTTGGTCGATGGTGTCGCTGACGAGGAGTCGGTGCTTCATCTTCTTGCGGGACTTCATGATGCGGACGATTGCGGACTAAAAGGGGGGTGGGTTGTTAGCTTTCATTAAATTTCGGCAGGGGGTGAATGGATGAGGGGAATCAGTGGGAGTACGAACCTGCATGAGCAACTTCCTGTCCTCCTCAATAGTCTTGTGCGTATCCTCCGCCTCCTGTTTCTGCTCCGACTTGACCTGGATGTTGAGGTTGACACGGATCTTCTTATTCTTGAAGTCGTAGTTTAAGGAGAATTTGGTGTCGGGGGTGTAGCTCGGTCCCGCGGGGGACTGGAGGAGGACCTTGGCGCGGACAAAGATGGCCATTTGCGGGTCGAGGACCTCTTGGCTCAGTTGCGTCGCCTTCATGATCTCGTCGTACGTGTTGACGTCGCGCTCGTTGAAGAGGAGGAGAATGGCCATCTGGTATGTTGATACCTGGAACGTATACGGGATCTTGCTCGTCTTGGTGTAGTTTGCCTTGACCTCGCCCTTGCCAAGCTGCCACAACCAAGTCAACTTGCGGCCACTGTGCTTCTGGTTGTAGAACTTCTGGAAGCGCTCGTATGCCTTTACAATCTCCGGCGGCGGCGAGAATGATGTGGTGGGTGCGCTCAGCGGCCAGAATCCCGTGCCTAGAATGGAGTAGGTGGCATCAATGACACCCGTCGCATCGTCGCTCTCAACCAGCTTGGCCTCGAACGCCTTGTACCCGCTATTTAAATCCTTCGAGATCTGCATGTCCTGGAACATGCGCTGGAGCTTATTCGTGTATTCGAACCCGCAAGCTTCTTTCAGCTTGCTGATCATGCTCGTCTCGGCATCGTCCGATGATGAGGTGGTTTGGACTAACCGCCTTGCAAGCATGCGAGAGTAAAACTTTTGGAATACATCCTTGTCCTCGATGTACTTGAAAACCGTCATGATCTGTGTCAGGGTCTCCTCAAGATCGCTCTCTTCAGCGCTGCTGGAGCTCTTCCTTAATAATGCGTCGGTATATTTTGCTAGGAGCTCCGGGGACTTGTTTGTGCCGGACTTGCACACAGAGTTTCGGTTCACAAACTCTCTGCACGCATTGTCCAGTGAGCGTGTGAACTCGGGCTCATCCTTGAAGGCTTTCTTGACAAGCGCCTGATACTGTGTGTGGATTTCCAGTAAGGCGTCCACGTAAATCTTCGGCTCCATTTTGTCCGCATCTGCTGCAACCTTTGCTATGGCTGCAAGACCTGCTTTCCGCACATGTGCCTCGAACCTTATCCTTAACGGATCAAGACCATCGGGTATCCTTGCGAGAAGGTTATACATGCGTTGCATATCTTCCACGCGATCATCGTCCAGAAGCGACTGGAACTCGTCTCGAAGGACTGCGGAGTGGTCGCCAATCAGGGCAGTATTGCAAACCTTCCGTAATGCCGCGATGATGTCGGGATGCAGATACATATTCACCCGCTCCTCCTCTTCATCCAGTCGGATCTCGGCCTTCTTCATGTACTCGACAATGCTGTTTTCAGCCACAAACTGTTTCGACTCCTTCTGGTAGAATTCCATGGTTGCCTCCAGGAATGGTTTCTCAAATCTGAACCTGTAGACATCCAGAGTTCCCTTGGTAGAGTCTGCCTCGTCCAGACCCAACGAGACGAAAGAGTCGACTATGCTCTTGATCTGACTGTGCTCAATGGTTTCTCCATTGCGTTGTTTCTCTACCATCTTCAGCACTGCTGCCATTACCTTCTTGTGGACTGCCTCAAACAAATATGCGCGCCATTGTACCAAGTGCAACGTATAAACGTCATAAACGTCCTTCTTCCCCTCGTCCATTTCGCGCTTCACCCAATGCCGGTTGAGATACCGGAAGAGATGGTTGATGTACTTTGCTGCCGTCGTGTACCGGTCCCATTCCCGAATGTAAAACGTAAGAAGGGCTTCGTCAACGTGCTTTTGTGACTCGGCAATGAGGCTTTCCAGATAATGGACGAGATATGTCTTGAGATTCTTGTATAGTTCCTCGCCGAGAAGGTGGGCTGACATCCGTTAGCTGAAGAAAAACACTCGCCGTCGAAATGCTTACCGCCACGATGCGCACCACCAATAACGCCGGTGGTTGTGGAACTGATAGCTTTTTGAGATGTACAGAAGTTATGGACGGCCCTGCTATAGTCAGTATGTGCCCACTTCGTACGGATCTCCTGTTCTCACGTATAAACGCCCATGTACTGCCCAAAGAGTTAGTGCGTTCCGGGCCAGACCTGGATGCTCACTTACAGTATTCATGTCGATACCGCTTTGCAGGTCAATCATTATCTTGGATATGCCAGCCTCGAGATATGCCCATCTTTGGAGGAAATCCGCGTCAGTAATGCTGCGCCCACAGTGTCTACCAAATTTACTCACGTTGCATGCAAATCCTCTCTATTCGGCATAGGCGGCATCAGCAAACTTCGTGTTGCGACCGACATATTGCCGGATATCGAATGAACGTGGCAGCGTGCCTTTTGGAAATGTGAGGTTGGCGACAAGATATGGTGGCCCGCTCCCCTCTATTATATCTGTCTTCCAGTCGTACGTTCGGGAGCGATCTGTTGGGCTACAGGCTGGTTCAAACCAGAGACCTTGCAGGAGAGGCTTCTCGATTCTTCTTGGTGAAATGTAGACTCGGGCTGTATTGCTCGTGGTCGTCGAGGGGTGTAATGAATGCCCCGATGACCTATAATGAACGAGCTTGTCAATGACGTTTCATGGTAAAAAGCGCACTTGGGCGTTCTTTGCGATAGTGGCGGTAAAATAAAGCAAGTGAACTCAAGTAAACTTACAAATTCTGTAAAGACTTTGGATTCGAGGGTATAGACCGAGTTCTGTTGGAAATGATATGTCACGATAGCCCCAGTCACTCAAGTACTCAAGTGCAAGGCGGCGGCGGCTGTCAGGCAGCCGCAAGGTTCCCGCCCCTCCGTTTAGGCGCGCGGGCTTGGCATCCAAGTGAGGACCACATACATCAGTCTTAACGTGAGAATCGCATTTTTATTGAAACAACCTCAGATTAAACATTGAATTTTTGATATTATTTCCATAATACTCAGTTAACCTTGATTTGTCTATTCCCCCATTCCATCCAGGTTGACGAAAACAGGAGCAGGCTCTTTTCGTCCTTTCCTCTATCATTGGCTGTTGTCCACCTAGGTCACGCCATAAGTTGATCAGGAAAGACACCACCATCACTCACGCCATGGTGCAGGGCGATGCTGAAAGCGGCTCAGGCTCGGACCTTGATGTATTCCCCTGGCATCTGGGGGTCTTCGACGCCCACTGCCACCCTACCGATACGATGAGCTCCATCGACACAATTCCTCATATGAAGGCAAATGTTCTGACAGTAATGGCCACAAGAGCACAAGACCAAAAGCTTGTGGCCAAAATTTCTGAAGCATATGGTGTCGACTTGGAAAGTTTCAAGCAACATGGAAAGATCACCGGACGTGTTATTCCGTGCTTTGGTTGGCACCCGTGGTTCTCTCATCAAATGTATGATGACGTTGGAAACGCTTATGAGCCTACGGACTTGATCCAAAGAAAAATCAAACACTATCAATCTGCTTTATTACCAGCCCCTGAAGATTTGGATTATATTGCGTCTCTTCCGGAACCTTTTTTGCTGTCCAAGTTCCTCAAGGAGACGAGAGCATACCTGGAAATGTATCCCCTAGCACTTGTTGGAGAGATAGGTTTAGATAAGTCATTTAGGATCCCAGAGGAGTGGGAATCCGAGCTCGAGAAGTCTAGAGATATGGAAATCACTCCTGGGGGAAGGGAAGGCCGCCGCCTTACTCAATATCGAGTGAACATGGGGCATCAGAAGCAGATCTTACTTGCGCAGCTCGGATTAGCAGGCGAGCTCCAGAGGGCAGTATCTGTTCACGGAGTTGGGGCACATGGTTTTCTTTATGACGCTCTGGAAGAAACATGGAAAGGTTATGAAAACAAGGTTGTCAGCAAACGGAAGAAAAAGCTCACAAAGGGTCTTGAGTTCTTACCAGACGAAGAGGAGGATGAGATCCAATCGGACGCTCAAACCTCTAAGCCATTTCCTCCACGAATATGCCTGCATTCATATTCTGGCAGCCCACAGCTTCTGAAGCAGTACTTTCATCCTTCCGTGCCTATTGCGGTTTACTTTTCATTCTCATCGGCCATAAATATGTCATCGGCGGGCTCAGAAAAGGCAATTGAGGTTATTAAGCAAGTCCCAGATGATCGAATACTTCTTGAAAGCGACCTGCATACTGCTGGCGAAGAAATGGATAGGAGACTTGAGGAGATGGCTCGGAAGATATGCAATATCAAGGGCTGGAGCTTGGAAGATGGCGTTAAGCGGCTTGGGGAAAATTGGCGTCGTTTTGTCTTTTCCTGAGATATCACAATGCACTAAAACTGTTGATCTCTATACATTGAAATACAGATGATATTCAACCCTTTTCGTGCTGGAACTTGCCTCCACAGCCGTTCAGAGTAGGTGTTTTGTTTTGGCCCTTCTTTCGTCTTGAAGTATTTTTCTCCTCATCTTCAAGTATTGCTGCCAGCATGACAAGGAGTGCTCCCACATAGAAGCCCGACAGGACGGTGCTACCACGAAGGTATTGTTCCCTTGGTAAGTTGCAGCTTTCTCATGTCCGATGCATAACCATCATACTTTTCAACACATACTTTGCCATTTACCCTGGAGGCTATTATCGGCTCAAATGAGTAAACTTCTATGTCATGATGCTGATTTCTGTGGGACCTACCCGGCAAACTGAGAGACCGAGAGGCTTTCTTATTCTTGCATAAATTCCTGTCACCGTTGCCAATTCCTCCTTCTTTCCTACACAACGCAACAACAGCAATATCAACAACAACAACGGCAACACAACAGCAACAATACTTCGACACCCAACACAACACCACTTGACAGTAAGAAATACAGCTACACTCAACTGCAAGGAACCTTCGAACTGCCGCGTTCACTGCAACCTACCATCTGAGTAAGTACAGGCTTCACTCATAGTGTTGGCTACGTTTTGTTTACTTCAATGTCATTTACGTTGTGCACCATTTCATGCCCATCGCTTTGCCAAATCTCTCCCGATGGCACAAGAGTTTCAAGCTGTGTGCTCAAATACCACTGTTATCAGCTTTGACCACCTTCCGAGTATCGTGCCAGTGGAGTTCAGTTTTAGGGTGTCCCAGAAGTGAAATCAACTTGCTTTGGGCTTCAACGCCTTCCAGAATGGTATCAAGCTGCTTTTGGGCTTTGAACTTCGAGATCTTTGACTACCTACACCCTCTTTGTACAAACTCACCTCATATTCAATTTCCTTTGGCATATTGATTTTCATGCTACTTTATGTCCATTCTGTCTCTTCTTGTGTATCTTCCGAGTTGGATAAAGCACCCATGGTCCGCATGACCCCTTTCGTCAACTAGAGCATGGCTCTGATGATCTGGCCCGTTTATTGAGCAACTTCGATTTTCACATTCGTCTTGTTCACATGGCTTTGTGACTAACTGCGAGCCAGACACTGACAGGTGATTCAGCCACAATGTCTATCAACAAAGGGTGTCATTTTGTCGCCGGCGACAACAACCTGAGTAATGTTTTTGGCGGTAAGAAACTAATTCCTGTCTTCTATATACCTCTGACATGACGTTAATGGCATTTTAGATCAACTCCACGTGGGCTACCAAGGAGCCATGGATCATGTCTCTCTCGCGAATCAATATGGCAACCAGACCGACCCATCAGGTGCAATGAACAGCATTTCTCTCCCAGAAAATGCATATGAGGGGCAAGCCTCCGAGGCCCGCCACGTTTCTGTTGGCCAAGGTGGTGGACTTGGGTCCAATCCCTATGTGCGCCACCAAATTGGTGAGGGGCCACTTCAAAGCTATACGTCAACGCCAACTCCAATGGTTGACAACAACTCCCTCCAGCATTCTTATCCCACCGCATATTCTCAAAATCAAACCTTTCAACCAAGACAAAATGTTGGTATGAACCAAAATCTTCGCTCGCTTCCTTCGCCATCTGATATGGGGATGGGATCTCGCACTGGGAGAGGTGCTTTGCCGCCAAGACTCTCTGAATCAAGCATGGGATTTGGTCTCAATCACTTCAATAGTGGTAATGGAGACATGGCCTCTTACAATTCTCAAGTCCCTACTCCCATGCACGCATTTGGCAACGGCTATTCCGGAACAACCAATACGGCTCAGGCGCGCAATGTGAGAAGCACGTTTCGCAGAAGCCCCTTGGATATGGCAGAACCCCGATATGATATCCAGAACGGTTTTGCACCGGTGCAGCATCCCGATATGCAACCTAACAATTCCGCGAATATGATTCCGAACATGGGCCACCCTGGCAGTGTTTTTCAGCCCCATCCTGAAGCTGAAGGTTGGACCAGAGATCAGATCAGCAAACACGGAGATTCTCTTTCTTCTAAGCGTACACGAAGGCAATCCACGGTGCTGGCGGATCATGAAGCTGATACGCCGGATGGCAGCGATATGAGTGAAGACTCCGATGGTACAGTCTGCTCACCGGCTGATCAAGAGTTGTCGACTCTTCAAGGTTCAACTACCGGCCAAGAGTCGTCGACTGTTCAAGGCTCAGCAACTGGTCAAGAGTCATTGACTGTTCAAGGACCAATGACCTCTCAAATCAACGAACGTTTGGCTGGTGATGACCGCACATCGCGTTCAGGGACGCGCGGACCTGGCGAAGAACCGATGTCAAGCAGGCAATTTAGAGGTCATTTTGATCGCGCTGCACACCGAGTTGGAAGTTCTCAGCAGATGGTCGGGAAACTCCCCGGAAGGAGATCAAAGGGCGCCAACGATCCGGAAAACATCGCGATTGTCAATTGGTATGATAACTACAACATGTCATTCGTGGAAATTGCACAGCGGTTAAACAGCAGGCAAGAGGCAACCGGCAAGCCAGGAACCTTCACACCAAACTCCATACATAACAGATACAACCGCTGTGCGCCGATCATCTATCGGGCCAATGGAAGAGTGTTTGTTGCCATCAAAGATCGGAGGAAGCACGCGCCGGAGGAGCTGGACGCCATGAGTTATGGCGCTTACTCCATTGAGTGGACGCCGAACAAGGACCAGCTCCTCAGGCGCACGGTGCAGGAAGACGAGGCCAACAAGTGGCGCAGGGTCGCTGAGGCATTCACGACATCGACGGGGGAGAGGGTTGGCGAAGGCGCGGTATCGACTAGGTTTCTCTTGATATGATGTGCCCTCGATGTCGGATTTGGGTCATCAGCCACTTTGTATTATTGGCTCTTCACTCTTTGCTCTTTGCTCGCTGATTTCTACGTTTGCTTGCTATATTCTCTCTTGTTACTCTCTACCTTTTTGCGACGGAGTTTTTTAGACCTATGGATATCTCTGTTTGCTTGTCGTTGCCTCTGCCGTTTGGTTACTTCATAGATAGTGCAGCAGCCGGGAATGATAGAGCTGGCGCCGCCGAGCAGAGCATGTACATGTAAATATTACCCAGAATTCGTTCTGAAGAAGACAATGATATAAATTGCTATGAAAACACCTTGACTGTGATATATTACCATCTGCATAAAAGTAGTTGCTGTAACAGATGACCTGGAGTCTCAAATTGTGGTCAATGAGAGTCAATAACCAAAGGAACAAACCCACTTTACAAATTCTAATGTGCATGTACTATCTATTAAATATATCGAAGGCGTCGAAGTAATGCCACACCACATGGATAACGGACTGTATTGAAGTTGAGAGACTCTGTGGAGGGCGGCAAGTCGTTGAAGGTGCACGGACCCTTTCCTGAGATAAAGCCTTGGGATTCCTTATCGTAGTGGAAATAAACATGGCTGCTTGACCACAAGACAAAGCAAAGGAGCAGCCAAAAGTAATGCCATGCTGCGAGCTTCGAGGGGTCTCGTCACAGGGACACTGTCGAAGCTTCAATATCGGGTCTCATTTTTTAAAAGATGCCTAGCGACGGCAGCGTCACCGCCTGAAGATGCACTCGAGCCAGTGATCAACCCCCCATCGGGAATCCGTTTGCGCCAGTATCAAGAGGAATGCATACAATCCGTCCTCTCATACCTTGACAGAGGCCATAAGAGACTGGGCATCTCACTGGCCACTGGTAGTGGAAAGACGGTAAGTACGGTATGATCAAGACATTGAAGGGATACTGACTTCTGATCCAAGGTCATCTTTACCCAACTTATCGATCGCGTTAAGCCTCTACCATGTGGCGCGGACCAAACTCTCATCCTGGCCCATCGCCAGGAACTCGTCGAACAAGCCGCGAAGCACTGTATCAATGCATACCCGACAAAGAGCGTCGATGTTGAAATGGGCAACATCCATGCGAGTGGCGCGGCAGACATCACCATCGCAAGCGTGCAGAGCATTATATCCAAGGACCGCATTCAAAAATTCAACCCAAGCCGCTTTAAGCTGATATTGGTGGATGAGGCCCACCATATCGTAGCCCCAGGATATTTGAAGACCCTCGCTTACTTTGGACTCTCGAAGGCGAAGGCAGACGGCCCAGCTTTGGTGGGTGTCTCTGCGACTCTTTCTCGATTCGATGGGTTACGGCTAGGCGCCGCAATAGATCAAATTGTATATCATAAGGATTATATCGACATGATCGGCGAAAAATGGCTGTCAGACGTCATTTTTACTACAGTGGAGTCGACAGCAGACATCTCTAAAGTGAAGAAAGGGGCAACGGGAGATTTCCAAACTGGGGAGCTATCTCGCGCTGTCAACACGGATCAGATCAACGAAATCACAGTCCGAACATGGTTAGCGAAGGCACAAGAGAGGAAGTCAACACTGGTATTCTGTGTGGACTTGGCCCACATCGCCGGCCTGACAAAGGCCTTTCGAGACCGAGGGGTCGACGCTCGATTCGTGACAGGGGATACTCCGAAAATTGCGAGAAGCGAGACGCTCGACGCATTTCGGGCCGGCGAGTTTCCAGTGCTGATCAACTGCGGTGTCTTTACAGAAGGAACAGACGTGCCAAACATCGATTGTGTCCTTCTTGCACGCCCAACAAAATCTCGAAATCTTCTCGTCCAGATGATTGGTCGAGGGATGAGGCTCTTCCCAGGAAAGGAGAACTGCCATATAATTGATATGGTGGCTAGCCTTGAGACTGGTATCATATCGACTCCGACGCTATTTGGGCTGGACCCGTCAGAGCTTGTCGCCGAAGCCACAGTAGACGACATGAAGGAGATCAAGGAGGCAAGAATGGGCCAGGCATCCATAGATCCCGAATTTCTGAGCCCCATGCCAGGCACGTCGCACCCTATAAAAGTCACATTTACAGATTATGATTCGGTTTTTGACCTCATCGAGGATTCCTCGGGTGAGCGACATATCCGTGCCATCAGCCGGTACTCCTGGGTGGAGGTTTCCGATCGCAAGTATATCCTCACCACTCCGAGTGGCAAATACTTGAAGATAGAACTAAACACCGAGGAGAAAGACGAAGATCCTGCCTTCGTTGTCTCCGAGATCGTTCCCTACACTGGTCCCCTGAAGAAACAACCCTACAAGCCTCCGCGTGAGATAGCACGACATACAGGCTTCGAGGATGCAGTCCATGCAGCGGACACGTTCGCGTCTCTTAGATACCCGAAGCCGTTCATTGTTACTACACAAAGATGGAGAGATAAGCCAGCGACTGAGGGGCAGTTGATGTTCTTGAATAGGTTCCGCCTTCAAAGCGATCCTTTGACTCCGGATATGATAAATAAAGGGAAGGCGGGAGACATGATTACGAAAGTTAAGCATGGTGCGAGGGGCCGCTTTGCGAAGGTGGAAGCTACGAGGAGAAAACTCGGGAGACAGGCTTTGAAGTTGGAACAGGAGGAGGAGTTAAAGAGGAGAGAGAATGTAAGTGTAGGGCCGCTGTTGGATTAAGGCTTCATTGTACGTTTCCTGGGGGGTTTTGTATAATATGGTATGTGGCGTTCTGGATAGTTTGTACGATACTCCTGGATCATCAACATTGGGGCAATGGGACAATGATGACCACCATGGTGACAGTATAGTCATTGTTGTAGTTATATACTGTTATAGTTGAGCACAATGGGTACGTATGGTTGCTCTAAAGAAGAGCAGCACAATGGAGTTGCTTGTCTTGCTAGAATTCATTAAAAAACGTACTCGCCCCTTTGTGCTGTAATAAGCGGACACTATACTATTACATCTCCACGTTGATATACTACAACTACTCTTACAACGTCCTCGAACCCAAGCTTGTTCAATATCCGCCTGGCAACATAGACCTAATCGCCCTCCACTCCTTCCTAACCACCAGAACCCAATACCACGGAAGGAAGGACCTTGGTCAGAGCGGAGCCAGGAATTCGCCCATACTCTCGTCAACATACATCAGCCATTGAACCTGAAATGTTCTTTTCTGCAGGATGTCTCAAGCACCATTCCCTTCTGCCAGCCTCCTCACAGACGGTCTCCTCGAGCAGCGGTTGAAAGCTAGGCAGATCCCTGAAGCTCCTACTGAGGAAGAGAGCCTATATGATGACGTGAAGCCCGAATTGGCCGTCAATATTCAGTCGAGCCTTCCGCATTCTCAGAAAGAAGCGATTGTCCTAAAAGAGACACCTCCCATTGGCGCCGCTGATACAAGTGATGATACCGGCGCTCTGCCACTGGATATTACTAGTGAAACAAAACTACCAGAACCACCAGAACCACCAGAGTCGACTGACAGCGGTACACCAAAGCCCATCGATATCCCTCGTCCATCTCACAAAAGTGATGAGTGGGCAACGACCCATACAGGGGGACCAGATAACGAGACACTGAACTGGCTAGAAAAAGAGATAGCAAAGCAAGACCTGGAGAAAGACACGATCGCATCCAAGAGAGCCTCCGCCCCGAAGCAGAAACATGGTACCTGGCCACTATTACCTAGCGAGAAAGAGAGGTCGCCCCGGAAGATTATTTATTCGGAGCCAGATCGTAATGTGATCGTTCACAGAGGATTCGGTGATTTTGCAAGACCCCGATCCGCCGCCCTTGAGGAGACGCGCACAGCCTTCCCCCCTCTCTCAAACGAATCCTACCACCTGGATACGTATGGCCTCGATCCGAACGCCCCAAAATTGACGAGAATGATTTGGTTGGGTAAAAAAAAGTTCCTAGTCGCACTAACGGACCCGACGGGAGCAGATGGCGAGCCGCTCACATTAGATGGGAACGTATCCAGTATGTTAGAATGACCCAACATGGGATAGAACGTAAACTCTTAGCTTGGTGGGATTTGGACTAATAAAAAAGGTAGGCCCTTCGAGTGTCTATTCAAACAGCCTGCTCACAGGGAGCTTTGCACCATCTGAAGCGGCTACAGAGAGTGTTTTCTTGAACGGCAATCTCGAATTGTGCACAAAGTGCCAGAAGAGACACATTAAACCGGGCACGCCAGAAACATTGGATGCTCGTGACACATGCCGGAGCATGCTACCGGATTGGTTTCCAAAGGAAAGATATGAGAAGCCATGGGATGCCTTCACCGACCTAATTAATAAATATGTCCGAGCCAGCCAAATGTTGGAGGACAAAGAAGCAAATCCAGAAACCAAGATTCCTTGGGACAAGGAGTATCATGACCCATCGCCTGAGTGGAAGGAAGTTGGAAGGTTTGGTGGTTGGTGGAAGTGCAGGATAGAAGTAGAAAGCGGAGAAGACGCAGAAGGCGGAGAAGGCCCAGAAGGCCCAGAAGGCCCAGAAGGCCCAGAAGGCGGAGAAGGTAGAGAAGACCCAGAAGGCGGAGAAGGCGAAGAAGACGCAGAAGGCGGAGAAGGTGAAGCAGGCAAATCTGACGTCCCAGCCATTGAGAGAAACTGCCGGTTATGTCACAGACGGAAGGCGGAAAATGATAAGTTGGCAGCAAAGAAAGTCGAGAGTCTTGCAGAGAAGAAGCAGTCCATAGAGGATTGGATCAACAAGCATATGAAGAAAGAGATGTTGAAGGATAAAGCATATGTGAAAGCTCGGTTGGCGAAGGAAGGATTTTGACAAGTACCATCTGCAAAGAGCCTGGCTATCAACGAAGCATGGAATGCTGGGTATTTGCTGAGAATCGGATAGTTCTGATCAAGTAGGGACGAGGTGACCACCGCTTCCACGCGTCAAGTGCGGTTGCAAATTGACAAGAGCCATTCACGGCTCCGTTTCCATATTTTCGCCCTTGAAAGTGAGGTGGATTTCTTCTTCGTTCAAATTGCCGCCCTTATATCGGATTCCAACGCCAACCCCGGTAAGGCCTTCTTCATTGGCCCTGTTGTTCCACAGCATCTGGACGAGCCTCCCTTCACCCGTACACGTGATCGCCCCCATCGGCCAGCGGCTCCTAGCTAAGGCTTCTCTCATGCCCTTTGTGGCCGGCTTTTGACTGACTAGCAGTCCAATAACTCCGTTTCCCTGCCATCCGGATGGGGCTCCTGCGAAGGCACCCTCGAGCTCCCTAACAAAATTGGGTCCAGATTTCTTCGCCAGGGCCTTGCATTGCACCAACACCCTTAAGTTTAAGGGAACCGCGGGTAGTTTCCACTCGCCTAGAAGATCAATACCATAATCTGAAGCCCCTCCAGTCTGCTGGAGAGAGAAGCCAAGGCGCTTTAGGACCTCCTGGACGGTGTATTCATAATGGGTGCCAACATAAACGGTGCTTTTGGAATCAAGCCCGGAACGTGAGGCATAAGCTAAATAAGTTTCCAAGTCATGGTGATTGGCGTTCAATCTATCTGGGTATACAATCTCCTTTTCCGTATATTCCCTTGGCTGCTCCTTTAGCTTTTCCGCCGCCGTTGAGTAACTGTATTTTGAGATCCGGAGCAGGCAAGACCGATGTTGTCGATATAACGGCTGCAGGAGCATCATAAAACTGGCTGGGTATATAAACGGCTTATAATAAAACAACAACTCTCCAACAAGACTTATTTTATTGGACTTCACAAAGCACGGTATTTGGTTTGGAGATAGTAGTCAAGGGTCACCCAAAAGGAGGCTCCAGCTCTCATGCAAGGCTACCAGTGAACTGCAATCGCCGTTATGCTAAGCCAAGTGCGGCTAGCCTCGTACATCGGACCGCACCTTGTCGCAGCCTCACCATCCATCTACCACAGGCAGCTCACAATTGATCGACCAAGGGTTTATATGCCCACCTTGAGAAAAGATGGCTGATCGATTGACGCAACTACAAGATGCTGTGGACCAGGTACGGCGCCTTTTTCTGGCTCCCGATTAACCCCGCTAACCCTGATAGCTGGCGCATCAATTTGTTGCCTCGATATACTACGTTCACAGACACCACGAGCTCACGCCTGTCAACCCCACAGACAAGCCAAGGGAGGGACCTATGGACTCTGATGGAAGTCAGTTGCCCCATTTTTCCCCTTCTACAATCCACCAAGCTTTGGCAGTACGTGAGACTAACTGGCCGCAGTTGAACCATACCCAACAGCGCAGTTCCTTGACGGCCAGCGCGAGCTCGCAAAGGACCTCATTGTCAGAGAGCAGCAAATCGAGCTCTTGATATCGGCGCTACCGGGGCTTGAGCACAGTGAGCAGAATCAACAGGAGCGCATAAAGGCGCTGGAAGAAGAACTGGAGAAAGAGGAGAAGAAGAGGCAGGCTGCTGTGAAGGAGAAGGATGTCTTACTGGCAAAGCTGGACGAGGTCATACGGAGCGTGAGACGACCCTGAAATACGGAAATACATGGCATATTAGGGACAGGCTCTATCAATGGCGTTTGGGATACCCCGGTTTGCATCATAGCTATAATTCAACGGTCTTCGACAATTATAGTAACTCAAAAGGTTCATCCATGGCACTAAATATTGGCTATAGATATTTCTATCAGGCATTGCAACAGCGATTATGTCTATGAATGCATCTAAAGCCATCACCAGATTGCTCGGACCCATCTGTCCCTCTTCTAATTATCCTCCTTGAAAAATTGTGGGAATATTCTCCGAAGCTCTTCTAAATTCGCAACCTGATACTTGCACACCTGCTGCGGCGGGGAAGTGACGCTCGGTTCAACAAGATGGACAGTAGTCCAGCCTAACCGCTGTGATTCTCGACAATTTAACGCGGAGTCGTCTATAAACCTTCAGTTAAGTCTTCACCAAATGATGAACGAAGACTCACCAACAAAGTAACACTTATTCACGTCACTGATGCCCGCTTCTCTCATTGCCTTTCGGAACATTTCTTCTGCGGGTTTGCAAATCAACGGTCGTCCAGCATAGTCACAATACGTCAGCCCCTCAAAGAGATCGTCAACCCCAAGGATTTTCACAACCCTTTTGCCATGGTTGACATAGGCATTAGTAAATAGCCAAAGCTTCACCTTGGTCGTGTCGATGCTTTGGAGGAGCTTCCGTAGCTGCGGGTCTGGAGACAGGATCTTTTCAAGTGGCAGGGCATCGTCCACCTTCTCGTTGTACTCCAGAGGATCAATCTCGTGGTTGCGCACCAACCCTTCAATGGCTAGACCGTACGTCGTGTAATACTCTTGGTGAAGCCTGTATGCTTCGGCGCGGTCCAGTGAAAGGTGTTTCATGAAATAGTCGTCTATCAATTCAGACATGTGATCATGAACATTCTTGTCTGTGAAGAACGGTCAGCGATGTGCTTTTCTCACATATGATACATACTAACTCTTTGAATAAAGCTAAGAGACAAAGATTAGCAATGGCCTGGCATCTAATAACGAGAGACTTACACAGTTGTCAATATCAAAAAAGAAAACTGGCCTTGTGTCTTCTTCCGCCATTGCTATAAAGGTCAGATAGCAGCAAACTCTACTGTGATACCTTTTGCCTCACAAAAAAATACTATAATAGATACGGTTGTCAATAAATATTCCGCAAGGCGACGTCTATGATGATATTTATACGTCTGAGCATCGAGCATCCCAGTGACTCCATCGGGGTATCGGTACTCAAGTACTTGGCCACAGACACCAAGGTTGGCGTTTGTCATCAGCGAATAAGACGTCTCCGCTTACTAGCGGCAATTTGCATCTCGACGGATGCTAGCGTGCGGCTTGCCAAGCGTAGTAGGTTTGGTTGAAGCATCTCGATCAGGAAACTCCTCGATATCGCCAAACTTTTTATTGTTTTCTCAACTCTTCACATATTGCAATGCGCACTTGTCCTTGCTTTACCTTGTCTTAGCCATTTGGCCATTATGTTTGTATTAGTTTGCTTCACATAAACGAACCTTAATCTTTTGAGAAAATCGAATGGCTCAAGGGGCCATAACAACGGCGCCGTCAGTCGCCGTGGCAGGCTTGACAAGAGACGAACTGCACGAGATACAGGAATATGAAAAAATCATTCGATTTCGCGATATTGTATACTCAGGGGCACATCCTCGGATACAGATCCCGCCACACTTGGCTGGGAAGTCGTTGGTGAAGCCGTTATCTCCAAGTACAGTTGTAACGCCATCAAACCAGCCACCGACTCCATACTCGTCAACAGCACCAGCTGCGAAAACATATACAGGCAGGGAAAATGGAGGTGATGGAGACAGATTGCTAGATGGGAAGCGATTAATGGCTGGGCGGCCAACAGTTGCCTTGGGCAAGACTAACAAATCAGCGATCAATCCTATTTTGCTTGAAAAGTCGGCAGACCTCATCAAAGCAGAGATCCAGTTGCACAGGCAGCGTCTCGAAAGAAGCTTGAGGGATCAAGTTGATCAACGGCGCATTTCTATGAAGGCTGCCTCCCAGACTTCAGAGTCTCTCCCTGATTTCGACCTGTCAGATGTGCTTTCCAAGGCGTTCACAATTGTGCACCCTTCAACGGCTAGTGAGGCCGGGCAGTCCCAAGGTGGTCGCACGTCAGCAAGTGATTCCTTTGATGATAATACGTTTTATTCAAGCCAGCATAATACTCCAGAGCACGGAAGAAGTCCTCGCGGGCGCAGAGAGTCTGGTGAGGTCTATACAAGTGCTGTTGCTCCTCTCAATGCTCCTGATAGTGGACCATCAGTGGTTCGCTATCAAGACGAGTCTCCAAGTTTTATTTCAAAGGATGTCACCCCGTCTAATGTTGTTCCTGGATTACAAGAGCTTGCTCGTAGCCAGATATCCGCACCTCCACAGTCAACAAGCACTCTTGGTGCTGTTGGCGTAAACCAAAGCAATGAGCTCCTGAAAGCAGCTACTTCCAACAAGCCAGCAACTGATATTGCCCGGCCAGTCGCAGAAAAACAAGACTTTGCTCTAACTCCCCACAGCAATGTATCAACGCCACAAGGAGCAACCCCATCGCGAACTGAAGCCGATGAAAGGAACAGGATTGCTCAGGGCGGCCCTGATGCTGTACCTTCACAGGTGGCAAGCGCCACTTCCCAGAAACGGCGATTAACGCTGGAGGAACCCGAAACGGTGCGAAATTTCAACCTCTCCCCTGTCGCACCTCAACCAGCGCGTGTATCTCCTCTCGCCACTGCTCGGGCACCGGTGATATCCCAAGAAGCGTTTACGTTACAGGAGGAACCTATACTCTCCCCGGTGCACGAAGCAGGACCCAGTTCAGCAACTGGCGGAATGCCTAAGATCTCCAAGCGGGCCGAACGCAGAAAGGGGAAGGGCAAAAGCGTTGACACAGGTAATAACCCAGCTTCTGCAATTGCTACCCCAGCCTCTCCCTACATAAAACCCGAGCCAAAGTCTCCATCGCCATTCCAGTCGGCACCATTGCCACGTCCACACAAAAGGCAGAGGCAGACAATGCAGCAAGGTGCCGGACTCGACTACGATGAGCCGGCAGAAGATACGATTATGATGCAGCCTGTCGCCCCTCGCACCAGAGATGTAAGACCAAGGCCAGTCCAGAGAAGCGGCGAGCGACTTGGCGAAGCAATGGAAATCGATCAACCCCAACGTCACCGAATGGCCAGAGACGAAGCGCCCAGCCGCCGAATTATCAGCCAAGAAATATACAGGGATCCACCATCTCCTGCGATGTACGCGGTGCCTTATCCACAATACGAACAGCGGCCCGTGAGAGCTAGTTCGCGAATGGTGGCGGATACATATTATCAGGAACCTCCTGCATACTACAGAGAGCCACCAGCCGCGCCTGGAGCTGTTATTGAAATCGATCCCAGCGACAGGTCCTTGTCCCCTATTCTCATGGCGCCGCCGCCCCGAATGGCACCCTCTCGCATCGTCGTCGATGAGTACGGCCGCCAGTATTACACAGCTGCACCGAACCCGCCTCGACAGTCTGTCGCGCCACAGCCAAGGATTATCGACGACAATTACTACTACGATCGTCCCCCACCAAGGGCAATTCGCCGTCCGGTCCAACATGCATACGAAGACGACGGAGTTATCTACCGGCGCGCATCCCCGCAATACGTGCCCCAACGCCGCGTCATCACCCTACCTGAGAACCTGGCAGAACCCCAATATCGCCAGAGGGAATACTCGACACGCCCAGTAGCCACACGACCACCACCAGAAGAATACGCCGCGCCTGGAGATAGAGAACCCATTGAGATCCGCCAGAGGGAATATTCTACAAGACCACCTCCAGCCAGACAACCCATCGACGACTACCTGCGCGTCGCGGAAGCCCCGCCGCGGCGCCAACCTACGCATTTCGAGGACCAACCACCGCACGAGTACCTCCCCCAACGCGTAGCAAGTGTCCGCCCTGAGTCCTTCCGCCACGAGATGCGCGGCGAGTACATACCGCGCGCCCAGAGCATCCGTCCAGAGCCCATTCACCGTGAGTACGCGGGTAGTGTGCGGCCCGAGGGCCGGAGAGGGGGTGGGGAAGTCCAATCTCAGATTCTTAGGGAGTATAGTGTTCGGCCTGGTGAACAGGAGGTGGTGAGGCGTGAGTATTTGCCCGCGAGGACAATGGATGAGTATCAGCATCAGCAGCAGCCGATGGGGAGGCCGATGGCGAGGAGGGTGGTGGAGGAGCAGGAGTATATACCGTGGCGCCCGCAGGAGAGGGAGGTGTATGGCGGCGGTGGTGGTGGTGAGGATACCCAGCGGGATGTGATCTACAAGTAATAGTGGAGCGGCGGCGGCAAGAGAGGCGAGGCGAGTCGAGGCGAGACGCCGCTGGCGTAGGTGTGTATTGTAGGAGATACTGTGCCGGGAAGGGGCTTGTAGTGTTATGTACAGTACTGTGTGTGGTATAGGTTTAAGAAATAACATGAGAGTCGTGAGAGAAAGATTTATGTTTATTGTGTATGTGTGTATGTATTGTCTACTGGTTTATGGAAATTGTTCTGTGTATGTGTATGGAATTGTTATCGTAGCCCATGATGGTGAATGTCTGTTTACCAATAGTACGTGTTTAGAACATCAGTATGCCGGGATCCACAGGTGTCATTGGGCTTCGGGGCCGCTGCGTGCAGCGAGAGGTCTCAAACATTGCTTCTTACCATGCGTGCGTGCGTGTGTGCGTACATGTGTGGGGATAACAATGCAAATGGCATGACAACGCATGGTGATTGATGCGCGCGCCGTTGGAGGAGGGGGAGGGAGGGAGGGACTGAGTAGCCTGACTTGACTTGACTGACTGACTCTTAGTGATACCAGAGTTTGGAGGAGGGGTGGAAATACCAGACTTGAAGTGGTAACCAAAGTTTTTAGGCATGTAGATATAGGCTCTACTCCAGCCCGTTAAATAGCTTGACGCTGACCGTGAAGAAGAAAAGAAGAAGAAGAGGAAGAAGAAGAAGAAGATCCGGCTTACAGCATCGCATACACTGGTCTACATACAGCCCATCTACTCCCTCTAGTACCTTTATAGTGGCAGTTTTCCCGTCGTGTTCAGCTGCTATGGTCTCAGAATCTCAGTGCGGTCTCTCCAGTGGTCTGGGTTCATTCCTCCGCGGCCGCCGCGTCAAGCTCCGATCCATCCCAAAGCCTGGAGCTAGGGTTAGACACACCCGGACACAGCAGGTTTAGGAGGATTTAGCAGGATTGGCGGCGTGGGCTAGTTGTTCGCTACGGTCGGGGGGATTGTTATTGGTTGGATTTGAGGAGTGGGGACTGTCAACCTTTCTTGCTTGGGGGGGTGAGAGGAGTTGTGAGAGGATGGGATGGGGTGGATGGATGGATCTGAGAGGATGGTGGTGGGTGGATGTGAGAGGATGGATGGATGGGTCCTTACTGTATGTATGGTTATGGTGTGGTGTGGTTTTTTGTGGTTTTGTGGTGGTAGTGGTAGTAGTGTTAGTAGTTAGGTGTGGAAGTGGGAGTGGAGTAAGTAATACTGGTACCATACTCTTATATGGTGGTTATACTGTAACTCAAAGTACTTTCCTTTTACTTTGCTTGCTTTACTTTGCTACTAACTACCTACCTACTACACTTTACTATAGCCTTCCTTCTCTTACTGCCCTTTCTGCCCTTCTGCCGTTGACCCGCATTTCGATATTCCCAAGCGATCAAGCGAGGATTACATACCTTCGTATAATTCCCATTCTCCATATCACATCTATCTCTATCTCTTGTCACTCACCCCCAGCCGCCCATCCGCCCAGCCCTTATCCACGCCCGCTCCTCTATCTACAACTCCCATCCCCCCCATCCCGACAAATAAAAGAGCGAGCGAGCGAGCGAGTCCGCCAGCTAGCGAGCTAGAGCACACGACGAAATCCTTCCAACAACCACCCACCCCAACCATCACCACCACCACCCTCCCTCGCCATGAACAAACTCGCCAACATGCGGCATTGGTCCGAGAAGATGGGACCCGGCTTCGGCATGTCGCGCCCCAACCCCAACATGCCTCCCAACATGCCTCCCGGCGTGGCACCACCCGCACAACACCACAAGGGCTCACACAACGGCGGTCCCTCGCCCATCCCCCAAACCGCCGCCGACGCATTCATCCACTACTCGTTCAACGTGCCCTTCGCCTCGGATCTCGAGGGTCCCATAATAGAGGATATCGTGCACGCGACGCCGGATGCCTGCGAGAGGTGGACGCACCCGGAGTCGGCGCCGGATGGGGTGCCGGTGCATGAGCTGCCGGTGCATGCGATGAATGTGTTGAATCTGAGGAAGCTGTGTAGGGAGATTACGAATGGGCCGTTGCCGATTGAGGCGCATGTTATTTGCTCGGAGCCGAAGAGGGTGAAGGGCGAGATTGTGAATGTGTGTCTCTCGGGTAGCCCGGAGTTGGTGCAGAAGAGTCGGGAGACGATATTGAATGATATTCCGCTGGCATTGGTAGGTAGCGGATGGGACTGACTGTTGGCTGCATCTGAGCTAATTTTTTTGGTGTAGCGGTGCTCGGTGGTGGATATTGATGGCGAGTTGGTGCTTGATCAGGCGGGGACGGCGTTGAAGACTTTCGTGATCGAGCATCTGGATGAGGTGTCGGAGTTCTGTGGTGTCGATATCTTTCTTCTAGGGCCGAAGTTCAATACCATTGCGTCGGGGATCAACGGGAACGGCGAGGCGGGTCAGGATCAGAGGTGGAGGGTTGCGATATACGGCGATATGGAGAGTGCGGAACATGCAAAGACACGAGTTCTGGTCTTCATCGACAGACTACTGAGGCGAAGCGTTGACGCCATGCTGCTGGAGCTCTCGTTACACACCGTCATCTGCGGCAGGTCGAGGAAGAATATCAAGCATATTGAGTCGACGACGAATACGGCTATTTATTTCCCGCCGCCGTTTTCGCAGGTCTATAGATACTGTCATCCTGGTGCGAAACGCAGGAATCCGGAGGAGATATTCATTACGGGGGAGACGCCACAGGATATTGCGTTGGCGAAGCAGAAGATCCATGAGTTGGTGCAGCGGACGAGGCTGTTCATGAAGGACTGCATGGTCTCGCCGGCCAAGATCGATAGCATCCTGCTTGGTCGGCTCGATAAGGTCCGGAAGATCATGGAGACGAACGGCACTTTCGTTTTGTTCCCGCAGCTTGGGGCTCAGCGCAACTTGGTGCGGATTCAAGGTGTTGAAGGTCTTCATGTCGAGAGGACCATTCGCGATATTATGGGACTCGTAAGTGCTACTCGCGGTTCATATTTTCACGTTTACTAACGTCCTACAGACTGGCCAGTTCTACAGTGCATCGTGGTGGATTCAAGCACCACACGGTGGACGCATGCCATCTCCACAAGAGACACGGTCCATGCTACCTGACATCTGCGCCAACTCCGACGCCGACCTAACGCTGGACAAGTTAACGTTTTCCATCACTGGCTCCGACGATGCCGTCAAGGATGCACTAGCTGTTATCTCCGAAATCCCCTTCGTGGCCCGCTCCCAGTACCAGATCCGAGTGAAGATCGAGCTCGCAAACGAGCACAAGGAGTTCGTCAGCGGCAAGAAGAACGGCAAGATCAACAAGATCATGGGCCAGAGCAGCGTGCAGATCATCTTCGACGGCTTCAACGAGTACAACTTCAACATCGATGTCTGCTCGAGCCAGTACGAGGCTATGAAGACGGGACTATCTCTTGTTGAGCAAGAAATGCCCGCTTCGATATCCTTCCACGTTCCCGACCAGTATCACAAGCGCATTATCGGAATCGGCGGCCAACATATCCAGCGTATTATGAAGAAGCACTCCGTCTTTGTCAAGTTCTCGAATGCCATGGATCGTGGAGGCATCGGTCGCGACGAGGACGACATCAAGGTCGACAACGTCATCTGCCGTACGCCCGCTCGCAATGCTGGAGCACTTGAGCTCGTCAAAGCCGAGATTCTGGACATGGTCGACCGTGTTGATTCCGAGTTCACCAACCAGACTGTCAACGTCAACAGACTGTACCATCGCCAGCTCATCGCACGTATGGGCCAACTCGACGAGCTCGAGAAAAAGTGGAACTGCAAGATCATGTTCCCTAGCACCGAGCAGGCCAGCGACGACGTCATTGTGTCCGGCCCGGAATGGCAGGTCCCACACTGCGTGGACGAGTTCTTAGGCATGGTTCCCGATACCCACGACCTTGTCCTCGCCAGCTCGCCCGAGCTGCTCAAGTTCCTCGAGTCAGAGGAATTCGTCAAAGAGACGATCCCCAAGATGAAAGCCCAATACGTCGTCGAGCTACAAGTCAAAAAGGACCCCGCCGAGGTGACCGAAGACGGCAAGCCCACCGTAACCCTCATGTGGTCCTTCACGCGCAACAACGCCGGCGGCGTCCGCGACGCAATGGACTACCTAATCCAACTCCTCCTCCCCGCCGGCGCCGAAGTCAACATCGTCAAGGGCGCCATCCCCCGCCCCAAATCCGACTCCTTCGAGGAATCCCTCCGCTTCTTCGACTCCAAGCTCCTGCAACACGCACCCGCACCCGTCGCTGGCACTGACTCCCCTACTAAATCCGCGTTCAACGAAGATGTCTCCCGGGAACGCAGTAATATCTTCGATAAGCTGCGGAAGCCGGGGAGTATGACGTCTATCTCGGCGTTTTTGGATCGCCGCAAGAACTCCTCGCAGTCTCCTGCTGCGACGAGTAGTTTCTTCAAGAATGGATCGAGCAATGTGTCGAAGTCGTCGTTGATCTCAGTCGAGTCCACGAGGAGCTTTAATGCGAATCGCGATCCGTGGAATGATAGTGGTGTTAACCTCCCCGACGATGAAGGGGGGGCGACGTGGTCGAGGCCCTTCTCTAATGGGAATGGGAGTATTCACCTTAACCAATCTGGGCATCATGGTGATACGACGCCAAAGCACAATATGAGGATCTCGACGGATAGCGGGAGGCCTTCGACTTCGAATTCGACGAACTCGGGGTTCCCGGGCCCGATTGGGACGCCTCGTTAAATTTGTTTCTCTACTCATCTTCTCACCACCGTTTTTTTCTCACTTGATGGAAATGGTGTGTGTTGTGTGATGAGAGAATTTTTATTTTCACACCAACTCGACTCTCTCCTCTTTACTCTATTCTCAGTCTCTCTTCCTTACCGGCTGGATATACCCTGGGAAAACTCGCGTACAACTCAAAATACCCCCCCCAAACATTTGGTTTTTGTTCTGCTTTTTATTTCGGATATCATCTCTTTTTTCTCCCTCTTTGGTGTTTATGCTTGATTTTTTTCGTGCTTTTTACAGTTTTGTTTTTGTGTGTGTCGGTGCTACTCTACTCGTTTATACCTTGGTCGTCGTCGAAGTCCTTTTTTCTTCGTTGAAAAAAAAAAGCTGCTGTGTAGACCGGTGTGTGTGTGTGTGTGTGTGCGGCATGTTAAGTTGATACCAGTGGACGGTGTGTGGGTGCAGAGGGAATACCTATTTGCTTGTTATTTGCGCAAAGGCGGACGGAAATGGATGGGTGCGGGCGGATGGGGTATCCGCGTCGCCTGGGGTCATGATGCATGATGGGGAAGGATACGCTTCTTATGAGAGGGCGATGGGACGGGGAAGGGGATGCGGATGAAGACGCTGGCGGAGAACATTTACGAACGGGGTGATAGAAATGAGCAGCACTCCATCCATAGTCAAATGATAGATGCACGTCTAGACTCGTCATGAAATATAAAAATCCCATGTTTTCGAACTCATCTGCTGAAGGCTTACTTTATTTCCTGTCTCTATGCGAAGATGCTTGGTGCAAACTTAGAAGACCATCGAGCGCTGAGAAGAGGAATGCCTGCTTTCAATTAATCTCTAGGAACGTCTCAATATAAAATCCCCTTCGTAAATCTCCGACGAAGTCTGATCTCGACATAACACAACTCACTATATGTCACGTGTCAATTTACTCATCCCAGCCTGAACAACCAACTATGACGTATCCCCGACAGGGATCCACAATCCCAGCTCTCCACAACTTTCTACAGAAAAAAAAAGTCCCAGCCCGCCGCCCTGCACTGCCCTGTTAGGAACCCATCCCGAATTAAATTTCTGGTCTAATTAGGTATATCTATCACCAACGCACCTATCAGCACGGTCAATATCGATGTAGTGGGTAAGTGGAATGCGACCTTTACGCCGCGGGCTGTGCCTCGGTATGTGTGGGTTGTGGATTTGATGTGGTTTCTTTGTTGGCATGGCTTGCTTTGTGACAGCATGAGCGCTGGCGGCCAGGGGGGCAGATCCGGTTTTCGTGGGTCTTGTTGATCTCTCAAGGTATATAGGATAGTCACATATATATCTACGCGTTCTTTCTTAGTTTGTGTATTATGACTCCGTAATTCAGAAACTATCCAAACTCTGCTGGGTGTGATAGTAATCTTTTATCTATCTATCGACGGCCAAACCGATCTCTGCTCTGCGCGCATCTATTAGTATTCACAGTGAGGTCGATAGGTCCTGCCACTACCCAAGATGCGCTTCTCAGTTATCGTCCCCCTCATCTGCACGCTCGCGGCTTTCGTGCTGTCGATGCTCTGTCTTTTTGCGGGTTCGAAACCGAACTTCATGCAAGACTTTGAGATTATCACTGTACTTCCCCCCTCTCTCCTTCCCCCCCCCCCTTTTTCCCCCTGCCATCCCTCAATAAACACAATAACTAACCTTTCCCCCCCCAGCTCAACACCTCCAGCCTCGGCCACGACACCTCTCCCACAACCTCCAGCACCTCCTCCTCACCAACCTCAATCGGGTCATGGCTCAACAACATCGCCGGCGATCCCAAGGGGGATATCATGAACGAATTCAACGAGATCCGTGGTGATGTGGCGGATAAGCTCGCGGAGAAGCTGGGGATCCATCAGTGGTATAACTTGCACATGACGGATATGTGTATGGGCACCTACACGCCGAGGGCGACGGATAGGGGGGCGAAGATGAATGTTAGTGGGTGTACGCCTATGAAGGCTATGTGTATGTCATCTCCCTTCCCCCTTTTCCGTAAAGTAGTACACCGGCGAACAGTGGCTGATTCCGACGTATAGACCACTTCGACCCAACCTCCCAACTCCAGAAAGAACTTGATTCCGGCCCCCTAGCAGGAAAAATCAACCTCGCCGACCTCGGCTACTCAGACGACATCAAGAACGGCATCAAAGCCTTCAACATAGCCATGACCGCCATGTTCATCCTCTACTGCATCGGCGCCGCCGCCTCCGGGCTCTGCATCATCCTCGCCTTGATCTCCTTCTTCTCCACAGGCCGCTTGACATCATGTCTCAATTTCCTGTTGGCGATCGTGGCGTTCCTGGCGCTGGCGATATCGAGCGCGATCGTGACGGCGATTATTGTCAAGGCGACGGAGGTGGTGAATCAGTATGGTAATGATGTCGGGTTGTATGCGTATAAGGGACACAAGTTTTTGGCGATGACGTGGGGGGGGACGGCGGCGATGGGGGTGGCGATGGGGGCGTGGGTGGTTATTTTTTGTATGGGGAGGAAGGATTCAAGGAGGGCTAGTGAGAAGCCTTATTAGGGGTTTTGGGGGGAAGAGGCGCGGGAGATGAGAGTTGCTGAGAATCCCCTTTATTTGTTTGGAATGAGGGGTTTGGGGAGATAGGTTGTCGAGAAGTCTCCTGAAGGCCGTGGAGGATGAAGAGTAGACGAAGAAACGTTGTCGTAGGAGTTAGATAGATACCCATTAGTAATTAACCAGTCATGAAAATAAATCACCGATGTCTCTCCCGTAAGGTGAGGGGCCGCTGTGCACAACATATTCCTCGAAGCGCTGAGCCATCACACTCGGTGAACCTGTGTGCTGTTTGACGGGTTCCCAGTTCTCATCGTACAGCCCCGTTTCATGGAACCAGAAAATCTCGGCGGGCTGGCAAAGGACTGATGGGTGACCGCAGACATCCAGCTTTTCTAGCTGGAGGTGCTCCTTCATCTCGTCTATGAGCAGCTCAAGGTCGGCGGGCTGGTCGACAGTGTTCCCCTTCAAGTCCTTTTTGCTCACGAATGCCCAGACTCGAAGACGTCTGAGTGTGGCCGCATGAGATTTGAGGAATGAACTTAGCTCTTCCGGGTGCCATGCTATCTTTTCCAGTATGAGAGTGTGTAGGTGTGGTAGCATCAGCCCATCTAGGAGGGGAGGGCAGTCCAAAACTGCCGAGAACGACAATTTGAAGCCTACGTGTAGTTCCCGAAGATTTGTGGCTCCTTTCAAGGCTTTGTTCAACTTGTTTGCCCAAGAGTCGCGGCTGTCGGTGGCATGATGATCCCTGAGGTTCTTGCATCCCATAACCAGTTTCAGGGTCGTCAGACCGTGGAACGCCGCTTCCAGGCCAGGGCGGTAGCAGTCCATATCCCAGATGCCAAAAGGTAAGAGGTCATTCGTTAGAACTCGCAGATTTAACGCTGACGCAGCGCGAAGGATCGCCATGAAGTGGACGATTTCGGCGTCGCCCGGCTCTGCTTTTGATAAGCCCATTTTCCAAGCATCCCACAAGACGAGGTCGTTGTATAGGCATTCTTCCATTTTGATGTCGATAGCCTCCAGATTTTTCATATTGGGGAAAGCTAGCTCCAAAATTTCCGGGTTGCAGAAGTCGTCTGCGAATGCCTCCTCCAGTCCTTTCTGCTTTTGATACTTGGCCATCGACTTCTCCATCGTCTCGGCGCTTCCTGTCCTTTCTTTAGCGCATTGCTGGAGACACAGGTTATTTCGAAAGTGAAAGTCATCAGCCTTCGCCATGTAGATTTCTACTCGATGGATCTGAGACGAGAAGTAGGGATGCTGAGATATTTCCATGAGCTTGGTGAAGTCGTCCCTATGGGGAAACAGTTTCAGCCGCGGGCTTAGTATGTATGGTTGGCCAAGAATTGCACATCGTTTGGACGTTAAACGGAACGATTTGCAGGAATCGACTCCAAGGTCTTGGAATATGGCTTCTATCAGCTCGGCAGGCAAGTATTGTAAGCCGACTGGGTTCTTGTCGCCGTTGGCAGTCAAGGAATCCATGATACCGTTGAGGGACTCCATCATGATGATTGAAGGTTGATAGATTTAAAGAAAGTCAGGCACAAGTCAAGAAGTGGAAAGACAGCAGAATAACTCCATATACTCCTAATATGCTAAACCCACGCGCCATTCTTCTAAATAATGGCGGTAGCTGGTTAGTTTGCAAATTCCGTGGTTAGTAAATACCGGCGTCATTTGGTTTGAGGACGTTGACGTAAGGTACGTGCCGTAGTGCAGGGGCATGGGCCGTTCACGTAAACGAAGATAATTTACACGGGCAGTGGTCTGACACAGTAGATGCAACGACTTCAGTGGCAGCACCCCGCCATTAGCGCCGAATTGCAATTCTAGAAACCCAGGCTATATTCCACATAGCGTCTGCTTTGAGTCCCTGGCTTTTGGCCTTTCACTCTCAAGAATGCCGTCCCCAATTAGGTTCGTTCCGGCGCCTCATACCCCCAAGTGTGCTTCTGGTTCTAACATCTGCATTATAGTTGGTTTCGCGCCCTGACGCCGAAAGCACAAGGCCTCATCGGCATGGGCTTGCTATCATGGGGGGCAATCGGGCTATACGCTTCGGATGCTGCAGAAGAAAAGCTCGGCTTTAAGCCGTCAGAAGAAGAAAAGGCGGCATTACGAGCCGCAACACCGAGAATCTCCGTCGTTGATCGCGAATAAGCCTACCCTATTCTCCGACAAATGCGATATTCAAATGGACCCCAGATAATGGAAGGCGTTCAGGGGTTACAGGACCCATATTCAGGATCTGCGGACATGGCGCGGCGTTCTTTGGACGCGGCCGCATGAAGCTATCCAGAGTGCAAAGCGGGGATAGAACGAACAGACATGTATACCAATACGATATACCACTACAGGTGCCTAAATAGAAAAAAAAGAGTTACGGTGGGTTATGGGTGGGGGTTGAGGTGGCGATTCAAGATTTACAACGGCGTACATGGCGGGGCATCTTTTGCATTTCAGATCACCAAGGGATTGTAGGATTAGATGGACACTTCATATAATTAATCGTTGGAAGAGCTCTTCATTCATAATGCCGTAGTCTTTATCTCTATCGAAACACACGTCAAGTAAATGCAAATTAAGACCCTTTAAGTAGCCTTCTTGGCAAACTCGACCCTGAGAATGAGATGCTTGAAACCGAAACCATCCATCGCCGAACATGCCTTCGCAGCATCGTCGCGGTTTGTGAAAGAAATGAAAGCAAATCCCTTCGCCATGCCCGTCTCCCTGTCCTTCGCGAGGAAAACCCTTGTGACGTGGCCAAATCTCTGGAACATAGCGCGTAACTCGTCCTCCTCTGCCAGCTCGGAAACCTAAGACAAAACGTTAATAGAGGCCAAAACAACCCGTCGAGTAGGATATGCTTACGTTGGTAACACGGAGAGTGGCCAGGTCGTCCCTCTCTGCGTACTTTCCGCCACCCATGCGCTCGCCACCAGCCGCCGCACCGCCCGCGCCATTCCTCATATGTGGGGGGACATATGAGCTCTTTCCTGTCCCTAAGCCTCCTGGGCCCTCGGCCACATCGCCAGCGCCGGCAGCAACATCAGCTGTGCCCTCCTCGCCAACTGGTGCCATGGTGTCCTTGTAGGGACACTTGGCTGTGAAATGCTCTCCAGTACAGATTCTGCACTTGACTTTCTTGTCCTTCAGCTTATCCTTCATGCTTCCGACCTCGACCTTCTCCTCTTTCGCGTCCTTGCGCCAGTTGACGCTGGGCTTGAAAATGATGTTCTCGCCGACGGTCGTTGTGTCCACAGCTGGTCCTGCCTTATCCTTTGCCGACAGTCCAAATTTGCTCCATCCCTTGCGTTCCGCCACACGAGGGTTGACGACCTCCTTCACAACGGTTGTGCGGATCCGGCGCGTCGTCTTGACCTTCTTGCCTTCATCGTTGATACGGTATGTGGTGATAGTCTTCGTTCCATCCTTGTTGGTCGTGATTTGTTGCGGTGGCAGCTCGAGGGCGTTATCATCAAGCTCTTCATCGTCAGCCCAGTCGGGGCGGCTTGAGTGGGGTTAGTAGGGTTCACCGCATCCAAACGCGAACATATATACTTACTTTGCTACTTTGGAGGCCATGTTGAGGCTGGATTCTGCGATGTTTGGGCAGAAATAGTCTCAGTTGTCTGAAGGGTTTCAAGGCGCAAACGGTTGGTGGCCTCGATGGGGTCGAATTTCGGATATAGAAATGTTCGTGGGGCTCGTTAGCGGCAGAACATTTCGCGATGTGGTATGTGGTCACGTGATCTACTGATTGCAATCGTAATCCAAGGCACTAACACATACCATCAGATTCTAAATATACTCAAGCCTCTACTGTACAAAAATAGCCCACAGGAGTCACACTTCAAACCCATGATACAATCACAATATCGTAAAAAGATATGTATACAATGAGAGGGGATTTCATCATATTATTCGTTTTTAATCTGTTTTTACACTAAGAGCCGTGCTCCATATCTCGAAATGCCCCCGTATGCTCTGTCTGTATAATACAACGCCTCCGTCCCGAGCTTGATAAACCTGTGCCCAATTGGGAGAACTAATACAACAAAGAATACCGCTTAAACCGCGATTTACGAGTACAAATGGTACAACAACCTGATGAGCCGCATCTATGCAACATCAAAGCTTCTGTGACATAAAAAAAAATGGTAGTTTTCGATCCTGGTAGTGACATCCCTTACTCCTTCTTCTCACCCTCCTTTGGCTCCTCTGGCTTGGCCTCACCGGCCTGGCCAGACTCAGAACGGGCCTTGTGCATCTTATCGAACAGGTTCAAGCTGGCCATCTGGAGCTCGTCGGACTTCTCCTTGAGCTCAGCAGCGGTGGCGGTACCCTCACCAGACTGGCTCTTGGCGACGAACTCGCGAAGGGCTGCAATCTTCTCGCGGATCTGATCAGCCTCGGTCTTGTCGAGTCTGTCGGCAAACTCGTTGAGTGCCTTCTCGGTATCGTTCAGGACGCTGTCCGAGCGGTTGGCGGCCTCAATGGCAGCCTTGCGCTCCTTATCAGCCTCAGCGTACTTCTCAGAGTCGTTGACCATGTTCTGGATCTCCTCATCGGAGAGACCAGATCCGGAAGCCAGGGTGATAGACTGGTCCTTGTTGGTAGCCTTGTCGGTGGCGTGGACGTGGACAATAGAATCGGCATCAATGTCGAAAGTGACCTCAATTTGAGGAACACCACGGTGTGCTGGTGGGATACCAACAAGCTGGAAGTTTCCGAGCAGCTTGTTGTCGCGGACAAGCTCACGCTCTCCCTGGTAGACCTTGATCTCGACAGCAGTCTGGAAATCAGCGGCGGTGGAGAAGATCTGGGACTTCTTGGTGGGGATGGTGGTGTTGCGGTTGATGAGACGGGTGAAGACACCTCCGAGGGTCTCGATACCAAGAGAGAGAGGGGTGACATCAAGGAGGAGCACATCCATGACCTCACCGGCCAGGACAGCACCCTGGATAGCAGCTCCGATGGCAACAGCCTCATCGGGGTTGACAGACTTAGCTGGGTCACGGCCGAAGATGCTCTTGACGGACTCGGCAACCTTGGGCATACGGGTCATACCACCAACGAGGATAACCTCCTGGATGTCCTTAGCCTGGAAGTTGGCATCCTTGAGTGCCTTGCGGACTGGCTCAATGGTGCGGTTGATAAGAGGGTCAACGAGGCCCTCAAGCTGGGTCCTGGTCATCTTCATGTTGATGTGCTTTGGTCCGGAAGAATCGGCAGTGATGAAAGGAAGGTTGATATCGGTCTGCATGGAAGAAGACAGCTCAATCTTGGCCTTCTCGGCGGCCTCACGGATTCTCTGGATGGCCATGCGGTCACCCTGCAGATCGATGCCAGAAGTCTTCTTGAAGTCCTGGACAAGGTGGCGAACAAGGGTGATATCGAAATCCTCGCCACCCAAGTGAGTGTCACCGTTGGTGGACTTAACCTCGAAAACGCCCTTCTGGATCTCGAGAACGGAGATATCGAAGGTTCCTCCTCCAAGATCGTAGACAGCGATGATTCTGTCCTCCTCCTTCTCAAGACCGTATGCAAGAGCAGCGGCAGTAGGCTCGTTGACGACACGGAGAACGTTCAGGCCAGCAATTTGACCGGCATCCTTGGTGGCTTGGCGCTGGGAGTCGTTGAAGTAAGCTGGGACAGTGACAACGGCGTTCTTGATTGGCTTGTTGAGGAAGGCCTCGGCGGTCTCCTTCATCTTCTGGAGGACGAATCCACCAACTTGCGATGGCGAGTACTTCTCACCGCGAGCCGAGACCCAGGCATCACCGTTTGTGTGTTGGACGATCTTGTATGGGACCTCCTTAATATCGCGCTGCACCTCAACATCGGTGAACTTCCTTCCGATCAATCGCTTGGTGGCGAACAGGGTGTTCTCGGGGTTGACAACAGCCTGACGCTTTGCGGACACACCGACCAAACGCTCACCGTCTTGTGCAAATGCTACGACGGAGGGAGTTGTGCGGGCACCTATTGAATAATGTTAACATTGGACCTAATGGATAAAATAGCATATTATCATCAATGCTTACCTTCAGAGTTCTCGATAATCCTTGGGACCTTGCCCTCCATCACGGCAACGGCAGAGTTTGTAGTTCCTTTGGGTAAATGTTAGTACGTGCCGATATCGCATAGTATCGGAGCATTCTTACCCAGATCAATACCGATCACCTGTCCCTTGACCTTCTCCTCGGCACCGGCAGCGGTAGACTCATAGCGAGCGAATTTAGATAGTAATGGTGCGCGGTTGGCTGTGCGTGTGAAGGAGGTGGTTGCCCGGGGAAGCTGGAAAAGACGGAGTCAGTAAAAAAGATTCGGCCCAGATCGATCCAGTTACTTACAGCTCTGGAAAATTTAGAAGCCAACATCGTTGACGTTAATGGTATTATCAATGAACTCCGAATATATTATTACAAAATGAGGATGAAATGGTCGTAAGGTAGAAGGGTGAATTGGAGATGGTTGTTGAAGATTGAAGGGGATGATGGGAGGAAAAAGTTCAGAACGTCTCGAGAATTTTAGAAGACGAGAGAACGCGCTAGTCCGGTACTGGGCCCGCTGCATGCCTTAACCCGAGGGGGCGCGGTAATTTAGTAATTTAACGAGTTAGCGGAATTTGACGCACGTGATGGGGTTAGTTCTCCGGACTTTGCGGGTAGTGGGTTGACGGTTGACGTAGTAGGACCGTAGTAGCACGACCTGCATATCCGACTCCAATGATCATGATCCATTTCATGACTAGAGCATCTTAGAAGTACCCTTATCTCGTTGTAATGCGCCATTTGAAGCTCCAGACTCCAACATCTCTCTCAACGTAACCCGATCAACGAACTCAGATCTCACATACGGCTTCATTGAATCGATCAGCTTCAGCAGAACAAAGAGAGGAGCCTAAATGGCTTCATGTGAGCGCGCTTCTGCCCTCTGAGCTCCGCAATCTCTCTCTCACATGCACGTTGTGCTATGATTTGATTCATGACAACAACGGCCATACTGTTGGACGAATGGCAGCTATGGCTGTGAAATATGACTCCTTGTGAGTTCATACTGGGCTCTGACCCCGCTAATAACCATGACCTCTTCTGACTGACTGCGAAAGATACCATGCCACCGACAACTTGATATTGCCCTGTCCGAGAAAGCAGTACCGTGCGTTTATGCTCGCAGGCCATTGGCAGCTTCGATCGTTTGTCCACTCGCCCAGCTTGGGAAAGGTCCATTATCTAGGCGTCCGAGATATTTATGAAATCGACACCTCGAAACGAACCCGGCGCATTGTGGATACATTATCATTTAAACCAAAGTGCCTCGTGTCCTCAAACGGATGGATATGCTGCGGAGGTGAGAAGGGGAGATTTGCAGCGCTCCACCTGGATTCGAATGAAGGTGGTGTTGGTCCTCCCAGCGAGGCTGACGTCCGGTTACCTCTGGACCTTGATCCGTTCAGACGGTTGCATCTAAGCTTGCAAAATCGCGATTCTAGGCCCGGGACCAGCGCTGATGCAAATCGGAATCGATCTCAAATGAGAATTATCGGCGATGAGATCCTAAACTGCATAACATTATGGTTTCCCGGATCCGAGGTCACAGAAGGTGCATACTCAAAGCCCGTTGCTGTTGTCGCAAGTAACGATCTTTCCGCTTATATCGTCGACCTGGAAAGTTTGGAAGTAATAGACAGTGTAGAGCAGGTTGATCCAGTTAACCTGGGCCGAATCTCGCCCGACGGCTCCGTTCTTATCGTGGTGGGCGATGACCCTTACATGCACGTGTATAAAAGGACTCTTGAAAGCGGCTCTAGAAAGAACGAAGAGGAATACTCATGGACCAAATGCCATGCTGTGCAACTCCCAGGACAGCGCATTAGTGATGAAGGGGATATGCGAGGGAGCTTTGCTGGCGACTTTTCTGACAGGTATCTGGCGGTTGGGACACAACATGGAATGATTGCTGTCTATGAGACTGCCCATCTTATTCGACCGGAAAAACCACGTCCAATCGTGACTTTTCCAACAACGCGCCCAAACACAAAACACGGTGCAGTGAGGTCGCTTCAATTTAGCCCTTCAAGCCCATATGACCTCCTCGCAGTCACTGAAGATGGGGGGCGAGTAATCGTGGCAGACGTCAGAAGTTTAAATACTCGTCAGGTTATGGATGTAGGCGAAAGTGTTGAGGGATTTGAACTTGTCACCCTTACAGAAAGTACTGGTGACGATGTTATCGACCCACGCCTTCAGGCTGATCTTGATGCTAGAGGTGATGAGTCTACAGATTTCTTCGACTCCTTCCTAGACAGTGGTCAGCGACGTGCGGCTCCCCAATTGATCAACCACGGCACTCATCAGCTCACTCGCGACGAAACAGCGGTCTTGGAGGCTCTGCAAATCGAAAGGAGGCGACGGGAAAGAGAAACAAACCCAACCGCCTCGAATAACCCATGGAACAGTGTCGCGGATGAACTTCGCGCAAGAACTCGAACTGGCGAACGCAGGTCGCCCAATACCAATCTTCCGGGGCCCCTCAGGGACCTACTTAGCAGCAGAAATACTGATTCACTGCGCGCGTTGGTCCTGGAGCGGAATCAAGACCGAGAGCAGAGAGGGTTGCCACCACGAAGACGCGGTGTTATGACCGCCGCTCGCGCGGGACTAGATCCTGAATCAAGAGACCCCACCAGAGTTCCGGATAACCAGCCCATTGATGGCGACGCCATGCCCCGAATATCCCTCCACTTGCCATCGTCACTGAGCATCCATTCATCACCAAGCTCGGCTGAAGTAGATGCAATATATAGCATGGCCATGGACTCGCAAGACCCATCTGCCCGTTTACAGCTTGGGGTCGATGACGAAGTCCGTAGAGAAACCATCAGGCAGGCCGATGAACTAGCCTCGATGCGTCGACGCCAGAATGAACCTTGGACTAGTTCTCCCGTACAAGCAAGGTACTCGGGACAGCGTGATCCACCGGAAGAGAATCAAACTACCGGCTGCACGTGGAGCCGAGATAGCCGCACATTGTAAGTTGTCTCTCGAGATGCGTTCTGTCGATTCGTAGCTAACCAGGACAGATATGTCGGTACCGAAGGGGGAATGTACGAGTTTCCGGTGAACATCACTAACCGCAAGATCTTCCCCAGCATCAAGTGGAGATAGGCCTTAATGCTTCCGGTTTGGCGTACGGCGAGGGACAGGCGTGACTTCTGGTTGCTTTTGGATGACGGCTACGAATGCATGGACATACGGGAATACATTAGCCATTGATGGCTTCTACTAGGCGTTACTGTGTCGGCTTTGGAGGTACCTCGTACCTACATTTGGGGGGAGGGGGCCTGGCGCAGTTTGGACATCTTTATGAACCCGACGACTCAGGCAGCAAGGTCTGATGGAGACCTATTTTTGAGGCAATGAACGAATATATATTATGACCTATGCTTTTGCTTTCAACGTGATCATGTTTGTCTGCAAGGGTTGGATCACTGCAGTAAATCTATCATTCTTGACTTGATCTATGCTACATATAACGTTGCAGATGTCTTAAAACTCCAATATCAGCTTGAAGTATTTATACACATCATTGATATGTAGATAGGTCCAAGCTAGCAAATGGAGCAAGTGCAATAATACCAGGCTGTAAAAAATTGAATGGACTGCAGACCTCCCCCAAACCCAACCTCAAAACAACGCTCAAGCACAGCAAACCCACCCAAATCACTCCACCCCAAACTCCACCGTGACAATAATCCTCCAGCTCCGGGATTTGAGGCCTTTCTATTTACAATTGGCCCAATATTCGTAATGGCGTCTAAGAACTTGCTGATTACAGCACCGACTCACGCGCTATCGGCCCAAACTTGAGGCATAAACTGGGTATGTGGTCATAATTTCGTTGCTGATGGCAAATACTTTGTATCTCCATGCAAGTATGCCACTAGCCCATGGGCAGTAGAAGCTTAGAGCAGAACCGCAACTCGTAGCACCTTGAATCCGCAGGGTCGAATGTTGCATTATTTTGTTTATCGAGAACCTCCGCATCTAACAAATAGTCAGCATTCATATCATAACAATCGAAAACACAGGTTTAGTGAGTAGTGAAATGTAGGACTTACGGCTCAGATTAAGTTTCTCAAAGTAGTTTTGTACCGTCGAATCCAATTCCGTGGCCAGTATCCCGTCCGGCATCCTCGCATAGGTCTTTGGTGGAATATTCCGCATCCGCAGCAACATCTGTAGCATATCCGTGATGCGATCGCCCTGGCTCCCATACCAGATCGGTGTCTTGTCGAGCGGCCAGCGAGCCTTCAGGTAGTCTTGTTCCCAGGACTTGAAGAGCCATGTCGACTTCTCGACGCAATTCAAGAGGATGATCGCGACAAGGAATGTCTCGAAGGATGAGGTAGAAGAGCGCTGGAGCAGACGTCGTTCGAGGTCGTTCAAAACAAGTTTGCTGGTCTGTGCAGCTTTCTTCTCCACTGCCGCGCTGAGCTGCATGCAGAGCAGCTGGTAAGTAGTTCCTTGCGGATCGATGGGATGGCTTTCTGAAGTTTCATCGCCCATGGTTCTGCGTTCCGATAAGCTCCATTTCAACTCGTGGTCGACAAGGATGTGCACCGTGGCCCAGAGCTCGAGGGCGCGACTCAAAAGGCTATCCTGCTTTTGGATGGAGAGTTCCATGGCGACACTGAGCGTGACGTTCATGAAATGTGAAGGCTCTTTTTCGAAGAATATTGGGGACATCCGCTGCGCATACCCTTCAATTTTCATTGGCAGATCATCATTGTCATTATCGAGGATCCGAAGACTCTCGCTGGTGAAATCTATATTCAGGCCTAGGATCGGGTCGATATTCTTCTCTGACGGCAAATCTTGTCCCTCTAGAGCGTTGAATCCCGCGTATATGTTTGTTTCCGGATAATGAGAGGCCTCGATCTGATTTACAGATGCTGTGAAGTTGACGCGGCTTTTCACGGCGTTGACCTCATGGTACGCGAGAACAGCATGTAGACCAGCAGAATACATGTCCAATTCGTCGGCAAGGCGGGTTCTCATACATGGCTGCTTCCATAAGCGCGCACTTTCAACATTTCGGCATGTATTGCACGGGGTCTCTCCGGAGCAAGGCTTCTTCAACATTCTGCAGCGAATGCAGGCCCCTCTTTTACGGACTTCCTGTACCTCCTTCCTGCGGTTTGGAGTGAATCTGCCCCGGACCTTTGGCTTATTAGCTCTTTGGCCATTTCCATACTCAGCACTGAATTCCGTTGTCATGCCCGTGTTAATGGCGATGGCCCGAGGGAAATTCTGCTGCTGCTGGGCTCTAGGCTCCTCTACGTGGCTTTCGAACCCTTCTGGGTCTGGGTACATGTTTCCGCCGGATCCATCCAGCATCGGCCAAGTTGGCTGATCTGCTGGACGATGGACGAAATATTGGTCGCTTATAGTGCTGTCTTTCAGGCTGTTTATGTCCGACGCAAGACTTTCTGAGATCTCCTGTGGAAGGCCTTCGCCGAACAGCTGTGGGTCGACCATAGACGATGTGAATCTGGCCGAGGCTGCAACAGCCATGCTAGTTGCGGCCGCCATGTTCAGTGGCGGGGGTGGGGACGTCGACGGGGCATTTTCTTGGGCAAAGTTGACGGGAGGGAGTGTAGATTCGCTATCTCGACGAGGGGTAAGTTTCTGGCTCAAGACTGAATTATTAGCATAACTATTGGAGGTATTAGAGGCCAGTTCCTACGTTTCTTATCGCGTTGGACACGGGCTTCATAGCTAAGTGGAGGGTTGTCTGGAGTCCATTGTTCTTGTAGCTCAAATCGATCAATCCTTGGTGTCTCCTCAGGCCGCGGGTCGGCACTGTGATTATGTTGGGTTCGATCATCTTGTTTTTCGCTCAGATCAATCTGTCTTGATACCTCTGCGAGTGTTTCGAGGGCTGTCCAGTTGCGATTGCCGACGGGTAACTCGACAGAGGACGGGTTGGCCTGATTGCGAGCATCGGTAATATCGGGAAGATCGTTGAGCTGGAGCAGAGCCTTCTGCCTATCCCGGAGAGAAATAGCAGGGCATTTTTTAACAAGATGCGTAGTGAGGCTGTCGATTCGTCCCTTGGGGAACTTTTCGCCGCATGCTCGGCAAGTGTGCTGGTATCGATTGCTCGAGTCCTCGAGTTTTTGGCCGCGTTCGAAAAATTCAAGGATAAGCTGGTTGGGTTTCCTACCCATTTTGGAGGCAGGTGAAACCAGGCAAAACAGTTATATCGGATATACTAAGAGGATTCGAAGTATTTCAAATGGGTTGTGCTTGGCTAAGTTGTTGGTTCGAGGCTTTCCCAACGGCCAAGACCAGGATGGTGCGATGCGACGGTACTGCGCACCTTCCGCGAGTCAATTGGGAATGCAGTTAAGTCGAGGATTCGAAGCTCGAGGCGTCTGATAAGTATGCAACCCCAAACATTCGGAATGGCTCTTCTGTGGACGAGTATGTCGCGTCGATTATGATGCTCATAGAAATTCGAGTGGCCACAAAGAGTAATGCCAGTTCTATGTAGGCGGTGTCGTGAGATGATGATTAGGCGGTGTCGAAAACACGCTAGTGCGGAAGTAATACGTCCGTGCACGGGCCATCATTCGCCGATCTTTTTTGCCTCTCAAATGAAATTATATCAGGCCATTATGAGAGAGTGGAGTTTATAAGGATGTTTTAAGATAGATGACGGGCATCTTCAGGTAGTCTACATTATTAGTCTATATTATTATACAACAAAGATAAATATTAATAATGATTAGTTGGGATTTAGTTTCCAGTTATTAATTAATTGAATTATAATTGTTAATTATTATTCTCACTATCAAGTTCTCACCCCCCGATCTCTTGTTTCTCATGTGAGTTGCTACATGAAAATATGTCCCAATTATTGAACCTTGAGAATTTAACTGAAGGTCTATAAGAAGACCATAATTCCCCACAGAAGTAGAAGCGTGTCTCTAGGCCTATCAAGCTTGATGGTCTCAAATTCGTGGATTTGGCTCTCCATTGGGCACCAAACGATGATATTCGTCATAAAACAAGCAGAAAACCCTCCAAATCGCGCTTAATGCCGATAACCCATGGAAACACAAAGATTTAATAATTTTGCCGCTCTCCTGGATAAGGGTAGGAAAGTCCTTCTGACCCGTGCCATGGATGTTAACCAACAAGTGCTTCGTTTTGAAAATTTAAAACATCGCAACCTCATCACCAATTTAGGCTTTCTTGGATGTATACCGGAGAGTCTCGAAGCTCGATGAAGTTATTTTCCTGAGGATGAAATTTCTCAAATTGGGAATTGTATAAAGGGGGTGGATTCAGATACCAGGAGACGTCTAGAGTAACGACGCATTTTCAGTTTTGTTACTGATCAACAAGGTGAAAGCAGGCAAGAGAGCTAGGAAGTACACCTGAAGGCGATGTTTGTTTCATAGAGAGATCATTGCAGCCACGAGCCCCAACTTGTGTGACTCGGCTCTGACAGAGCCTAATATTGACATGGACTTCATTACAATTGGTTACAACTGGGCGTCAGCTTTCTGTTGTCAAAGTTGAGCATATGTGCACTTGCTTGCTATCAAAAGCTGAATTTGCTAAGTGGCTTGGGATATAGTCGCATGCAAAAGTTTTCACGTCTATCAAACCCGACGAACACACTATAATGGATGAAACGTATATGTATTTAGACCATATACTGCAGCTCTCAAATTGCTATGTAGACGCTCTCCTGGCGTTTCTAATGGACCATGAACTACAATTTTGTGCTGGTGTTAAGAAAATGTTTCGGATCCAAGCTGCTGCAATCTGCGCTGTGGGCTTTGCCTTCGAGGATCATCTCACTCATGACCAGGCCCGTTCCGGGTCCATTCTGAATACCCCACTCATCATGGCCAGTTGCGAGCCATAGGCCATGAATCCCGACAGGTCCGACCATAGGACCGACCTCCTCATCTTCTTCATGCTGCCGTATCTGAGGCTTATAGCAAGCTTGCTTCTTAACAAGTGCCCCATCATGGATTTCTTGTGAAACGCTTCCGATTGCTTTCAAAATGTCGGCGCATTTCTGGTCAACCAGCTCGATATCTCCAGTATCAGAGGGTAGGCTAGTTTCGCAGTCATCGAGTCCGATGGCGTAGACGGTGTCAAATTCATAGAGGTGGTCAGCAGGCCGAGGGTAGATATCTGGTGAGAGTAACTCGTCGAATGGGCTGGCTGGAGCTGGTTGGATATTGCGGAAAAGTATGTATGGTGACAGCGGCCTTGTTGGCTTAACAATAACACTATGTCCTCGAGGAGTCAACAAGGACACAGAAGGAAGTATATTGGGAGTTCATGGTCCCGCAGCAACGAGTATGTCAGTTGCATCAATCGTATGGGTGCCTTCATCATCCTCGAACTCGACAGATTTGACAACCTTCCTATCTCATCTAAATTGATCTTGGTTGCAGATGCTTTGAGTTTGAACATAACGCCTTTCGACTCAGCGAGTTTGGCGAGTGTCTTGGTGAACATGTAAGGGTTCACCTGGCCAGAATTTCCTGGAACGCCTATCTCACCATACTGCTGTGTACTTCCAGGCAGAAGCCAATCCAGAGATGAAGGTGCATCACCATTGCCCTTCAGCTCGGGAGAGTCGGTCGCTTTGAGAATTTGTCTAAGGAGTTTGACATCAGCTGCAAACACATTTCTGTGCCCCCAAATCTTATCTCCACCATGTTCTTTTGCAAGGTCATTGTGAAGCCTGAAGCTAAGAGGTGCAAGGCATTTTGGAGTAGCCTAGTCTGCGATGAACCCTCCTCCCTTTCCACTAGAGCCTTCCGCAATATTGTTGGCCTCGAGAACGGTAACTGAGTGTACTTTGGAGTCGTAGAGCGGATGGTGCGACAGATAGTAAGCAGTTGACGTGCCAACAATACTGCCGCCTACATATCGTGATTAACCTAGATTCACCAAGCATAAATCATGATCTTTACCAATGACAACAATTATCTGTTTTGTTTCGCCTTGCTGAGCAGCCATCTTTGCTATTTGTGTAAATGGAAGTAAACGATGAATGAGTGATGTCTGCGTAAGAATGTATACGAAGGCTAGCAAAACCAGAAAGGAGGTAGCAGAACCCACGTTTTGAAGGAGAGGCATGCTTCGTCCACTCCGAAAATTATACAAGGCTTTGTATGATTTTGGGGAAGATAATTAGGCTATAGGCTGGGCTATCAAAATCTCGGCCGAATGAGTAATAGTTAAAAAGACAGATGGGGGTGGACTTGTCGATGACCTTGCTAACCCTCCCACATGAGTTTGTGTTGACTTGAGCGCTTGACTGGTGGCGAGATTTCTAAACCTGTAGGGCTGCAAGGTAATAACTAAGATTACCTGTAGTACACGCTCGACTGGTCTGCGAGGTTACCCATGTATTCACAACTTCATAGAACACCAAAGCCCGTGCTAACAACGCCATTGCTACATTTTCAACAAAAACCAAACCATTGAATATCACCATCTCGTACCGAAGATGGAGCCAAAGAAAGAGTACGATGATCGCATGGATCTTTATGAACTGTAAGTTCCTGTATCAATTTATACTTGATCCATGCTAATGATACTTCAGGTACCATTTCCTTAATCACTATGCTATATACAGCGGTGGATATCGCGACGACGCGATTCGATGCATGAAGAAATTGTGTACGCTGTAGATTGATTTAATCCACAGACAATTTCGTTTTATTGTTTATCAACCACAGGAGTAAAGTGGCAATTTGCTTATTCGGGTCCATGTTAATGGTCCAGGGGTGTTTTAACTCCTTCATCTGTTTCTTAGTTTGAGCGTCTGTTTTTTTTGATACCCTCTTTCTGATCAGGATAGTGGTCACGACTATATAACGTCCTGTTGCCGTCACAAAATCCTCTTATCAGCTATTATTATTAGTTTTACAATGAAACAGATAATGCTGCATCACTGCGCTCGCAAGGGTAGATACATATCGTTCAAAACCATTGCCAAATGCAGGGAACATGAGAAAGGAAAATGTGAGCGCATACAGGGAACAATTCAGAAAAGATAAAGTACAAGCAAAGCGCTGCTAACAACCTAAGCATAGCTAATCCAACTCTCAAAGTAGGACAGCCTGATCAACCCTCAAACCTCCCCTCGAAAACCCGGACTACTCGTCATCCTCGAGATCATATGCTGCGGCTCCCTCGTAAATATCACGACATCCATATTCCTCATCGTCACCGCATGGGGCCAGATGCTCTCCGTCACGGTCCATCACAAAAACACGCCCACCATCCTCCTCATCTTCGTTGTCATTATCCCAAGAATTAGCATAGCGATGTTCTGAGAACAAAGCCGGTTCAGCGCATTGATAGCCCCTTCTATGGTCTGGTAACTCATTCTCTTCAGCAAGGTCATCCCACAAAGACTCCTCGAGCGCGACATCAGTGACTCCACGATTTCGCTGTCTGAGACTGCTCCCCAAGAAAATTTGATGACCGCGTCGAACATCCGCTTCATCAACTTTATCAAATTCATCGTCATACTCTCCTTCATCTTCATCTTCATCTTC